TCAGTTCTGATTGATAGCTTAGAATCTTTCTCACTTTAGAGTGGTAAGTAGAGCATGGCTAGCAGGCGGGTATCAACCAAGCCCTACCAGCGAAATGAAAGGACGGAGGGAAAATAGAGACACAAACCCTAACGCAGTTACAATCCCATAGCAAAAAGACGGCCCTAACTTTTACGATGCTTTTCGGATTCAGAGGCTTTGGCGGAGACGGTAAAAAGCAAACATTTCAGTCAGAAGAGTCAAACGAATATTACTACAAACTTCTCTTCTACTCTCCTAGTTTCCCGCACTCATCCTCTTCTCCACACCCTTCCCACTCCCTCTCTGATTCTGTCTCTTTCCCACGCTCTTCTCTCACCAAATTCTGCCGCCTTCGTTGCTGCAGCTGCCGCGGACAGCACGCCTCGAGATGGATAGCGTGGTTGTGTCGTCTCTCCTTAGCGCGCCTAGCACAAGCAAAAAGTCGCCAGCGCGCCAAGCATCAGCAGATCGACGCCAGCGAGAGGATAAAAGAGGGGAAACGAAAGAGAGACACAAGGACGAAGGGAATTGGAGAAAAGATATAAGAATAGCGGATGGAGATAGGAGAAAAGCAAAAAGCATATGTAAGTCTGAATAAGCAACAAAACAGAGGTAGAAAAAGCAAGGTAGCAAAAACGAAGGCATGCTCACAAATACAAGGTAGTTTAAGATCAATCTCTAATCCAAATCTCGACATACTTGAGTAGGCGTTACTTCCACTAATCCTAACAAACTAACAAACACTTGCAAATCTACTCGTCATGCTCCTAGTGCTGCTGCTGCTGCTACTCTCTTACCTATATACTAGAATAGCGTGAGTGGTTGGAGGAACGAGAGCGGAAGAAAGGAAAAGAAGCATTGAAGAAAACCTAACCACCTCCTTCATCGCAAAGAAAATTAACAATATTTTTACGACACGATATAACATCGTCCGATTTAGCACAGTCGTTTGGTTTGTGATTCCGGATGTAAAGGTTGTGGGTTCGATTTCTGTCGGATGTATTACTCCCAGGTCAGCGAGTTTTTGTAGACGAAGTAACGACAATTCGTCTTCAGAGCAGTTCGTTGGATTAGTCGTCCTGCAAAGTCATAGTAATCAAAAGGTACGCAGATCGAGACCTAATTGTGACAGAGATCATTTGTTCAAGAAACTGTTTTTATATTCCACACAAAATCACACTATTTGTACACTCTTTGTGATTAGCAAAAAAAAGTCAAACAGATTACGTAAATATGCATACGCTTCGCAACCCTACGACGACTTTGTCGCCTCTTGTTTTTTTTGTAACCCCTTCATTTAAGAGGTGGTGCAAGAACTACCGTAAACACCCAAATTCACCCCCCGCTGCAATAGAAGACCCCCGGGTAGCTTATGCAGGGTGTAGTAGCCTTTGTACTTACCTTTTTGGACAAACACTATAACAAGCACCCCTTTAATCGCACAAATTTTCTTATTCCAGCAAGCGAGTAGGATCAATCACATGATGTCATCGCTAGATTTCTTTATTTGGGAGATTACATGGTACCTTCATGAAAATATGCCGAGATTCCCTCTCTCGCGCTCCTTTTCTCTATTGTCACACTGGTAAACCTGAAGATGTTAGGTGGGCAAAGAAGTGCCACATAGCAACTGCAAGCGAGTGACAATGTTTTTTCTGCATACCCATATTCGCGCTGTTGCTGTGATGTAAGGACAAACCCTGAAAACACTCAATCTGTCTGTATTCCATATACTTCAGACCATAAAGACCTTTATTACAAACAAAAATCTGAAAATAACATGGTTCTAAGACATAAGACGTGTACTCTGCACATAATCTTCTACGTTCAGTAGAGTCGATGCTCAGCTTATCACAAAAAAATTGCTCGTCACAAAAAAAGACGTTTAATCACTCGCAAAATTGCCTGTGATGTGAGAGGATTGAGCATTGTGCGAAATTTGGGGTACAGTCACCAAGTTACGGAACCCAATACCTACAATTCATAAAAACATCGCATACATCAGCGCCTATGTCATCAGGAAATTTTTATGTGGTTACGGTACTTAAACATTGACATTCCACTTTCATTTTACAACCACTTTTCTGCCCGTGGCGATAAAGGCGAATTGTGCAACATGCCAAAACTATTCCACGCACTACCAGGTATTCTTCAAACGAGCATTGTTTGTAGTTTGTCGGTAGAAACCATTCGTGCGGTGGTGAGGGAGTTGGTGGGAGGGGGGAATGCTGCTGTCCTGCCAACAAGGGCAGGGACAACAACAAACGCACGAAACGTCCACTGTACCTGAAATCGAGCCTGTCGACACCAGGGCATGTTCCCTGACTGCCCTAGAAATGATGGGTTTTGTGTTTCATTCTGGCTGTAATCAAAGAGCTGCCCGGAAGTCCGTGGTTGATCAAAGAAATGGCTCAACTCTAGCCCTCTGCTGTGTGTGAGGTGCTTCATTGAGGCAAAACATGGTTAAACGTGGGTCTTTACGACCAGGTAGGGCGCGTTCCTGGCGCGTGTCAAGCTTCCGGTCATCCGCGGATGACCGGAAGTTAGACCCACTTTGGGTCATCCGAGACCAACTTCGGGTCTTCCGGCCAAAAATTGCCCCTGTTTCCGGAAAACACAAGGTTTGACAGGAACTTTAACCCAAAGCTTCGGGTCTTCCCGGGAAGGCCCGAAGCTTGACACCAGCCAGGAACGCACCCTTAGTGATTTTGAAGAAAGCTTTCCTTTCTGAATGGTTTGAGGTTCACAAGTTTCCAATGGATACGCAGCATTCCAAGAAACCCTGATTTCAATCAGCAAATAGTGCGCGAAGGAAACGGAAGCTCTGGCGTCACGACACGATCGTTAGGGTTAAAATTTCGTTCCTTTTCAGAAGCATGAGGAGCCGAGTTTCGGCCAGCCCCGTGGCTCAAATGCCGGGATTTATCCAGGTGGCACCTATGCAAGAAATAACCCTGCCCAAAACCCCACTAAGGTACCCAACCCCATGGCTCAACGGGTCAACTTTCGCGCTAGCTCGGTTTGACGAGGTCGCTAACGCTTTGAACGGCTCAGTAGGGTACCCTAGAAAATGAATATTTGGATCACCCACCTGTTGGTCAACTTTTCGAATACGTCCAAAGAACATTACAGTACACGCGGAACAAAGTGCGTGACGAGGATTGGTTGGTATGTGTGTGTTGCAGCATCTTCGTGTACGGGTACGAATCGTCACCCTCCTGTACGTGTACACTCTGTTTCTCGCTACACTGGAGCGCGTATACAGGGACTGGCAGTATTCAGAATCTGCTTGTAGCTGTAGCTAGCGGGTGGGTGTTGTGAGGAGAAGCTGCGAAAGTTCATTTGCCCTGAATACCATGTCCAGCCATTTTATAGTGTTTGGGGCGTGTGTCCTTCGGCAAAAAATGATAAAGTTGGAACTTTTATGGCTTTGAACCGTGAAGACACGTTTCTCAAATGTGTTTTTTTTCGTGTACAACCTCTCTACAAGTTCGAACTTTAGCCAAAGTTCGACCCCCAAGTACACACGCATTTAATGAATGTTATATTGCATACCGCACCATTTGGGATCGCATGGTGCGATATTCACTATAACGTGATTGATAGCAAGCTCCTAGACGTGGAGATTCCAGTATACAGAAATCCATTGTGGCCTCTCATCGTACATGCAAAATTTGTGTACGTGTATAGAACACACATTTTTCCGACCTTCTCAAACGCCGCTACGAAGCTTGGATTTAGCGTGCATGTGACATACAATAAACCGTTCAATACCCTAGAAGTGGCGAGCAAAGGCACACCAGGTGACAAAGTAACACTGGTACGGTAAAATTCTGTTAACGCTGAATACTTTTGCCAACCATTCTAACATGTGCAAGTACTGTATTATAACATGCATCACCTTACCTGACCGCATTGCTACCGCACACGTTCTTGGGTGTGTTGGGGCTCTACAACCTCTGGTTACACCCAATGTACTCTAGCGAGAAAATGGATGTACTGAGAACGGAGACAGGTTGGGTGGGTTGTTATGGGGGGGGGAGGGGAGGCAAGAGGGAGGGAGTGAGTGGGGTGGTTGGAAAGGGGAGGGAGGGGGAGGTAGGCGGGGTGTACGACGGGGGTCTAGAGCCAACCAGGCCACTTTCCTAGCGAGTCTTGCAGAAAAGCCAGAGATCATGGGAGGTGGTCTGTTGTAGTGTAGGGTATGGAATGGGATGGGAGGGAGGGAGGGAGGGGGAGGACGGACCACACGCGTGCGAGAATGTGTAGGAATGGCGCCGAGTGGCACCTTCCCTGCAGTCAACCCCGCACGTTCGTTCTGGCAGCAGGCCCCAAGGCCCCGGCTGGCCATCGCCCTTGCTGTACCTTACAGCCCCTACCACACGTGAGAATTCACTTCGTGTTGTGCCATCTATGCCTTGCCTGCGCGGAGTCTTGTGAGTGACCCACACGCGGCACGTCTGGCACAAACCGCGAACGTTGGATGGGAGCTTTTCGAGAATTATTATAACAAAAGCGGCTAGAACGTTGGATGCGCCCCCCTCCTCGTATAACGGTCCGGCCTGCGGCAGAGCCATCCGCGCATCACTTGCCGCGCAATCCTCCTTTGCCGTTCCTCGCGCAGTTTTACTGCCGCCTTTGCCGACCCTTGCCGACCCTCCCCTTGCCGACCCCCCCCTTGCCGACACCCCCCTTTCCGACCCCCGCCCGTGCGGGCATCCCGCCTAACGCCATCCGCCGTACCGCTGCCTTCCGTCATCCGCCTTACCGTAACGCAACCCCCGCGCCACCTTGAACCATCCGTCTTACCGTCCCGTTTCGTCCCGCCGATCCGTTGCGTCCCGTTCCGTCTCGAGCCGTGCTGGCGAAACCCCGTTCCTCCCGTCGGATGCGCGGCATGGGAATGTTTTAAGACGTCTCAAAACCGTCTCGAGCCGTGCTGGTGAAACTCCCGTTCATCCCGTCGGATGCGCGGCGGCATGGGAGTGGACGCGCGCCGCCTCGTGCTCAAAGTCATGCGCGCAGCTCTCGCTGTTGCGCTGCTGCACGTCATGATGGCGGAGCTTCCGCCACCGGGGGAAACCACGGCGAGCGGCGGAGGCGGAATAGGCGGCGGGGGACGCGAACGAGGGGGAGGAGCTCGTGCGGGGAGAATGCTAGCGACCGCCGCTGAGCGGAGTTACTATCCGCGGAGCCACCATTGGCGGAGTCCGCGCGAAACTAGTACTAATACTGAGCGGCGTCGGTCGGCGTATTCGCTGTTCGCTTCCGCGCAGATCATAAGAGACGAAGACAGTAAGCCCATCGGGAAGCTACTAGTAGTACTGTCAGTGCCTTTATGCGTCTCGCGCCTTCCCCCCTTACTTCTCCACCCGGCGCTACTCGCTCCCCTTTTGAATCCTCCCCAGTCCCCTCCCCTTCCGCCTCACCCTTAAACTGCCCCTCACACTGGCGGCTTTCCTTTCCGCGGTTCCCCCACCGCGTTCCGCCCACTCCCCTCCTTTCCTCGTCGGCATTTCAGCAATTCCCTTTGCCGGACAATCCTCGAATGCCCCCTTTTCCGCCCCTCCCCCCTTGTCCTTCCCCCTCAACCTTCCCCCTCCACCTTCCCCATCCGCGAAACTCCCGCCGCTTGTATCGGCGCGCAGTGGCGGTGCTGGCGGATCTCAAGGCGGAGTGGGGCGCGTTTCCGGGGAGTTCCACGTGGCAGAGGGGCAGAGAGTGCGCGCGGATGGCGGGAGTGACGTGTGACGAGCAGGGCAACGTGCAGAAGCTGTACGTGACGTGGCATGCCAGAGCATAGTAATTCACATAGTAAGCCTTCTGAGGCTCCTCAAAAGACACAGGATAGTAATCCTTATAGTAAGCCATGGCGCTCACATTCCTAGTGCGTCCTCTCCTCTCCTCCTCTCCTCCTCTCCTCCTCTCCTCCTCTCCTCCTCTCCTCCTCTCCTCCTCTCCTCCTCTCCTCCTCTCCTCCTCTCCTCCTCTCCTCCTCTCTCCCCTCTCTCCTCTCCTCCTCTCCTCCTCTCCTCCTCTCCTCCTCTCCTCCTCTCCTCCTCTCCTCCTCTCCTCCTCTCCTCCTCTCCTCCTCTCCTCCTCTCCTCTCTCCTTCTCTCCTCTCCTCCTCTCCTCCTCTCCTCCTCTCCTCCTCTCCTCTCTCATTCTCTCCTCCCCTCTCCTCTCCTCCCTCCTCCTCTCCTCCTCTCTCCTCTCCTCCTCTCCTTCTCCTCTCTCCTCTCTCCTTCTCTCTCTCCCCTCTTCTCTCCTCCCTCCTCCTCTCCTCCTCCTTTCTCCTCTCTCTCCTCTCCTCTCTCCTCTTAACGACCGCGTTCACTGCTGTTCACCTATAAGCATCGTGCATGCATGTTCACCTATAACCACCGTCTCTACTCGAGCATCATCACACATCTCCCTCCTTTCTTTCTTACTCCCCCCATCACCCCCTTACCCCCCCCTGTCCCCCCCCTGTCCCCTGTCCCCTGCCCCTGTCCCTGCCCCTTCCCCCTGTCATGGTCTGCCTGGGCAGCATTTTGAGTCGCAAGCAGCTCACCGGATCGCTGCCCGAGTCCCTCGCCAACCTCACGGCCCTCCAGCACCTGTGAGCGCGCCCTGCCCTGCCTGCCCTGCATTGCGCTGGCAGTTATAAGAATGAGACGCGAGTGAGCGCAGAGCACACTTGTTGCATTGCCCTCACTGAGCCATGCATGCATGTGTCGCATGTGTGTGTGTGTATGCATGTGTGCATGTGTGCATGTGTGTGTGCATGTGTGCATGTGTGCATGTGTGCATGTGTGTGTGCATGTGTGCGCGCGCACGCGCCTTGGTGTGAGAGGGGACTGCTTGTTGTGCTGGTGCTGCACGTGCTCTGCGTGGAGTTTGCGAGTTGCCGAGGCGAGAGGCAACAAAGTGAGAGGCTCTTCGTGCCCCTTGCCCTGGCTCCTTGATCCATGCCTTCCTGTGCCATATACCATGGCTCCCTACCTTGTATTCGTCCTCATGCATCTCCTCGCATGTCCTCACATCCCTTTTCATTGGTGCACTTATGGGCACCACAAGCAGGGATCTGAGCACCAACAGGCTGTACGGCCCCATTTCCCTCTACATCACCCAACTGCCCGACCTGCAGCTGCTGTCAGTCCTCTTCCCACTCCTCTTCCCACTCCTCTTCCCACTCTTCTTCCTGCTCCTCTTCCCACTCCTCTTCCCACTCCTCTTCCCACTCCTCTTCCCACTCCTCTTCTCACGCCTCTTCTCACGTCTCTTTCTAGTCCTCCTCTCACTTTTCTCCCCAGTCATTCCAAGGTGGGTAAACCCAGGAGAAGCCATTGCTGCAGTGCAGGAACGTGGGGAACGAGGGTGAGGTTTAAAAGGCGATGGGGAGGACGAAGGGTTGGAACTTGGTAGCAGAAACATCTCCTACCACTTCTGTTATTTCTTCTTAGGGCGTATCTCTGGTTCGGGTCATGAGCACTGTTCTGGGCATGCGCGATTTGCGGATGACCCAAACAACATAAAACGCCACTTTGAATCATGTTCCCACAACAGTCACATCCAATGGAGGGTTGCCAGAACAGTTCGAAAGATCGTTAGCGACACCCACGCAAAACCACGCGACACCCACCAAAAAAACACGATCGTCAAAATTCCCAGCGTGAATCCCCAAATGTTGGGAGCGCGACGCGGGAAATTTTAAAGCAGCGGTATACATTTGAAAGGAGTAGTTCAAAATCCTTAAGAACTTGAAAAGTTGCCTCAAAACTGTGAGGCACACTATAACAAATGTATACTGGAGCTAACAAACCTTGCTAACAAATGTATACTGGAGCTTTAAACACATCGAGGGTCACTTGGGTCGATTTGCTGAGTGGTTGGGTGCAGAGGTGTAGGACGTGGGACATTGCCCACTTGTGACACTCGACTGACGACCGCCTAAAAGATGGCAGTAGAACCAGACACCAGGTGATTGGTTGGGGGTGGGTCGTGCACGTCAGTCGCCCAACACCTGCACATTGACCCAAAGCTGGGGCCGCGCGCGGCTCGGCAGCCCACTTCGGGTCATGCGCAATTTCCGCATGACCCAAACAGTAGCATGAACAGTGCTCATGACCCGAACCAGAGGTACGCCCGTACTCCTGGTCTTGTCCCACTTGTGTGTTCCACTTGTTCCCTCAGGTTCATTCAAACAGGTATCTCTCTTCATTCTCCTTTCCAACTTGCATCCAATCTTTTCTTCCATTTAAAACGTCTCCACCCTCTCCTTCCTTTCACCTTTCCTTCCATCCTTCCCTCCATCCCTCCGTGCCTCCGTGTCTGCGCCTGGCCCTGCATGCAGCAACCTGCGCAACAACCAGCTATCTGACTTCCTCCCGTCCGACTGGTCACCGTCCCTCGCCACGCTGCTGCTAGACAACAACTACCTCTACGGCGAAGCCCGCCTCTCCTACTGCCCCTCCACCCTCTCCCTCCGCTCCAACTGCCTCACCTTCCCTTCCCCCACCTCCTCGCCCCCTTTCTCCCCCTCCTCCTCCTTCCGCTGCGCCCGCCACTCCCAGCGGCCCCTCTCCGCCTGCTTTGCCTTCTGCGGCCTCTCCTCCCCGGATCAAAAGCCATGCTCGGGCGTCGGCACGTGCCGGCTGGGAAAGGCAGGGAAGCCCGTGTGTGTGTGCGACGACGGGTACGTGAACCGCGCATTGCCGGGCTCCTGTGTGCCGGAGGCGCAGAGCGATTCCTTCTCTCTCTCCCTCGCTGACATGCCCTCCGTGCGCCTCAAGGGCTCTGCTTCCCTGGTGGGCGGGGGAGGGGATGTGCCTGGTTTCGTGCCGGGGTTCGTGCCGTCGCCGCAGCCGCCCGACCCGATTCCAAAGGTAGACACTGCCAACGCAGCCAGCACTGACAGCTTTGCTGGCACTGCCGGCACTGCCGGCGCTGTCAGCACTGCCAATGCAGCCAGCACTGCCAATGCAGCCAGCACTGCCGGCGCTGTCAGCATCACCAGCGCCATCAGCACAGCCGATCTGGTAGATGCAGGCGAGCCGGGTGTGGACCCCGGTCCGTCCTTTGACTCGCCGCCGTCGCCGCCGCCGCCGCCGCCTTACAGCTCCTCGGATAAGCTTGTGGTGAGCCCGGGAGTGCGCGGGGCGTGGGGCGCTGTGACGCTGCTGCCGCTCGTCACGCTCTTCACCTTCTCCACTCCGCAGGACCCCTGCGGCCGCCAGCTCGCATTCAACTTCTCCTTCGCCTTCTCCATGTCCTCCCACTCCGGTAAACTCGACGCCAAATCCTCCTCCTCCTCTTCCTCCTCCTCCGTTTCGTTCCCCTTCCTCTCCTCCGCTGCAGCTGCAAGAGTAGCAGCAGCAGCAGCATCAGGGGACGGGTTAGCCTTTGTGATAAGCGCAACCGAGCCGACAGGAGGTCCAGGCATGGGGTACAAGGGCATGGGCAAGAGGAGCGTGGCAGTGGAGTTAGACACTCGAAAGGACGCCTGGAATGGTGACCCGGATAGCAACCACGTGGGGGTCAACGTGATGGGCAACAGCCGCTCTATTGCCACAGCTTCGCCAGACGGCATTGTGCTGAACAATGGAGAGCCGCGGCATGTGTGGATCGTGTACGAACCTGATGCTCGTGCTGGCAGCAGCAGTAGCAGCACTAGAAACAGCAGCAGCAGAAGCAGCAGGAAGGGTGGAGCAGGAGGGGCGGAGGCAGGGAGGCTTCGAGTGTTTCTGGCAGCAGGAGATGTGCAGCCAGGCAGACCATTACTGGACGTGCCTCTCTCTCTCTGCTCTGTGCTCGAGCCGTCGCCGTCAAGGCCCTCGGTGTTCCTCTCCTTCGCCTCCTCTTCTTCTGTCTGGGGTGTGCCTCAGGACCACCGTGTGCTCTGGTGGGAGCTGCAGACAGGTGTGTGTGTGGGTCTGTCTGTGTGCGCGTTCGTGCGTGTGCGTGAGTGAGTGATTGCGTATGTGTGTGCGTGGGCGTGCATGCTGGCATGCCATGTGCACATACCCATGTGTGTTTGTGCCTGTGTGCCTGTTTGCGTGCCCATCTGAATCTCCAGTATCCAAAAGACCGTCAAACAACCAGCTGGCCCATCCACTCACCCCCTGTTTGATACCCCCCCAACTGAAACCAGCACACCTTCCTCTCCTCTCTCCACCACCCCACCAGCCCCGTCAGACCCCTGCTTTGGCATCGCTCGCATGTCTCCTTCCAGCTTCTACTGTCGTTCCGACGTCTCCTCCTGCCCTGGGCAAGCCATGGGGTCTGCGGGTGATGGTGACGCTACTGGTGATGGCACTGGTGATGGCAATGGCGGTGGCGATGGCGAGGTAGTCACCAATGAGTTTGTACCTAAGGAAGGAGATGGAGGGGGCGGGGAAGGAGGAGGAGGGGGGCAACAGCTAGGAGGGAAGACTGGAGGCTGTGAAGTTGGTGAGCTTCCGAGGGAGCGTCTATCATTGGGCATTGGGCATTGGGCATTGAGTGTCGAGTGTTGTGAGGTTGGGGCATATTGTGGTGTGGTGCTATGCCAGCACGTTGTCTGGGAGTTTAATGCCACTGCACGTTCCTATGCCTTGCTCAGCTCAACACAACGCTGCGGTACTTAACACTGCCGCGGCGCTTTTCCCAACTGACGGCCGCACTGCACTGCACTGCACTGCACTGCACCGTGCCGTCTTCTCTAGTCGTGTTCTTGAAGCAACTCTCTCGCCCATCATCCTTCTGCTTCGCTGGCAAGCTGATAGGCATCTCAATGATGAGCACTCTCAGCATGTTGACTCTATTTTTGAGGCGTCTCAAGTTTAGGCGTCTTGGCTCGGCTCGGCACCCTTCTCCAAGTGAATCATTCACAACATATAGGTTGATTTTGAGAATTCTTAGAATCAACCTACACAAGGAATGGACTACATCAGCCTCAGCACACTGTTCAATGAGAACCATTCACATCATGTTGCACATCTATGAGCCTGTAGCGACACCCTCCACCTAGCGCCCATGCGTTAGCACACGAGCCGAAGAGTATATCTCTGTGTGTGTGTGTGTGTGCGCGCGCGCGCGTGTGCAAATGTTTGCGTGCGTGTGCGTGTGTGCATGCGCGCGTGCATGCGGGCGGGGGGCGAGCAACGGGCGGGTGTGCGGGCATGCATGAGTGCGTGTGTCTGCGGGCGTGGACAGATGTGTGCAGTGCAGGTGACAGGAACCCGTGCGGCGTGGGCAATTGTGTGAATGACGGTTACGGCGCATACACCTGTGTGTGCCCACCCGGCTTCTATCGCGGCACCTCAGAGTTCGGTGCCCCCTCCTGCGCACCTGGTAACTCCTCCCTGCTCCTCCTGCGTCCTGCTCCCTCTGTCCCGTTCCCTGCTTTCTGCTTCTCTTCACTCTGCTCCTCATGCTTCAAGAGTTGATGTGCCTGAACAGCAGCCTGTTCCCCAGAAATGAGTTCACTCCAGATTCCCTATTCCCAGCCTCTGTTGAGGCGCCTCAAAGAAATGTGCCCACTCCTGAGTCCACATTTCCAGCCTCTCCCACAGTCTATCTTTCCTTCTACCTCCACTATCCCTTTTTGCCCGTCCTCTTTCCCCCCCAACAACCCACCCACCCAGGCATCGGCAAGAGTTTTTACCGTGTGACAGTGGCCACAATGTGGTGCTACCACATCCACCCCATCTACGGCCTCACACTCGCCCAGTTTCTGGACCTGAACGGGGTGAGTGAGAGCAGAGTGGAGCGCGTGTGAGTGGGATGTGCAGGAATGGGCATGCACTGGCATCTACATGGAGATAGAGCGATAGCGACATAGAGGGGGGGGAGACAGGGAGGGAGATAGAGACTGAGGGGGAGAAGGAGACAGCAAGGGCTGGAGTCAGCCAGGCGTGCACGTACAAACCCTCCCACCTTTTACTTCACGCACCCATGCTCATCTACCCTCATCTGCTTACATCTGCCCTCCGTGCTCCAACTTTCTCCCTCCATCCGCTCGCCCATCCACCCCTGCAGGGGCTGTCATGCGACGTGCCCTTGCCAGTGGGCACGGTGGTGAGTGTGAAGCCCAACGCTGATGTCAGGGCCTGCTCCGCATTCTACACCACTGTCCAGGTCAGGTCACTATGTTGAAGTCACATTTCAGAAATCTAAAGAACGCGCTTCTTGGCTTCCTCGCGTTCCGCACCAATTTTTCTTCCCTCCCCACCTCTGTTTCCTCTGCTACCTCCTCTTCTCCCCTCTTCCCCTCCTCCCCTCCTCTCCCTCCTTCCCCTCGTTTCCCCTCGTTTCCCCTCCTCCCCTCCTCCCCTCGTCACCTCGTGCCCTCCATCAATCTTCCTCACTTTCACATTCACGGTATTGTGCCTTTTCTGGCGACCCAGAAGTCATTTTCGCCCGCAAGCTGTTGTACCCTGCATGCATCCGCATTTTCTTTCTCTTCACATTCTCATCCGCATGTCTTTTTGTCACCCTCATCCCCTTTCTTCCCCTTCCCCATCCTATACGTTCTTCACCCCCCACCTCCTCCTTTTATCACTACCTCTTTCCCCTTCCTTTTCATCTCCTTTCTCCATTCCGCCCTTTTCCTCTCCCTTCCTTCCCCTCCTTCCCTTTCCTCCCTCCCTCCCCCCCCTCCTCCCCGTCCACCCCACCAGAACGACACGTGTGAGTCCATAGCCGCCAAATTCTCCCTCACCTCCTCCTGCCCGGACCCCTCCCAGCCCTGCACCACCGACCTCCTTCTCCTCAACCCGGGCCTCGACTGCACCCCCACGAAGCTCCCTACCAGCCTCTCCATCTGCCTCGAGCGCGCCACGCCTCTCATGCCCATGTGCGAGGAGTCTATAATGGTGCAGAGTGCGGGGAACGCGACGTGTGCGTCGCTGCTGGCGGGAAGGCAGCCGCCGTTGAGTGCACTGGAGCTCTACCGCATGAACCCCGGCATCTACTGCCACCACCTGCTGCCGCCCTCCACCGACTCGGGGTTCCCGGGGTCCGAGGTACAGCGGGGTGGGGTGTGTGTGCGGTGCGGTGGGATGTGAGGTATAGTGGGGTGTGATGGCCTTTAAGACGCGTCGCAATATGCTGGAGGAGTGGTAAGGCTGTGGCGTTCAAGGAAACAGTGTAGTGTGGTTAGCTGATCAGGTGCGCATCAGTGGCTCATTTTTGTGTTACCCTATTGTTTCTCTATCGCGCACCTCCCTCGGGTTTCTTTTCAGACTCGGGTCAACTGCATCTTCTTTTCACCTGTGCCCTCTTCTGTTGTTCCTGTTGCATTGCAGGTGTGTGTTAAAATGAGAATGGACATGTCATTCGGCTCTTGCCCATTGTCTGAGGTCTATATTGCAACAGACAATGACAGATGCAGTGCCATCCAGTTCAGGTTCTTCAAGGGCATCAAGAACTGCTACAAACGAATCAATGGCTATGATTGCCTTGATAGACTGACTAGGGGCACAAGGATTTGCTTGCCAGACCCAGTCAAGATCAGACAGGGAAAGTGCTCGGTTTAGGATACTAACGCGACATGATTTGTTGTTTTGAGCTTCATGCATGGTGTTTATATCCATACATACATATATGCATATATATACTATGTATACATATGTACATTATGTACTTTATACATATATATTTCATACTCTGTCAATTGATAGTCCCTGAATTTCTGGGTGTATGTAGTATCTAACCAGATTCGGTACAGGGTATCTCCGAAACAGAGGCAGGGGTTGTGCAATCAGGGTTTGGAGTTTGGCTCGTCAATAATCGCGACACCGCCTGCACAAACCGCGCGTGTCGGGTGGCAAGCCCCCGGCCCCTAAGGGCAAGAACGGACTACCATTGCAGCAGCGCGACTTAGTCACCACTAGTGATTAATACGAACACAGTACGGTACCGTATATCCAGACCCTCCCGTCATCCACCTCCCATCCCATCCCCAGCCGTCCCGCCGTCCCGTCCCCAACCATCCCGTCTCGTTGCGCGGTATGATCATGGGAGTGGGCCCGCGCCGCCACGCGCTCATCGTCGCGCGGATAACTCTCGCGCTCGCGTTGTTGCACACCATCGCGGACCGTACCACAAAGTTAGGGGAGATTTTTGGGGGAGGAGGAGGCCGAGCAGGAACAGGCGGAAAAGGCGGAGGAAGCGGAGGAAGCGGAGGAAGCGGAGGAGGCGGAGGAAGCGGAGGAGGCGGAGGAAGCGGAGGAGGCGGAGGAAACGGAGCTGGTGAACGTAGGATGGTTGTGGCGGGGCGGAGCTACTACTCGCGCGGCGGTAATAGGTGTCGTGCCGAGGCGTATTCCCTACTCGCCGCCGCGCAGATCATAAACGAGGCAGACAGTAAGCCCGTCGGACACCCAAACATCAGTAGCATTATCATCTAGTAGTAGCCCGTCGGCCCCACGGTGCCGCCCGCCGAGCTCTCAGACGCCTTATGCGATGCCACCTTCAACCTTTGAGGCGCCTCAAAAGATGCCACCTTCAACCACGTTTACCGCCGTTAACCGCGTTGCCCAACCGTGGGGGAGTCCTCGCGAACTCTCAGTCATCCAACCGCCTCGCGCCGCTCCCTCTTCCCAGAAGCCCACTTCCTCTCCCTCCCCCGCCCACCCCCCCCTTCCCCCCCCGCCCCTTTGTGTATCCCGTCGCGTCCTGCCAGAGCGACTTGTGCCATCCATTTTCCCACTTTTTCTTCCTTAAAAATCCCCCCCGCCCTCTTCCGCCCGTCGGGCTCCCCCGGCCTTCTTCCCCTCTTTCTCTCACCATTTCCCCTCCGCCTTCCCCCATCCGCGGAAACCTTGTTTCAATCGGCGCGCAGTGGCGGTGCTGGCGGATCTCAAGGCGGAGTGGGGCGCGTTTCCGGGGAGTGCCACGTGGCAGAGCGGCAGAGAGTGCGCGCGGATGGCGGGAGTGACATGCGACAAGAATGGCTTCGTGCAAAAGCTGTACGTGACCTGCCATGACCTGGCACGACCTGGCACGACTCGACATGACCTGGCATGACCTGGCATGCCAGGGCATGGCGTTCTCATGCGTTGTGCGTCCTCTCCTCTCCACTCCTCCCTCCTCTCCTCCACTCTCCTCTCCTACTTTCTCATCTCTTCCTCTCTACTCCATCCATCCCAACCACTCGCTTCACGCATCGTGCATGCATATTCACCTATTGTAACGTCTCATCGTTTCCAGTCGACATTTTCATGACCTAAAACCACCGTCTCCACTTGACCATCATCACCTTCCTCTCCCTTTCCTTTCTTACTCCTCATCTCGTCCCCCCCTTCCCCTCCACTTCCTCCCCCTGCCCCTGCCCTTCCCCCTGCCCCTGCCCCTGCCCCTGCCCCTGCTCCCTCTGCCCCTGCCCCTCCCTCTGCCCTGTCATGGTCTGTTTGGGCAGGGTGTTGAGTCGGAGGCAGCTCTACGGCTCGCTGCCCGAGTCCCTCGCCTACCTCGCAGCCCTGCAGCACCTGTGAGTGCGCCCTGCCGTGCATTATGCTGGGAGCAATAAGAATGAGATGTGTGCGAGGCAAACGATCGGAGCACACTTGTTGCACTCGCCTCTCCAAGCCCTGCATGTGTGGATCATTGCCGCCATGTGTGCGTGTGTGCGTGCGCTTGTGCGTATGCATGTGCGAGAGAGAGAGAGAGAGAGTGTGTGTGTGTGTGTGTATGTGTGTGTGTGTGTGTGTATGTGTGTGTGTGTGCGCGCGCGCGTGCGTGTGTGTGTGTGCGTGCGGGTGTGCGTGTGTAAGTGTGTGTGTGTCTGTGTGTGTGTGTGAGCGCGTGCGCGCGCACGCGTGTGTATGTGTGTGCGTGTGTTGGCGTGTGCATATGTTTGTGTTTACTTGCGCTGGCCACCGCTTGCTGTGCTGGCAGTTTGCGTGCTAGTGCTGTGTATGATGTGCATGAACTGTGCAACGCCAGATGCCAGAGGTGTTAGTGTTAGCCCTTTCACATTTTGTATTTGTACTTTCTATATCCTAGCGTAGTGTAGTTTGCACATTGTGTTTGGTTGGGTGTACACCCACATCCCAACCAAACCCAAATGTAATCTCCAAGCAATCTCCAACCCACCAATTGGAGATTGCCTTGGGATTACCCCCAATCCCTAGAGATTGTCTCCGATTCCTTTCCCCATCCATTCCTTGCTCATCCTGGATGTACGTAAAGAGCTTCGATAATGTATAGATTCTAAGCTTAATTTCTGACAAGAGGCACTCCATGTCCCTGTGCATTGAGGTCATTTTTTAGGCGCCTTGAGAATCAGCTCCATGCCCCTTGCCCTGGTTTGATGATCCATGCATGCTTGCGCCATATGCCAAGTCTTCCTTGCATGTACTCGTCTCATCTTCATGCATTCCCCCTCGCATTCTTGCACGCATGGGCACCACAAGCAGGGATCTGAGCAACAACAGGCTGTACGGCCCCATCCCCCTCTACCTCACCACTCTGCCCGACATACAGCTGTTGTGAGGCCTCTTCCCTCTTCCCTCACCTCTTCCCAGTCTTCTTCCCACTCCTCTTCTCACTCCTCTGCTAAAACCTCTTTTCACTCCTCTTCCTAGTCCTCCTCTCATGCGTCTCCCTCTTTTCAATATGCGGCACCTCTGGAGAAAGAAAAAAGGAGAGACTGTGTAGCAGTGCAGGTGTAAAGCTGGAAAAGGGATTTATCCATGATTATTATTGCTGGCTTGGTAGCAGAAGCAAACTCGAACCACTTGTCCGTGCCTGCTCCTCGCCCTGCCCCTCGCCCTGCCCCTCGCCCTGCCCCTCGCCCTGCGTCCATGCAGCAACCTGCGCAACAACCAGCTCTCCGACTTCCTCCCCTCAGACTGGTCACCGTCCATCGCCACGCTCCTCCTAGACAACAACTACCTCTACGGCGAAGCCCGGCTCTCCTACTGCCCCAGCACCCTCTCCCTCCGCTCCAACTGCCTCACCTTCCCTCCCCCCTCCTCCTCCATCCCCTGCACGAATCACCCCCAGCGTCCCCTCTCCGCCTGCCTCGCCTTCTGCGGGCTTTCCTCCGATCAGAAACCCTGCTCAGGTGTCGGCACGTGCCGATTAGGCAAGGCAGGGAAGCCCGTGTGTGAGTGCGAGGACGGGTACGTGACCCGTGTGTCGCCAGGCTCCTGTGTGCCGGAGGCACAGACCGAGTCCTTCGTGCTCTCCCTCGCCGACTCGCCCTCCGTGCGCCTCAAGGGCTCTGCTTCCCTCGTGGAGGGAAGGGGAGTGGAGCCGTCGGGGGTTGCGCCGCTGCAGCCACCACAGTCGCCCGACCCGATTCCAAAGCCAGGCACTGCCAATGCAGCCAGCGCCGTAAGCAGTGCGAGCAGCAGCATCAGCACTGCAGATCTCGTAGACGCAGCAGCACCGCCGCCTTCACCACCGCCGCCGTCACCGCCGCCACCACCGCCGCCTTACAGCTCCTCGGGTAAGCTTGTGGTGAGCCCGGGAGTGCGCGGGGCGTGGGGCGCCGTGACGCTGCTGCCGCTCGTCACGCTCTTCACCTTCTCCACTCCGCAGGACCCCTGCGGCCGCCAGCTCGCCTTCAACTTCTCCTTTGCCTTCTCCATGTCTGCCCAGTCTGGTCAACTCGGGGGAAAATCCTCTCCCTCCTCCTCCTCCTCCTCCTCCTCCTCCTCCTCCTCCTCCTCCTCCTCCTCCTCCTCCTCCTCCTCCTCCTCCTCCTCCTCCTCCTCCTCCTCCTCCTCCTCCTCCCCCTCCGTTTCATTCCCCTTCCTCTCGTCCACTGCACCTGCAAGGCTAGGAGCAGCAGCAGCAGGAGCAGGAGCAGCAGCAGGGGACGGGCTAGCCTTTGTGATAAGCGCCACCGAGCCGACAGGGGGGCCAGGCATGGGGTACAAAGGCATGGAGCGGAGGAGCGTGGCAGTAGAACTAGACACACGAAAGGACGCCTGGAATGGTGACCCGGATAGCAACCACGTGGGGATTAACATCGGCGGTAACAGCCGCTCCATTGCCACAGCTTCACCAGACGGCATTGTGCTGAACAGTGGAGAGCCGCGGCATGTGTGGATTGTGTACGAACCTGACGCTCGTGCTGCCAGCACCGGCACAAAAAACAGCAGCAGCAGCAGAAGCAGAAGCAGCAGGAAGAGCAGAGCAGGAGGAGGGAAGGCAGGGAGGCTGCGAGTGCTTCTGGCAGCAGGAGATGTGCAGCCAGGCATAGCGTTGCTGGATGTGCCTCTCTCGCTCTGCTCCGTGCTCAAGCCGTCGCCGTCGCGGCCCTCGGTGTTCCTCTCATTCTCAGCATCCTCCTCCATCTGGGGTGTGCATCAGGACCACCGTGTGCTCTGGTGGGACCTGCAGACAGGTGTGTCTTCGTATTTGTGTGTGTGTGCGCGCGCCCTTGCTCGTGCTTCCATGTGCGTGAGCGTGCGTGCTGGCATGCCATTTGCATCCCTGTGCGTCTGTGGCCCTATCTGTGACTCCAGCATCCACGACCATCAATCAACGATCCATTTACTCTCCCCCTTCTTGAGACTCCTCGCAACGGAAAAAACAAGCGCACCCTCCTCTCCTCGCCGCCACTCCTCCAGGCCCGTCAGACCCCTGCTTTGGCATCGCTCGCATGTCTCCTTCCAGCGTCTACTGTCGCTCCGGCATCTCCTCCTGCCCTGGGCAAGCCACGTTATCTGCCGGGAATGGGAGTGCCACTGGTGGTAGCACTGGTGACAGCGCTGGTGGGGTGGTCACCAATGAGTTTGCACCAAGAGGAGGAGATGGCGGGGGCGGAGAAGGAGGAGTAGGGGCGCAACAGCTAGGAGGAAAGACTGGAGGCTGCGTAACTGGTGAGGAATCCAGCATCCAGCATCCAGCATCCACCATCCAGCATCCAGCATCCAGCATCCAGCATCCAGCATGCAGCATCCAGCATGTATCATTGAGCACTGAGCATCGAGTGTCGAGCATCGGTCATTGGTCCAGCAAACTGCTGGGAAGTTTATGGCTATTGCACGTTCCCAATGCCTTCCCTCAATGCAATGCAACGCGGCGGTACTCAACATTACTGCGGTGCTTCTCCTGACTGGCTTCTCCTTCACATGCGATGGATTGAGGCTGTTCACCTGGATTGAGGGGCCGTCGAATTATAACATCCTCAATGAACGAGGTCCTTCACCTGAAGCCCATGTGATGGCACACGAGTCAAAGAGAATATTTGTCTGCCTGCGTGTGTGCATGCGTGTGTGTGTGTGCATGTGCTGTGTGGGTGCGTGGGTGGGGGGAGCGGGTGAGCGGGTGGGTGGGTGGGCGGGGGTGTGTGCATGCGTGAGTGCGTGCTGGGGGGCGCACGCAGATGTGTGCAGTGCGGGTGACAGGAACCCATGCGTTGTGGGCAACTGTGTGAATGACGGCTACGGCTCGTACACCTGCGTGTGCCCACCTGGTTTCTACCTCGGCACCTCCGATATCGGCGCCCCCTCCTGCGCCCCTGGTAACCCCTCCTTGCTCCTTCCTGCTGCTTCCTGCTTCCTGCTCCCTTTCGTCCCTTTCGTCCCTTTCGTCCCTTTCGTCCCTTTCGTCCCTTTCGTCCCGTTTGTCCCGTTTGTCCCGTCTCTCCCTTTTGTCCCAGTGCCCTTCCCTGTTTCGACCTGCTCGTGCTTCAAGAGTCGAGGGTCCTCAACAGCAGCCTGTTTTCAATGGTTTCCACTCCAGACTCCAAGTCTCCAGCCTCTTCCACAATCTATCTTTTCTTTTACCTCCTCCATACCTTTTTGCCCATCCTCTTCCGCTTTTCACTCGACTCAACGACAGTTTTTTTTTACCTCCTCCACACAATTTTTCCCCACCCTCTTCCCCACCCACCACCTACCCAGGCATCAGCACGGGCTTTTATCTGGTGACAGTGGCCACAATGTGGTGTTACCACATCCACCCCATCTATGGGCTCACACTCGCCGAGTTCTTGTACCAAAATGGGGTGAGTGAGTGAGTGAGGGCAGGGCAGAGTGGAACGCGTGTGAGATGGAACGGGGATGAGGATGTCTTTTGAGACGTCTCAAAACAGGGCATAGTGGAACGCGTGTGAGATGGAACGGGGATGAGGATGTGCGTGCATGGCCATGCACTGGCATTGAGATAGAGTGGAGATAGAAAGTGAGATAGGAAATGAGGGGGAAAAGGAGATAGCAAGCGCTGCGGTCGAGCAGGTACGCAAGTGCAAGCCCTCCCCCCTTCCGCTTCACACATCAGCGCCCAGCTGTCGTTATCCGCCCTCATCCGCTCTCATCCGCCCTCATCTCCACCCTTTCCTTCACCTGCCCACCCACCCCTCCAGGGGCTGGCGTGCGACGTGCCCTTGCCGATGGGCGCAGTGGTGAGCATGAAGCTTTTTCTGACACGCCTCAAGAAGTGCCCTCTATACCCCACCCTTCCCACTTACCCACCCACCCACCCACCCACTCCTACAGGGGTTGTCATGCGACGTGCCCTTGCCAGTGGGCACGGAGGTGAGCGTGAAGCCCCCTGACATCAGGTCCTGCACCGCTTTCTACACCACTGTCCAGGTCAGGTCATTCTATTGGAGCCCTTTTGATAGTTCTATAATATGCTCTCCGCTGCCTCTCTTGCATGCCTCACCACTTCTCCTCCCTCGCTCCCTTCCCCCCTCCTTTTCCTTTGCTATCTCCCCTTCTCTCCTCATCTCCTCCTACCTCCTTCCCTCCCCCCCTCCTCCCTCCTCGCCTCCCCATCTCTTCATCATTAACTCTTTCACCTTCCTTTTTCAACTCCTTCTCCTCTCCCTTCTCCGATCCCTCCTTTTCCCCCTTCCTCCCCCTTCCTATCCTCCCTTTCCTCCCCCACCTCCCCATCCACCCCATCAGAACGACACGTGTCTATCCGTAGCCGCAAATTTCTCTCTCATCTCCTCCTGCCCGGACCCCTCCCAGCCCTGCACCACCGACCTCCTCCGCCTCAACCCCGGCCTCGACTGCTCCACCAACAAGCTCCCTACCAGCCTCTCCATCTGCCTCGAGCGGGGCACGCCTCTCATGCCCATGTGCGAGCAGTCTGTGCGGGTGCAGAGCGTGGGGAATGCGACGTGTGCGAAGCTTCTGGCAGGGATGGACCCGCCGCTGAGTGCGCTGGAGCTCTACCGCATGAACCCCGGCATCTACTGCCACCGCCTGCTGCCACCCTTCCGGGATACGGGCTTTCCGGGCTCCGAGGTATGATGGGTGGGGTTTTAGGTGCGGTGTGGTGGGTTTTGAGTCGACTCAGAAGTCTTTCCGAGCTCCGAGATATGCAGGGACGGGATGAGTGTGCGGTGTGGTGGGGTGGGTTGTGCGGCGTGGCAGGGTGTGATGATCTTGCATCTGGCAGGGTGTGGCATTGGGCATGCGTTGCAACTCAGTACCCTCATTGTTTCTCAACCGTGCATATCCGTTGGTTTCCTTCCTCCAGTCCCGGCCGATTGCAATCCCCTTTCACCTCTGGCTGGCCTCTTGCTTCTGATTGCATTGCAGGTGTGTGTTTTAATGAGAACGGACACGTCATTTGGCTCGTGTCCCTCATCTGAGGTCTACATTGTAACAGACAATGACAGATGCAGTGCCATTCAGTTCAGGTTCTTCAAGGGCATTAAAAGCTGCTATAAAAAAATAAATGGCTACGACTGCCTTGATAGACTGAACAGGGGCACAAGGATTTGCTTGCCAGACCCAGTTAAAATCAGACAGGGGAAGTGCTCTATTTAAAATGTGAAAGCATGATTTGCTGTTGTGCGCCTCACCTATGGGGTTCATAATCATTGTATATTTTCCTTAAGTGCAATGTTTCCCATGTAGGCCCTCCCTCCCTCTTGCATTAGGAGCACACAGTCAACGACAATGATCCACCACCACCAGTCCATCACGCTTGCACAAAAGTGACACGAACTTATTTTTTTTTTTGCCAATATAAAGTTACAAATTTCAACGTTGGCGCAATCCATAGCCTCCCTGCTTGTAAGACTTGGCACAAAGTATGTGTACATATTTTCTCTTGAACATGGACTCAAGGATTGCTTTATAGCGCGATATTGATTCGCAAGGTGAAGGGAAAATCCCGTTTGCTCCTTTCCAGAATGAAGAATTCGGTCCGTGTGCATATTCGCGCCAAAATTGGTGCGCGACTCGCAATTTCAAATTTCCTACGCTTCATTGCACGCAGCGCATCCATCACCACCACAATGCCCAAAAACCCCTCGCCATCATCCAACGAGCAACAACTGCTTCAGCAGCATCCACTCCACTCCACTGCTTCAACAGCCGCCACAATGCCGTCACAATTCCGTCGAATCGAAACTGCGCCACAAGTGCACCTCAATGCACTATCGAGTCCCGACCGAGACGACTTCGCATGTCACAGCACAGTACGCTCATTCGTCCCCTCCCCAGCGCACTTCCTCCAAAAACAGCAGCAGGGCACAGTTTGCCGGCGCGAATGACTCGTATGGTCTTCTCCACCCTCCACTTCCAGTCGGCTGCACATTTCCAACATCGCCCTGGCCCTCTCTCAACGTCAGCTCACCTTTCGCATGAGAGGACTTTTCATATCTCATTCTCGTATTCCATCCCTCGCCCCCCATTAGGACCAGCGTAATCGTCCCTATTACCTTCCCGAGACGTTGGAGTTCCCGCTAGGGTATTTTGTTTATGTTCGACGATTGTAACCGAGTCTGAAAGAAAAATCCGTTACAACCAGCTATAGTTTTCTCGTGACATCCCGACGACCACCCTCCATTGTTATTTCTTTTGGTTATTCTTTCGTTTCTCCGCCATACTGCTACTACCAGCGACAGGAGCACTAGCACTAGCAGCACTATTGGCAGCGCAGCGCGAGGAGCTGTGCGTCACTTGTCCTTCTCGGCTCGTCTCGGTTTCAAAAGCACGCGCCCCTGCGAATGGGCTGGCCCGCCTGAATCCATTTAATAATGGCTCCAGGCGCAGCCATGCCCCGCCGCCATAGCCATCGCCGCTGTGGCCATGCAGCTCGTTTTGGAGCGGTTTCGCATGGTGCGGATGATATCTCACACCCGCCCATCGTGTCTCGCGACGTGCTACCTGTCGTACCGCACGTGACGCCACGCAATAGAATCTGTGGAGCAAGACGCTCAGATAGAGAGGAAACGGCTAGATTTCCTAAACCGCACATAGCTAGATCGTCTAGAGCGCAACGAATAAAGAATAGTCGAGAGCGCGGCGCGCATCTGGGGCATGCGGCCATGGCGCCACGTGTCGTCTGGAGGCTTCTCCTCGTGAGCGGGCTCGTGAGCCTCTTGGGGTTCGCGTCGGCGCCATGTGCGGCGGACGGCACGGCGGACGACGACACGGTGCGCGAGTGGGTCATGCCCGAGGGCAAGAACCTCACACTTCATGTGCTCGCCGATAACACCTATGGCGCCAAGTGCCTGGACGGCAGGTAAGGTGTCGGCACTTCAAGGCGCCGCCACACCGGGCGCGCGTGCCGACTTCGCAAAAGCTATTGACCCGATCGACTACTGTATGCGGAGAAAACGGATGAAAAGTCCACCGTCTTTGACCTTCATCGTCCTCACCACCACCTGTTCCGCCCCTCCCTTAACCTCCCCTGTTTGCCTTTCTCCGCGAACCAGTCCACCGGGGTACTTTCTACGGCGCGGGAGTGGTGCGGGGAAGGAGGCATGGCACATATTCTTGCCGGGCGGGGGGTGGTGCGCCACTGCGGAGGACTGCGCTGCGCGCGCCGCCACCGCCATGGGGTCCACGCGGCCCTGGACGCCCCGACGCAAGGTGCTTTCCTCCTCAACCACAGTCCGTCGCCCTTCCCTTTGACAATTCTTTTTTCTTCGTATGGTTTGATTATGTCTTGTTTGGTCTGCTTCGGCTCTTTTTTATCCCCCTCGCTTCTTTCCAGTTCTCCCCTATGCATGTGAAACCTCCTCTAGGCTCGGTTGCTTCTGTTTCCGCATCAGAGTGCGCGGCCCTTGGTGGTGCTGTTCGAGGGCATCCCAAGCCTTGAGCGCCTTTGAGACGCCTCAAAAACTCCCTTCCGTTCCCCTTCCCCTCCCCCTTCCCCTTCCCCTTCCCCTTCCCCTTCCCCTTCCCCTTCCCCTTCCCCTTCCCCTTCCCCTTCCCCTTCCCCTTCCTCTCCCCACCCCCTCCCTCCGATTCAGAGCGCGCGGCACCTGGCGGTGCTGTTCAAGGGCATCCTGAGCCCCTTGCGGCGGCGCAACCCCAACTTCTACGACTGGAACCTGGTGGTGCCGCTGTACTGCGACGGGGGCGGGTACGCTGGGCGCGCGGGGTGGAAGAAGGTGAACGACAGCACGGCCATTTTTATGGACGGCTGGCGCATCATGAAGGCCGTGCTCTCCGGTGTGTGGTCTCTCTCTCTCTCTCTCTCTCTCTCTCTCTCTCTCTCTCTCTCTCTCTCTCTCTCTCTCTCTCTCTCTCTCTCGCACACACACAAGCGCACACATACTCATCCACACTTACCTTGCCACTCTTGCACATGTCATCACTATCTTCCAAAAACATGTCCCCCCTCACATGCCACCTGAACAACCACCTGCTGCAGACCTGATGGACCATAGGGGCCTCAAGTCCGCGACGCAGGTGCTGCTGTCAGGGTGTTCTGCAGGGGGCCAGGCGGTGGTGATGCTGTGCGATCAAGTCGAGACTTTACTGCCTTCCGCCACCGTCAAGTGTCTCATGGATGGAGGCTTCTTTCTCGGTACACTCCCTTCCCCATTTTTCTCTCCTGGCGTCAACTTGCAATGTTCATCAGTCTGTGGCCCCACCTTTGCAGTGGCTCGTCTTTTGTGCTGTTCGTAGATATTGATTTCCTTTCCTTTGTTACACATGTTTATGGGTTGCTGGATACCTTTCAGATGCAAGGGACAGGAATAATAACCTCCGGTTCCGCTCCTTGGTCCAACGTGTTACGACACTACACCAGGCCACTGGAAACGCCCGCTGCAGTAGAGGTACCTTCCCTCCTCCTCCTCTCTTCCCTTCTCTCTTCATTGCGTTTTTTTCAATTCTTTGTAGCATATGAACGCCACTTTAATGAGCAACCCCCATCCACCATGCGAACATTTTCCCCTTCCTCGTTTACCCCGTCTCCTCCCTCAACCTGCTCTCCATCCACCCCTTTGCTTGCAGCCCACGAGGACGAGGAGAAGTGGCGGTGCTTTTTCCCTCAGTACGCTTTGGGCTACATCTCCTCCACCATCTACGTTGTGAACCCTCTCTTTGACTACGCTGCTCTGAGCATTGGCAACCAGCTGCCCAACAAGACATCCAGCATCGCACGGTGCCTGCACGACATAACCGTTGACATGCCATCCCTCACCGAGTCTATCCGGAACAACTCATGGACGAGCATGACATACAAGGATAACAGTCCGTGCACGGAAAACGAGCAGAAGGCCGTGGTGACTGTTGCTGGGACTATGTACAACGAGGTGAAGACGCTTGTGAAAAAAGAGCCGAGAGTTGGTGCGTATTTGACGGATACTGTGGCTCATTGCAGCACGGTGTACTCGTCTTGGGCGAAGGTTTCGGTTAATGGAGTCACAGTGAGAAAAGCCATAGGGAATTGGTACTTTGACTCGGATGGCTCTGACGATGATTCTAGGTTCTTACATCCATGACATTAATGTGTTTATACATATACATAATGCTAACTAATTTGGTTTTTGCATGTACAGCATCTGTATTCGAGCAAAAAATGGTGACGTGGAGGAACCTTCTGTGTTTCGCCCAAACCGCACTCCCCTCCCCGATCTCTGCACCAGCCATTCACAGAACTCGGAAAAATCTCCAGCTCTCTGACGACTCTCACGATGTTCGACGACTCTCACGATGGTCCTTGCCTCTCATTGCACTGTCCCCTGCATTCGTCGCGAAACTTGTGCTTAGGCGGTCCAACTCCGCTCGTCGGTCGATTCGTGTCACTCCTGACGGACCGCAAATCTAATAGGGGGCTCGGCGGGAAGGTACGGTCTTAGATCGCGAGAGGAGATTTGTTTTTACCACCTTTTACAGCCGCTGCATCAGCACCAGGATTTTCTATGGCAGCGAGTACACACGCGGCGCTTTTGGAGTATTAGATCGGGCCGATCTTATCCGCTTCCCCGGCCCGCCTTTCGCGTATGCAGATCTTCGCTGCGTGCCGTGCGGGCTAGCCGCCTTATAGTTGCTGTTCCTGAGCACAGTAATTTTCACGTTGACAATAAGAGGCGAATACTCCTCTTCGGATTCTGAGGTTCTCTCCTATCTCTTCACCCGCTGATCCGTTCGTCTCAACTAGTGCCGTTCCAGCCGGTCAATTTCTCGCCGTTCGAAAGAGCCTCGCTGCTGTTAGATACGTCACGAGTCGTGTGACCGTCGAGGAGGTTTAACGAGGGTTCAAGGAGCAGGTGTTCTGCTTCCCTTACGAGAGCGAAGGAGAAAGAGGGACCCGTGCCGTGGGCGACATGGCGGCGGCTTTGGCGACCGTCGCGAAGGCGAAGGACGGGTCGCACGTGTCGCTGGACGGCGTGCGCGACAAGAACGTGGGGCAGCTGCGAAAGCTGAACGCGGCGATGTTTCCCGTCAAGTACCAGGAGAAATACTACAGCGACGCCATGGCTGCTGGCGAATACACTAAACTGGGTATGCAATCTCACTGGCATGGATCGGCCGGCCGTCGATTCACTACCACGAATGAGTGGTTTCGTGCAAGCGCATATTTCGTTGCTGGTAGATCGTCCTTTCCCATTGGTTCCATTCGTTTTCTGCAGTCTCCGCCCTTCGTCTCCCCCTGTTATCTAACACACCCCCCCCCCCCCCCCCCCCCCTCCCCGCATTTTTCCCAAAGCCCCTCCCGCATTTTTTTCCACGTCGTCCTCTCTTCCTCTCTCCTTCCAAAGCCCCTTCGCGCCACCCGAAACCCTTGCCCGTCCTCTCCCCCACCCCTCACCCACTCCGCATCTCTCCCTTCCCCCGTCCCCCCCCCCCTCCCCCCGTCCCCCTCTTTTCCGCCCAACACTTCCTCCCTCCCCCCGCATTTCCCTCCCCCACTCCTCGTTCCCCCAGCGTTCTACAGCGACGTGCACGTGGGCGCGGTGGCGTGTCGGCTAGAGCGCGAGGCGGGCAGCGGCGGCGGCGTGAAGGTCTACATCATGACGCTCGGCGTGCTCGCGCCCTACCGCCGCCTCGGCATCGGTGCGCGCTGCCTTTCTCGCTGTTACTAGCCGGGAAACGGTTGTGGGGTGGGGGTGAGGGTGTTGTGGGGTGGGGCTAGGCCGGTGTGGGAGTGTTTGGCGAGAGGGGTTATGAAAAAAGGCGAAATGGGGGAGGGCGGGTCCGGGGCGGAGAATGGGTGCGTCACTGCCACTGGATTTGCCGTTGACAGTATCACATCCCATCCACAAGGCGGGACTTCCTTCCCTCACTCCCTCCGTTCCTCCCTCTCCCATTCCCACTTACCCCATCACCTGCTCCATAAACCTCCCTTCTAAACTTCCTCTTCCCCACCCCCCTCCCCATTTCTTCCCCCTCTCCTCCCCGCTCCCCCCGCTCTCCTGTTCCCCTCGGCCCCACCCTTCCCCACTCTCCCGTTCCCGCCCCCACCCTTCCCCCTCCCCGCTTCTCCCCCGCGCGCCCCTGCGTTTCCCGCGTGCTGCTGCTGCTGCTCCACCCACCCACCCACACGACCAGGCTCGTTGCTGCTGCAGCATGTGCTGAGTCAGTGCGAAGCAGAGGGGTCAGGCGTACGAGAGGTCTACCTGCACGTGCAGACCAACAACGAGGAGGCCATTGCCTTCTACTCGCGCTTTGGCTTCGCTATAACGGACACCATTAAGAACTACTACCGCCGCCTGCAACCTCCCGACTGCTACGTGCTCTCGCGGTCGTTTGGCCCGGGGGCCACCGCCGGCGCCCAGCAGAACGGCACTGCTGCTGCTCCAGGGCAATAAGACTGCTCGGACAGTGTTGCGTTTGTGTGCGCCTGCATTTTTCTGCTCTTTTCTTAGGTCTGTGGGTTCCTTTTTTTTTGTCCTTTAATCTTTCCTTGTCTTGTCGGTGATAGGTAGAGTAGAGTGACTGTCAGGGCAATGTGACAAAGCACATGCAAACCTGCTAAAAAACATCCAATAAAAGCATGCTGGAAGGTACCGTATTGTTACAGTTAGGCAGCGTATCAAGCATATTCAGCTTTAGTGAATTCTGATCTTCCTAACAAAGAACGCATCAACACTATTGTGCACCTCAAGAGTGAAACTGAGCTGAAGCTTTTCATCATTGCTTGTGTCATTGTATTGGTGGGACAATCTCCTTTTCTAACATAGCATGCTGCACCACGCCACCTTCCTTGCTGGCCAGTAAGCAGCAATAGAAGAGTTGCATTTCACTTATACACCTCCACCCTCTGCACACCCTGCACTGCACTGCACTGCACACTGTACAAGACCAACTTGTCAAATGTACACATACACATACACAAGCACACTTGCGCTTTTACAAGCATGCGCATGAACAGCATGAGTCTCCACCCACCATTTCTCTTCTCTGCTCTCTGCTTCCCTGCTCTGCTCTGCCCTGCTCTGCTCTACCCTGCTCTCCTCTTTTCCTCACTCCCATGCTATAGTCCTCTCCTCTCCTCGCTGTCCTCTCCTATGCTCACCTCTCCTCTCCTCACCTCCTCTCTCCTCTCCTCTCCTCTCCCCTCTTTTCCTCTCCACTCTCTCCCCGCCCTCCTCTCCTCTCCCCCTCTCCTGCCGTCCCCTCCCCTCCTCGTCCCCTTGCTCTCCTCTCCTCACATCACATCACACAGCAGACGACCGCAGTGTTTCAAACAGCAAGCCCCTGCCACAGCCAGTTCCCCCATGGAAGGCCGCAACAACAGGGGACGACTTTTGAGGCGCCGCAAAAGTCGTCTCCTGCTCTTCTCTCCTCACATCACATCGCATCACACGCCAGACGACCGAAGCGTTTCAAACAGCAGGCCCCTGGCAGCCAGGCCAGGCCACAGGCGGTCCCCCCCATGGAAGGCCGCAGCAGGGGGCAGCACCCCTCCTGTAGGTAGGGTTGCGGGCGTACGGGTCAGGAGAAACACGGCGCTCTGCACTGCAATGCGTGGGGTTACCACGTAACCCATCTCCTGAAGGTGGATGGGATGGGAGCGGGGAGAGGAGGCAGGGATGAGGGAGTGCGTGTGCATGTGCGTCTGTGTGTGCGTGCGTGCGAGCATGCGCGTGCGTGAGAGCAAAGTGATCAATTCATTTCCCTTACAGGTCCACTGACAACAGTTGACACATGGCAGTCCGGTATGGGCCGAATGCGCTTGCCCTTGCCCTTCCCACGATCGCCACGCTGCTGCTGCTCGCCCCCTTGGAACGCAGTAAGTGTGTCCTGGGAAAACCCCCGTGCCTCAAACAGCATGCGGAACCGCGTGCATGCTAGCTGCTCCGGTGACGGACCTGTGGTGGGTGGCAGTGCCAACAGGCCACCCGGGGGAAACGAAAGACACAAGAATTCGGAGGCGGAGGCTATGGAAGATGGATTGGTAGCGGTTGTCGTGGTGGGTGGATGCTGGATTTTCCAATCGCTTCTCCAAAGGCAGTTCCCGATACGTTGTTTTGTGAGGTGGATTGGTAGCTTGTCTACGTCCGTCCTGTGTTTCTCAAGAAGCTCCTGGCACTGTGATACAGAAAAACGGATGGCAGCACTTGCACTGAAAAACAACCGCCAGCCGTGAGGGCCTCAAAGGAGCGAGCCAAATATGTTTTCAGTGGACTCAGATTACCCTCACCTTGATGTGAGAAGACCCCAAAGGAGAAGTGACTAGGGTACTTGAGCAGCAGCTTGATGCCGAACGGCACGGCGGTGAGGGCCTTAAGCAGCGCGCCAAATGGTGTTCTGTGGCGACTGAATCGATGTTTTGGGAGCTCACCTTGATGCGAGAAAACTCCAAAGGAGAACAGGCTAGGGTTGATGCCAAACGGCAGGGCCGTGAGGGCGTTAAAAAGGAGTGCGCCGAAGATAATTCGAGTTGATTCACATCGCGCTCACCTTGATGTGAGAAGACTCCAAAGGAGAACAAGCTCGGGTATTTGAGCAGCAGCTTGATGCCAAACGGCACGGCGGTGAGGGCCTTGAGCAGCGCGCCGAAGGCGAGGAAGAGGCAGACGTGGAAGGAGGAGGACACTGTGAAGTAAGCCGAGTAATGCACCATGGCTGCTGCGTTGCTCGGCACTGGCAGGCTCTCCAGCCCCGTGCCTTGCACCATGCTCACTGCTGCTCCTGACGCTGCTGCTCCTGCTCTTGCTCCTCCTGCCCCTGCTCCTCCTCCCCCTGCTGCTGCTGCTGCTGACGCCGAAGACTCAGGCGGTGGTGACGACGGCGATGCAAGCAGGGCGTCAGTCTCCCCTTGCCCACCACTCTCCTCCTCCTTCCCCACACCCTCTCCTCCCCCCACTGCTCCAACATCTCCCTGATTCCCTGCTACAGCCTGCGCTGCAGCGGCGGCTTGGAAGGCAGCAAGGGAGCGGCGGACAACAGAGGCATCGGCGCCCATGAAGGGCAGCACCCACGCGTTCACCTGCCCGCCCACCCACCGCGGCCACACCGGCAGCACCCACCGCCGCACCAGCGGCCATAGGCCCTTCTCGCCCCCCTCTGGCTCTGCTGGCGCGCGCAGCAACGACGGTAGCTTGCCCTTACTGCTGCTGTTGCTGCTTCCAGAAGAGGGTTTTTTCGTGCCCCCTGCAGCTGATTTGGCTGCTTCCCTGCGGATAGCCCTGTCGAGCGGACGATAGAGGGGAGTGGTGGGTTGGCATGGGATTGCACAAAGCAAACAAGGGAGTGAAATTCCAGGTAACAGGCGGACGGACGAGATTTCGAGGAAGGAAGAACGATGAGAGAAGCAGCGTGCACTAACAGCACCAGAAGCAGCAGCTGACTGGCAGCGCCCACTACTTCAGAACCCTTCATTCACCAAACCCCCCATACCTCCCTCCCTCCCTCTTCCTCACCCATCCCACCTATCCACCCATCCCTTTCCAATTTCGCTCCACCTCTGGACCTCTGCCGTCTAAGCAGACTCAATACCAACCAACCAACCCCACCACAGCCCCAACCCCACCACGGCTTTCCCTTCTGAGACGACTCAAAAGCCCCCCAACTCACCGGAGCTCCCCAGCGGAAGCGAGGCCATGCACGAGGGATTCCCACGTGGCGTAGTGGCCTGCCAGGCCGCGGGGCGCTGACACGGACAGGTATGAGTCCACTGCCACCGCTGCTGCTCGCTCTGGGGGCAGCTGCCGCAGCTGTTAAGGGGAGAAAAGGGGGTGGGGAGGGGTGTTGGGGTGGATTCCGCAGGGGATATGGAAAGGAGAGAGTTGGAAGATGGAGAGGGGGAGAATGAGTCCAGTGACATCGCTGCTGCTCGCTCTGGGGGCAGCTACTGCAGCTGCGGTGGGGAGAGAAAGGTTGGGGCGTGCAGACCGGGTGGATGAGCAGGGGGCAGGGCGCATGAAAAGAAGAGAATTTCAATGGACGAGGGGGGGAGGGGGGGGAGGAGAGGGAGGATGGATTGGGAAGAATCGCATTATACAACTGTGAAAACTGGCACTGCTGGTGCTCGCTTCAGGGCGAGCTGGGGACACGATAAGGTGGGGTGTGCAGCAGGAAGGGGCGTGCGGGCGGATGGAGGAGGCTAGGCAGAAAGAGGACGACGATTTAGGCGTGATGGGAAGGGATGGACGCAGGATGAGTGGAGTGGAATGAATTTAGTGAAAGTGACCAAGTGAATCATGGCAATACAAAGGTATGCAGCTGAATCGGTTACGAAACTTGAAGATGCAACTACCAACAAAGCACCACCACGCATTCCTCCCTCCCTCCCCTCCCCCCCTCTCATCCGCCCCCTCCCCCTCTCCCTTTTCCACCCCAAATCATCCTCCACCCCTTGCACCCACCCACCCTTCCCCCACCACGCCTCGTCCCCCCGCCCAAACATCTCCGCACCGTGTACTGCGCGCCTAGATCCGCGGGCACGAAGTCAAATCCGAATTTCGAGGGGGAGATCCGCCTCAAGGGTCATACCGTGTATTGCGCGCCGAGATCCGCGGGAACGGAGTCGAACCCGCACGCGGACACCACGAGGCAGCCCGCCTTCACCGCCGCGGCGTGGTGCGCGAACGCCATGCGCTCCATGAATTCCGGCTCCCCGCACACGTCCACGTAATCCGTGCCGGCCGACACGCACGCCTCCACCACCGGCGCGCCGTAGAAGCGGAACGGCCCCACGCAGTTGATCAGCACGCAGCAGCGCCGCGCCATCGCCGCCAGCGACGCGGAATCGCACACGTCCGCGACTACGATCGCCACTCCGCCCGGGCCTGCCTCCCCCTGCTCCGCCGCTCCCGCGGATGCCGCGGATGGCGCCGGTCCCGCGAATCCGCCCGCCTCCTTGCGCACACTCGCCTCCGCCGCCGCCACCGCTTGCTCCACCCGCGCGCGGCTGCGCCCCGCGGCCGCCACGCGAAGGGGCGCGTGGGGGGGAAGCGGAGTGCCTGTGAAGGCAGAAGCGGGGAGCGAGAGCGGGAATGGGGGCGGGAGCGGAAGATACGATCAAGACTTCAAAATCTTGGCGCCTCTCCCCCCTTTCCCCCCCACCTCTTTTTCACTCCAACAAACTACTTATACTACAAAAAGATCGAGAAAGATCATGCGACAGAGGAGCGATCAGCATCCACGCACCAGAGACTATCGAGCGAGCCACTCGCATCGCCTCTATGAGCACGAATCGTCCCGTAAATCCCGACGCGCCGAACACAACGATGTCAAATTCTCGGCCCGCGCGGTTCGCCCATTTCGCAGGGCTCGGAACTTGCGGAGAAGCCATGACAAATCGCGATTAGTAGCAGGCCTCCTATGGACGAGATTAGCTACCTGGGCACGGAACTATGATGGAGCATGTCATGTGATGATTCACACGCAATATATTCCGACCTATCTTATGACTTGATGGTGTAACGAAAAAGAGAGAAAACATATCTGGACTTATAAGCGGTTCGATACGATGAATCCCCGTGTCATTAGCTTCAGTAAGTTACACTCCGGTGCAGAGAGTTGGCCGTCAGCACACTTGTTTTCGGGCGTGTGCCTTGCATTGCAGTGCCACGTGGCGATGACAAGGTCAAGAGAGCGGCGGGTCTGTGTACAGTAGCACCCCTACGCAGGTCCGAACCGAAGCTGCCCTAGCGCGTACCCAGGCCTACAAAACGAGATTTGACTGTTTCGACTGGCTACGCTAGGTAGCCTTGGGGGTAGATACCATCTCTCGAACTTGTCGATACCCTTTGGACGTAGTCAAATAACATTTTTGACAACACTCTAATTTCTGGCAGTCCATCCGGGCCCTGGTGGGTCGAATTCCACCAGGGCCCAAGTGTTGGTGGGTAACATTTTTTACAACACTCTAATTTCTGGCAGAAACTCTAGCCCAATGTTGGTGAACCTTGCTCCGAAGCTGGTACAGGGTCTGGTCCACTGGTCTGTGCCGGACCAAGGTGAACCAAACCAAAGCAGGTATGTCACATTTTGGTTTGCTCTCGTGACCTTGCTGATTTGGTCAGTCAGCGGTTATTGAGCAATGCGATTTTCCGAGTCTGAATCTGAAGCTTCAAGCGTGTGAACTATTGATCCCGAGCACCCAGTAAAGTACAAAAATTCTGCCCTTAGCTTCGGAAATGGTACTTATAGAAAGTGACAGCCAAAGGTCTTCTCTCTCATTCGAAGGAACACCGAAGTGCAGCACAGCTCTGTGGGGCTAACGAGAATATTTGTAGTTTTCCCGTGGCACCTTTGTAAGGGAAGAAATCCCCCTTTTCCAGGTCAAATGTTCGGAGAAGTAGGGCGTGCTACTCAGGGTCCGCGGAACCCTTGGTTCCCTGCGGACCAAGCGGCCCAGCCCGCAGACCAGGACGGACCACCTGTGAGCCAGCTCGCAGACCAGAAAGTACAGAAACTGGTTACCAAGTAACAGCATCTTGGTCCGTTCCGGGCCGAGCCATTTTGCTGGTCCGCCAGGCAAAACTTCTGGGATTGATTTGGTCCATCAGACCAGTCCGCAAGATTCGTGTGGGACATGGTCTGGGCCTGGACCGTCGGACTAGCCCCACTCAGCGGACCAGGGGCTACGCGGACCCTGAGTAGCACGCCCTTACACAAGCCTCATTCGGCAGCATAGCTTCCCCTCCACCCCGGACCACAGTGGTGTTTTCTTTCACGAGCCTTCCCTCCCCCCACACCATCGGGTTGGGTTCGAGATGAATCTCCCTAGCCGCTACCGTCAGCGTTGTTGAAGGGAGGGAGAAGCCAACAACGGTATAAGTTAGTGTGAGATTTATTCCAGACTAGTATATCGTCCTTGTCAAGTCTTCTACTCTTCCCCTTCGCAGCTCCTCCTTTCCCGTCGCTAGGCGGTCGGAACCCGGCGGAGGCGTAGCAAGGAGCGGTTCCGTCAGAACAAGTTGCATACCAGGGGAAGCGGTACTATGCGGGAGGATGGCGATGGGGATGGGGATGGGCAAAGCCTGGGGGAAGGTCCTGGGGAAGTGGCGGAGGCAGGGACCGTAGTCAGCTCATCGTGCAAGCGCATCAAGTACGGCGATAGGTAGGGGTTGCTTACTACTTAGAGATCCACGTCTGAATAACGTAGGCATTGGAAAATATTATGGAGTAAATGTACGAGAAATCTCCGGTGGGACTTTCAGAGTGAAATACAACACTCATCAGCTAGCTTTGGCTTTTTGTTGCATGGGAAAGCGCAGCGTCACGTTGAAGCAAGCTTGTTTGCCCTGGCACATTAGCGTCTGTGCAAATCTGACTCTTAATCCGATTTTTTATCGTTCTTAAGCTCCTGGTGCGTCGTTGATCTCTGACCGTGATAGCCTACCATACGTAGGGCCTTGTAAGGCTGGATGAATCACTTTAGTGTCAACGTCGATTCGTTTTTCCCGTATAAAACTGCTCTAGAAACTCGGCCTCTTGTTCATTCGTTACTCCTTTGTTCTTTCTTTCTTTTTTCTTTCGTTTTCTTATTCTTTTTTTTTTTTTTTCGTTCGCTTTCTTTCCTTGCCGAGCATGGTGCCGAGTCTGTAATCACCAAGCCCGTTGGCGTCTTCAACATCTTCCGAAACCTAGAAGTCTCCATATTTATCCTCTTTTCCTGTTTCGTATTTGGCTCTTCTCTGCCCGTCTTCATTCTTCGTTTCTCTCTCCGCTAACCCTATTTTTCCCATCGCAGCGACAACACCGGTTCGTCACCTCCACCTCCAGCGGCAGACTCGCAGCAGCGCTCCCTCCCCGCGTTATCTCCGCGTTCCGCCCGCAACCCGCCTGCCTCTTTCTCCGCGAGCGCCAACCGCAGCCGCACTCCCCTCCTCCCGCCCGTTAGCCCGCCTGCGGCAGTCGGTGCGGTCATGAGCTGGCGCGGGGGCCCGCGATGGGCGGACGAAGCGGAGCGAGAAGAGCGCCAACAGGGCTGGCTGGGGGACGAGGGTGCGGACGAGCAAGCATACCGCGATCCGCGGGAAGGGGATCTGGTGGCCCAAGAAACGACGAGTGGGCGGGCGGACTGTGTCCGGGGAGATGGGCGCGAGGGTAAAGGGAAGGAGGATACTGCGGGTGAGGCAGGGGAAACGGAAGGGGGAGCAGAAGGGGGATCGGGGGGAGGCGTGGGTCCCGAAAAGAGCAGAGGGGAAAGCAGAGGCGTGGAGCAGCTGCGTTCTCATATCGAGAGCTCGCTTAGCGTTCCGTTCACGTCTCCTGTCCCTGGCATCTCGTCGCGTGCTTCGCAGCGGAACGCTCGGACGCGGTACGGACCGTTGACTGGCAGGATGTGGTGGCGCGAAGGCACTGCCAACTCTGCGATAGACGGTGCTGGTGGTAGTGGTGCTGGTGGTAGTGGTGCTGGTGGTAGTGGTGCTGGTGGTAGTGGTGGTAGTGATACTGGTGGTGCTGGTGCTGGTGCTGGTGGTGGTGGTGGTGGTGGTGCTGGTTCTGCTGCTGCTGGTGTTACTGGCTCTGGATTTGGTGTGGCGCCCGGTGTGGGTAGATGTGCCAGAGAAGGAGGCTTGGGAGATGGTGATATAGGAGAGAGTGAGAGGAGGAGAGTTGCGAGAGCAGTGGAAGAGGAGAAAGCGACGGAGGGAGTCGGTTGTGTTTCTGAGGTAGGAGACGGGATTGAGCTGGCAGGGAGAGGCGGTGGTGCTTCTCTTTCTGCTTCTGCTTCTGCTTCTGCTGCTGCTGTTGCTGCTGCTGGTGGTGGTGCTGGTGCTGCTGCTGATGCCGCTGCTGCTGGTGGTGCTGGTGCTGCTGCTGCTGCTGCTGCTGGTGTTGCTGCTGCTGCTGCTGCTGCTGGTGCTGGTGTTGCTGCTGCTGCTGGTGCTGGTGTTGCTGCTGCTGCTGCTGCTGCTGTTGCCGCTGCTGCTGCTGGTGTTGGTGCGGCTGCTGCTGCTGCTGGTGCTGGGGCTGGCGATGCAATGGGTTTTGATGAGGCAATGGAGGCTGGGGGATGGAGGAGGGCCGAGGGCGGGCGGATGTACAGGATTCGGGGTGGGAGAGAATATTTCATGGGCTATGGCTATGGGGACTACGATGATGACGATGACGATGAGGATGATGATGATGACGTGGAGGGGGAGGGGGATGCGCTGATGCGGCGGTATCATCTTGATGTGACCTGGGCTAGGAGAGGACCGAGAGACCGCTTGGAGGTGGGTAGGGAAGGTGGCGGCAGGAGGGACAGGTGGTATGAGTTGGACAGGCGGGGCGGGGAGGAGTGGAGACGGCGTGCGCGCGATTGGGGGCTGGATGAGTGGAGGAGGGATGAGTGGCGAAGGGATGAGTGGTGGAGGGATGAATGGAGGAGGGAAGCGTGGAGGAGGGATGAGTGGAGGGAGGTAGAGTGGAGGAGGGCGATGGAATGGGACACGAGGGGCGGGAGAGAATGGGCAAGAGAGTGGGAGAGGAGGAGGGATCGGCGGGGGCTGGAGCGCGGAGGGATGCGGGACGTTGAAAGGCAGGTGGGGGAGGGGGGTGCCGGGGTAGGGGGAGGAGGAGCACGCATGGATTGGAGATTTCAAAGGATGGAACAGCATGAGAGGTATGAGAGGATTGAAAGGCTTGAAAGGCTTGAGAGGCTTGGGAGGAACGGTGCAGATGCGGATGGAACTCGACCCACTGGCCCCAGGCGCAATGGCCCTTTGCCTCCTCCTGGGACTGGTGAGGCTGTGCCTGATCGTGCTGCTGCTGCTGCTGCTGCTGCTGCTTCTGCCGCTGCTGCTGCTGCAACTTCTGGTGCTGCCTCTGCTACTGCTGCCTCTTCTGCTGCTGCCGTGCGTCCCTCCCCTCGCCCTGCCGTGGCCCCTCATGTTGCTGTGCTACCCGCTCCTCGCGTTGCAGCGTTGGCACCTCCTCACGTAGGATCCTTGCCTCAACACATTCCCGTCGTGACCCAAATGGGTGATGCGGGTGGGGGCGACGGACAGGGGAGTGCAGGGGCAGGGACGCGTGAACGAGCGGGGGGCAGGGGTGCGGGAGGAGGGGAAGCAGGCGGAGGAGGAGGGGGAGCGTTGGGAGATGGAAGAGTCGGAGGTGCGAGAAGAGGAGGGGGCGTAGGCAGTAGGAAAGGTGGAAAGAGAGGGGCAGGAGGAGGGGGAGGAGGAGGAGGAGGAGGAGGAGGGGGGGGGGGGGGGAGGGGGAGGAGGAGGAGGAGGGGGAGGAGGAGGAGGAGGAGGAGGAGGGGGAGGAGGAGGGGGGAGGGGGGGGGGAGGGGGAGGGATGGAGGTGATGGCAGTGGGGGAGGAGAAGGAGGAGGTGAAAGGGCGAGCGGGGACAAGGGGCAGCAGAGTGGCAGTGGTAGGGCCGGCGACAACGGCAGCGGTAGCAGTCGCAACAACAAGAACAACAACCACAACGGCAACAACAATGGCAACAACAACGGCGGCAACAACAACAACAACCCCAACCCCGCAGACCACCCGCAGACAACCCACACCCACACCCCGACCTGGTCCCAGACGTGCTCTACCACGTCTTCTCCTTCCTTGACCACCCCTCCCTCTGCCGCGCAGCCTTAGTCTGCCAGCGCTGGCGCCTCGTGAGCGAGCACCACGAGTTCTGGCGCCACCTCTCCTTCCAAGGCTTCCCCGCCGCCACCTTCGCCCACGTGCACCGCCTCGCGTGCAAGTACCCGCAGGCGCACTCTCTCAACCTCTGCGGCCTGCGCTTCACACAGCAGCAGATGGAGGCCATTCTCACCCCGCTCGCCTCCCACCTCCGCAGCCTCTCCCTCGGGCTGGAGCGAATCCCCGAAGACATCTTCGCGTGTATCGAAACCTCCTGCCCGTTGCTCACGCACCTGCGTGTGATCGACGCCGTGATTGGAAACCCCATGCTGCCGGAGCTTTTCCTCTCCAACCCTAAGCTAGTCAGCCTGCACATGCTCTCCTGCTGTCTCCTCCGTGTGGTGCTGAACCTCCCAGAGCTCACCCACCTCTCGCTCGCCCGCACCACCGTCACCCAAGTCACCCTCTTCTGCCCGCGCTTGCTCTCCCTCGATCTCTCCGGCTGCCATAAGCTCTCGGATTCCGGTCTCCGAGTGGCTGTCCTCGACTGCCCGACTATCACCGCTCTCAACATCTCCTCTTGCTCCTACACCAGCGATGAAACCCTCTCCCAGATTGCCACGCATTGCCGGCTCCTAACCTCGCTGGATATTTCCGGCTGCTCGAATGTGTCTCTGGACCGGGTTCGTCTGCCGCAGCTGACGAGTCTGCGCCTGGTGGGGTGTGATAGCATCACAAACGCGTCCCTCGCGTCCCTCGCGCACTGCATGCAGCTGGAGAGTCTGGTAATGGATGGCTGCCCGCTGCTGTCGGCTGTGACCCTGGTGCTGCCCGTGCTGCGGCATATCTCCGTGCTGGGGTGCCGGCAGCTGAAGAAGGTGTGTGTGACGAGCGAGAGGCTGGAGAGCATTGGGATCGCGCCCACTGTGGGTGGTGTTGTTCCTGACTGCTCTTTCCGCCTGCAGCAGCAACAGCAGGGGCAGCAGCAGGGGCAGCAGCAGGGGCAGCAGCAGCAGCAGCAGCAGCAGGGCCGGCAACAGGGGCAGCAGCAGGGGCAGCAGCAACAGCAAGACCAGGGGCAGCAGGATGAGTGGATGCAGCAGGAGGAAGGCGACGTGGAGAGGCGAATGGATCAGGTGGATGGGGTGGCAGGAGCAGATGCGGAGAGGCAGGAGCAGGGCGAGGGTGCACAAGCAAGGCTGGCAATGCTGGCACGGCTGACAAGGCGCGGACAGGCAGAGGTTCAGGTCCCCGGACCGAGAGTGTGGATCACGCAACCAGGGGGGCTGGGACAGAGGCTGCGGCAAGGGCAGGAGCAGGGGCGGGCGCAGGGGCAGGGGCAGGGGCAGGGTGAGGGGCAGGGAGAAAGGCAGGGGGAGGGGCAGGGGGAGGCGCAGATGCAGGGTTTTGCGCAGGGGCAGCACGGGGTGCTGAGCAGCTTGGAGATTCGGTCGCCTGCGATGCAGCGCCTGGACCTGCGGTCGCAGCTGTACCTGGAATCGCTCGTGCTGCGCTGTGGTAATCTGGTGGAGCTGCAGCTGTCTGCGTGTGATGGGCTCACGAACGAGGTGTTCCGCTCGCTGAGTGAGGTCGATGCGTGCCCACGCCTGGCTGTTCTGCACATGGACGACTGTGAGGTGAGTTCTGAGGCACCTTAGAAGGTCTGAGGCGTCTTAAAGGTGTCGAGGCGCCTCACAAGGTGTTCTGCTCGCTGAGTGAGGCAGATGCATGCCCGCGTCTGGCTGTTGTGCACATGGATGACTGTGAGGTGAGTTGTTAGTGGGGAGCGGCTCAAAAGTGTTGAGGCACCTCACGAGGCGTTTCATGCGCTGAGTGAGCCAGATGCGTGGCCCCGGCTGGTTGTGAGGTGAGTGTGAGCCAGATGCAAATGGACGACTGTGACGTGAGGAGGTATGGCCGCATGGGGTTTGGTCAGGGTTGTGCACTGCTCTTTGTGCACTGCTGCTGATTGTGCGTTGCTGATGTTGCTGCCGACCAGTCCTGTTTCCTGGTTTCTCAGATTCTTTGTGATTCTTGCCCCACTGCAAAAGTCTTAGGGGCATAAAGCAGCGACCTCCATTTTCCTTTCATCACAAACCCGTCTCCCGCTCCTTCTGCCTCTCCTTCCCTCTCTCTCCCTCTCTCCTCTCCCTCTCCCTCTCCCTCTCCCTCTCCCTCTCCCTCTCCCTCTCCCTCTCCTTCTCCCTCTCCCTCTCCCTCTCCCTCTCCCTCTCCCTCTCCCTCTCCCTCTCCGTCTCTCTCTCTCCATCTCCTCGCCCTCTCCCTCCCTCCGTTGCAGGGCCTGACCGACGTGCACCTGACAGCCCCCTCCCTCCAGTACCTCTCTCTCACCGGCTGCCGCCGCATCACCGCCCTCTCCCTCGCCTGCCCCGTCCTCCACACGCTCCTCCTCGATTCCTGCGACAACCTCTCCTCCGCCTCCCTCGCCCCCGTCGCCCTCACCTCTCTCAACTTCGGCATCTTCCCGCACCTCACCTCCCTCCGCCTCCACGCACCCGCACTCACTTCCCTCGAGCTCTGCGGATGCGGGCAGCTGCAATTCACGGATATCCGCTGCCCGGAGCTCACCTCTCTCGACGCGTCTTACTGCAGTCTTCTCTCCAATGAGTGTCTACTCGCCGTCTCCCTCCACTGCCCGGCGATCCGCACGCTTGTACTCGCCGCGTGCCCCACCGTCGGCCCTGCAGGCTTAGCTGCGTTGTCTCTCCTGAAAAGGCTGTCCTGTCTGGATCTGTCGTATACGTTTCTCACCTCGCTGCACCCTGTGTTCTCCACGTGCCATGGGCTGGTCACCCTGCGGCTTTCTGCGTGTAAGTATCTCACAGAAGGGGCGCTGGCGCCGCTGGTGGAGTGGCGGGAGGGAGGGGAGGCAGCGCGGGGAGATGGAGGGTCGGTGGGAGGGGCGAAAGGAGGGAGGGGAGGGATGGATGCAGAGGCATGCACGGAAGGAGTAGATGGTGAAGGAGCACGAGCAACCACAGTGGGTTCAACCGGAGGGGAAGCAACGAGGATTGAAAAACAAGCATCCGCAGCAGCGGCAGCATCAGCAGATGCAGCAGAGACGGAGGAGGAGGTAAATGTGTCAGGAGGTTCAGGCAGTCGGGAGGGAGAGCAGGGGGGACCGGCAGATACAGAGAGCGAGTCTGCATGCAGTGCGCTGCCGTACTTGCAAGAGCTGGACATATCGTATGGGAGTATTGGCAGGGCGGCGCTAGCAGCGCTGGTGGGTGGGTGTCCGCGCCTGCTGCACCTGTCCCTGAACGGGTGCACACAGGCAGACGACTCCATGTGGGATGAGCTCGCTGCTGCTGCTGTGAATGATTCTGCTGCTGCTGGTGGGAGGATGGATTGGGAGGAGGGTCAGAGGGGGCGGAGTGTGCAGGAGGAAGAGGAGGAGGTGGTGGAGGAGGAGTCTGTACCTGGCAGCACGACAGAATGCAAGCATCGACAGCTGCAGCAGCTGCAGCAAGAGCAGCAGCGCCAAGAGCAGCAGAAGCAGCAGCAGTACAGGCGCCTGCAGTCCCTCAGCTGTGTGGGCTGCCATGGCTTCACCTCCATCCGCCTACCAAACCCCTCCATCTTCCCGCGCTCACAGCGCTCAACTTCACATTCGCCATTAACGTCACGCATGCACACATCGCATGCCCGCAACTTACCTCCCTCAACCTCAGGTAAGCTAAGATCTCTCTGTGAAATGAGTTGTTTTAGGTGTACCTTGACATGTCCAGTAGTCATGCGTTTCGTATGGGCCATGCTTGTCAGCATATTCTGTTCCTGTCCTTTGCTCCTGTACTTTGTTGCAGCTCAACATGTTCTTATCACTACGCTCTACTCACTCCATCACCTATCTCCTTTCGGTTCTCTTCTCCATGTGTGTGCTCCCCAACTCTGTCCTTCTCTCCACTCTCGCCCTACCAGCAAGTGCAAGTCGCTGGCTACTCTGCATCTCGACTGCCCTCGTCTCACCACACTCACCCTCCAGGTAACCCCTGTTCTACTCACCCAAGCCCTCACCATAGCCCTCGCCCAAGCCCTCACCCAAGCCCTCGCTCCAGCACTTTGTGCGCTCCTTATGCGTCACCTTCTACAGCGCATCCGTTTTCCTGCCAAGCCAGTTAACCACCTCAAGAACATGTCTGGACTGCACAGCATTTGTACTAACTAACCCTCTTGAGTTGGATCAACAACCAAAAACCAGTCTGTTGTGCTGTCGTGACATGTCGCATTTTTCTCAGAGTACGCCTGCAACACACAGCACAGCACAACACACACCACCAGTCTACACCATCCTCGTGCAACCACTCTCGCGCCCCTCCTCATCTGATTCTCCCCATCCCTTGCCCCGGTGCTTCCCTCCGTCCATCAAAAGCTTCCTTCTATGTAACCTTCTTCATTCCCCCAAACCCCCACCACCCCCACCCTCCACACTGCCTCCCCTTCCCCGCCTCCCATTGCCCGCATCCCTGTGACCCTTCCAACTGTGCTGCGGCAGATGTGTGCGCTGTCGTCATCAGAGCTGCTTGCAGCCATGGCTGGTTGTCCTTCTCTTGAAACCCTGGACGTGCAGCATTGCCCCAATGTACGTCCCCTCATCCCTTGCTTTCCGTGGGCAAGCGAGTAGGCAATAGTTCTGGTCGACTCAAAAATACACATAGCCCAAATGTGCATGCCCGCGTTTTTATGGCCGAGTAGGGGATACAGTTTGACGATTCTCAGTTGACAGTAGCACAGCTATACTGTCGTGCTGGTATCTGATTCGTGGTTTCGCTCTCCCCCCAAAGTCTGTCTCTCTCTCTCTCTCTTTCCTGCGTCGTCTGACTATTTTCTTGTATATTACCTTGTGCTTAGCTTTGCCCAGGTAGCACTCTGATTGACTTCTCTTGCAAGTATGATTTTATCTGCTTCCTCTGCACGCCTTCTTACGTTGTGTGCTTGCATCCCATCAAATTCCCATCCCATCCCATCCCATCCCATCCCATCCCATCCCATCCCATCCCATCCCATCCCATCCCATCCCATCCCATCCCATCCCATCCCATCCCATCGCATCCCATCCCATCCCATCCCATCCCACCCCATCCCATCCCATCCCATCCCATCCCATCCCACCTCCTCACATCCCTTTTAATGCCACCAATTCTCTTGTGTTCTGCATGTGCCAGCTTGACACGGACACAGTGTCTCAGCTCAGGGAGCAACACCCTAGCATCCAGAGGGTGTACACTACACTAAGCGCATGAGATTTTTTGGATGCAACAACCACGGAGATGCACATATTCTGAAATTATAGCTTGTTGTTTCTCGATTGCCGATTCGTGTATAAGTTGCTATGGATCAAATGGATGGTTCCTGACTTGTGTGTGCAACGTAAGTTTATGTGTAATTGTTAATCTTCGTGTTCAACTAGTAAGGGACATGCTTCGTTGCCGCTTGTAACAATCTGAAATTCGGCACGGCGATCTCCCTCGGGTGAGCCGTACCGTTCACCACAAATCGTCTCTCTGCTCCTTCACAAATTCATGAGAACTTGTGGCGTTCGGTTCTGCAGTGTGGCTCAGCAAAGAACGCGAGGATTCAGTTCTTGCGTCTTTGTCCCAGTCCGAATGTCACCAATCGAGTGGTAGTTTATCCAAGGCACGACTACTCCTAAGTCGTTGTAATCTTGGCCGCTAGATGGCGCATCCGACGGCTCCCGTAAGCCGACGGAATCAGTCCAGCTCGCAGCGAATTCTGGCGGCTGCGCGTTGGCTGGCCGCAGCAGCGACGCTCGGCGCGCTGACCTGGACCGTTTACGCGTGGACAGTCGCGCTGCCTGCTCCCGTCCCGGCTGACGTGGCACCCCCGTGGTCGTTCTCGGAGGAGCGCGCCATGGAGCACGTGCGACAGCTGACCGCCGTTGGTCCGCACGAATTCGCGTCGCCCAGGCTGGAACGAGCGATGGAGGTGAGTGAGAGTAGGGCGGAGGCGAGGTGGACTGAGATGAGATTTGTGTCTGTGAAGTTTTTACAAACTCATGATTTCTTTCTTTCGTTCTCTCGTTCTTTCTTTTGCTCTTTTTTTTCGTTTCTTCCTTTCTTTCCTTCTATTTCTCTTTCTTTCTTTCTTTCTTTCTTTCTTTCTTTCTTTCTTTCTTTCTTTCTTTTTCTTTCTTCTTTCTTTCTTTCTTGCTTGCTTGTTGTTTCGTTTAGTTTCTTGATCGTTAGCAGTTTCAAAGCTTAGGTATGGCGTCAATGTGAGTGCGAGACTGGCTTGAGAGCGACATGAGTTGGGATGGCAGGCACAGCATGCTTGTTGGAGGCCACATAGAGGCGGCATAGAGATAGAGGCAAAATAGCGGCAAAATAGAGGCAAAATAGCGGCAAAATAGAGGCAAAAAAGCGGCAAAAGAGAGGCAAAAAAGCGGCAAAATAGAGGCAAAATAGAGGCTGCATGACCTGATGAAATCTTCCTCTCCCACTCTCCTCCCAGGTCATTCTAGAGGCCATCAGTGACATCCGTGGGTCCATTCCCCCATGCAGCGCCGACAACACACCCACCGACCCTGCACCACCATCATCACCACCACCACACTCAGCAGCGTGCATGGACATACAGGTGCAGCATGCAGCAGCGGGGTGGCTGCCCATCGGCAAGGGGCTCACAGTGGGTGGCGGCACAATGACCATCTCATACGAGCATGTGCGCAATGTGCTCGTGCGTGTGGGGGTGCGCCCGCACCTGGGCCATGCGGGGGAGCTGGGGAAGGCGGGGGAGCGGGGGGAGGGGGGGGAGCGTGGGGGTCCTAGTGCTGCTGACGCCGCTGGTGGTCCTGGTGGTTCTGATGGTAATGCTGCTGCTGGTTCTGCTGGTGCGGGAGTGTCGTCTGCTGACGGGCGTTTGTTCCAACGCTCATCCATGCTGGTGTCTGCTCACATTGACACTGTCTTTACCAGGTGAGACGAGAACACACCTGCACTCACACACCCGTCCTGTCCCTTGCACTGCACGCCATGCATCAATTGCCACTTCTTCTTATTCTCATCTGGAGCTCGTCCGCACGCCCTCCCACGTTCTGTCTCTACTCCTCCGCACAGCTGCCTTCCTCCCTCGACCGCTCTTTCACCCCCTCTCTCCTTCTCCCTCTCCCCCTTCGACACTCCCGTTCCCACCCTCACTCTCTCCCTATCACTCTCTCTTCTTCCCCCTGTGTACGCCCTCCAGCCCTGGAGTGGGCGACGACAGCAGCAACGTGGCGGTCATGCTGGAGCTCATCCGCAACATGCTGCATGCCCTCGCACGCTCCCCTGCCACTGGGGATGAGGAGGAAGGCAGTGCAAGTGCAGCGGTGCAGAACGATGCAGTGCAGAACGACGTGGTGTTTGTGCTCAACAGCGGCGAGGAGGAGGGGCTTATTGGCGCCCACGCCTTCATTGCTCAGGTGCGCTTGGCTTGGAGTGGTGTGCAGCACGGAATGGAAGGACGGAGTGGGGGACAGACGTTGGGTGGTCAGAGGGGACAACAGGCAGACGGGTGTGGAAGAGGAGCTGTGCTGTGCCTGCTTTCCTTCCTCCTCTTTGCTCCCTATTCCCTCCATTTACTCTCTCACCACCCCCACCACCCCCCACCCCCCCACCACCCCCACCACCCCTGCCATGCGTCCGTCCTCACCCGCCCGCACGCAGCATGCGTGGGCGCAGTCAGTGCGGGCGTTCATAGACCTCGAGGCCATGGGCATTGGAGGGCCCTCCTCTATCTTCCAGGTATACCTCCTCCCCGTGCTCTCCTCCTCCTTCATTTTCTGCTTTTCTTCTCCTTCATTTTATGCCTCTGTCTCCTTGCCCCTGCCTCTTGCATCCACTCATGCGTGTGCCCATGCCATCCTTGTTCAATTTCCTTCTCATCTTCCCGGCCCCACCGGTATCTCTCTACATAATTCCTAACTCTTTTCCCCCTTCCCCTTCCCGCCCCCTCCTTCTCTCTCCCGTAAGCCCTCTTCCTTTTTTACTGTTCATCGTTATCTCACCCCCCTCCAACCGTCTCCACCTTGCATGCCCAAAACCAGGCGGGTCCATCTGCATGGCTACTGCGCATGTATCAAGCATCTGCCCCTCGCCCCCTCGCCATTGTCTTCGCTCAGGTGCCTCGTCCTGCTCTCAGCTGTCTCCCTTGCGGTTCTAGGTGTTTCTTATATAAACTGATTCTTCTCTCGTTTCTTTGGATCGCATCATTCCCACACGCCTTCCACATATGCACTGTTGCAATGACCTTTTGCGCTCATGAGTATACCACCTGTATCCCTACTCCCTGACAGCTTGCCCTTCCTGCGCTTCCCACCCCTCCCATCCTCCCACCCTCCTGCCCCACCCTCCCTCTTTCCCCTCTTGCTGTTCCCACCTTCCCCCTTTGGATCCGCGTTTTGAGTCGACTCAAAACACGTCCCCCTTTGGATCCGCTCCTTACTTCTTAGACCTCTGCAATGCAAACCTTCTTGCATCTCCTGCCCTTTCTCATGTGAGCATCTCCCCCCCCCTCGTCCGCCCATCAGGACATATTCCGCAGTGGGCTGTTGAATGGATGCACCGACTTTGCGAGCTGACTTTCGAGTTGAGTCAAAAGTCAACTCCCCACTCCCCTCCCCCCCCACTCCTCCCCCCCCCTCCCCTCCTCGCCCATCCCCTTCCCCCCCTCGTCCGCCCATCAGGACATTTTCCGCAGTGGGCTGTTGAATGCAGGCACTGACTTTGCAGTGTATCAGGCCAAGGGAGGGCTGTCGGGGCTAGACTTTGTCTTCATGAAGAACAGCGCCGTTTACCACACCAAGGTGAAATGAACGAAATGCTTCTACTCTACTCTCGTTTCTGTTTCGAGATGTCTAAATTGTTCCCCTTTATCTTCTTCAAACCCGAACCATCCCCTATCTCTCAATCCCCTCCCACGTCTCCACCCCCAACACTTCCCCCCCACCTTTCCGTTCCCCAACACTCCCCACCCACCTTTCCGTTCCCCCATCAGTTCGACGCTCTGCGCTCTGCCTGCTGGAGCCAGGCTCCCTGCAGCATCTGGGCGACAATCTCCTGCCCTTCCTGTCCCTATCTCTCAAATCCCTCCCCTCTCCCCACCTCCCCCATCCTTCCCCCGTCCGCTCACCCCCCACCAGTTCGACGCTCTGCCTCTCCTGGAGCCAGGCTCCCTGCAGCATCTGGGCGACAACCTCCTGCCCTTCCTGCTCGCCATCGCCCGCTCGCCCCTGCTCGCACTGCAGCCCTGCCACCCCGCGCCCTGGCACCAGGGGGGTGGACGCGCAGACGGGCTTGGGGGAGGGAGAGATGGGGGAGATGGGGGTGAGAGAGGAGTGGGAGGAGGAGGTGGTGGAGGAGAGGCGGGAGCGGTGAAGTTCAAGCCGAGTGAGGCGATCTTTATGGATGTCATGGTGCGTGCTGCCACTGCCGCTGCTGCTGCCGCTGCTGCCGCTGCTGCTGCCGCTGCTGCTGCCGCTGCTGCTGCCGCTGCCGCTGCTGCTGCCGCTGCTGCCGCTGCTGCTGCTGCCGCTGCTGCTGCCGCTGCTGCCGCTGCTGCTGCTGCCGCTGCTGCTGCCGCTGCTGCCGCTGCTGCTGCCGCTGCCGCTGCTGCTGCCGCTGCTGCCGCTGCTGCTGCCGCTGCTGCTGCTGCTGCTGCTGCTGCTTCTGGTGTTGGTATTGTTGGTACCTCTGGCGTTTTTGGTGGTGCCCGTGTGTCTGGTTGTCGTGTGGATGGGTGTTGTGTGGGGTACCTACGTGTGTGGTGCAGTTCCATCCTCACTAGTAGATTGTGTTCGCTTGTCCTCTCTTTCTCTCTGCTCCCAACACATTTTTTCCCTCCCCCACGCACCTCCCCTCTGCCTCCCCCTCCCCATCCCACTCCCCATCGCACTCCCCTTCCCTGCCTACCCTCTCTCCCCATCTCCTCTCTCCCACTCAGGCACGTTATCTCTTGGTCATCCCCACCACCACTGCCACCTTCGCCTATCGTATCCTCCTCTCCCTCACCGTCCTCCTCCTCGCCCCCTCCATCCTCTCCTCCCCCCACCTCCTCCTCTCTCTCCTCTCCCTCCTCCTCACCCTCCTCCACTCCCTCCTCCTCCCTCTCTCCGTCGCCTTCCTCCTCCCACTACTCTTCCCCTCCACCCCAACGCCTTTCCTCTCGCTCCCTCTCCTCCTCCTCCCGCTCTTCGCTGCACCAGCAGCAGCAGGCGCCCTTCTTGGCTCATCTTTAGGCCGACTACTGCTGCTGAACTGGCTAGGCCGGGCCAACACAGTCAGTAACAGCAGGGGGATGAGAGAGGAGGGAGGGGAGGAGGCAGGGAGGAGGGAGAGGGAGAGGGAGAGGGAGAGGGAGGTGGAGGCGTGGCAGTGGGTGGCGGTGTGGTGCTGTGGGCCGTGCTGCTGGCGATGGGTGTGAGAGGTGGGGCAGGCTCGTCGTACCTTGCTGCTGTGTGGCTGCTCATGCCTGTGGGCCGAGGTGAGGAGGGGGAGAGCAGGTGGGACAGCAGCAATTGGGGTTTTCCTGAGGATTAGTGGGGTGAGATGTGTGGGTGGTGGGGAGGCAGGATGCAGGGATAAGAGGGGGGTGAATGTGACGGGGCATGTATGGTGAGTGGCACGGAGAGTCACTTGAGTATCTCGCCCGGTTATTGCTGGCTTCTACTTCCTTCCACTCCCACCCCCTTTCATCACAAACCAACTCTCCCCTTGCACCCTTCTCGCTCACTCCCACTCCTGTCCCATTCCCGTCCCTCTCCCCATTCCCATTCCTGCCCCTCCCCCTCTTCCTTCCTGCAGCTTGCCTCTCGCTCCTCACACCCACTGCCTCACACCACGCCACCACCAGAGCACCGTCCGTCCTCCCCCAAGTGCTGCTCGCTCCGCCGTCCCTGCTAGGCGCTGTGCTGTGGTGTTCTGTGCCAATCGCCCTCTCCGCCAACATCCTCCTCGCCTTCCCTCAGTTCGTGCTCGGTGCCCTCCACAGAGCTGACATGTGAGTGAGTGAGTGCAGTGCCGTGGTGTGATGTGCGGTTCTGCTCCGTACGCTGCAGTGCGGTACGGTGCCATGTGGTGCTGTGCCTTTGCTGCACTGTGGCATGGAGTACCTTGTCTTTCAGTTACCCCTTCTCACCCATTGCTACTGTTCAAGCCCTCCACCTTTCTTTCACTCCAAACGCTCCTTTCACCACCCCTCCTCTCCACCTTGTCCTACTTCTCCGTCGTCCCTCTTTTTCCCCTCCTTTCCTGAATCCAACTTTGAGACGTCTTGAAAAGCTTTCCCGTTTCCATTCCCCTCTCCATCCCATTCCCCGTTTTCTTCCCGTCCCCTCCCCCGCTCCCTCCCCCGCTCCCTCCCTTCGTCCCCTTCCCGTCCCCTTCCCCGTTCCCCTTCCCCGTCCCCTTCCCCGTCCCCTTCCCCGTCTCCTTCCTCGTCTTCCCCTCTGCAGGAGCCCCGGGTCTCTGCCCCTGTGGGCGTGCAACATGGTGGCAGCACTCGTGGTGGCGGTTTTCGTGTGCCTCGCACTCTCACTGCTGCTGCCCTCCGCTCACAAGCACGGTCAGATTCGAAGCAGAAAGAGGATGGGAAGAAGCGGGTGAAGGGAACTCAATATTGAATGAATGGATTGGAGTGGGGAGGGGTGTGGTGAAATGTGAAGTGAGTTTGCATGGTGAAAGAAGGGGATTCGTGAAGGGAGGGGTGGGTTTGTTTAACCCAGTAACTTCATGCACTCTCCTGCACCTGACACCATCCCTTCCCACCCCTCACCCTCCGTCCCTGCACACCCTCCCGCCACACCTCTTCTGGCTGCTTCCTGCACGTGTCACTCACCTCCTCTCCGTCTCCACTGCAACAATACCTATTCCTCCTCTTCTGCGTCTCGCTGGTTCTTCTCCTCCTCCCTGCAGGCGCGTCTCTCCTCTTGTGCCCTGCCCTTGTGCTGGTGTGCGGGGTCTCTATCGCATGCCTCTTTGCCTTCCAACCACCTGCGTTCACCGCACACAACCCAAGGGCCGTACTGGTGAGCCTTCCTCCCACTCCCACCCCACCCCTCGCCAACGCGTGCATATATCGAAATGCCCGCAGATCTCATTGTGTTGCGTCGTATCTCATTGTATAGCATATTTCATCATATAACATCCTCTCGTTATCTCGTCATTCTGCATGAGTTGCGATTGCATCGCATCCCATCGCATGCATCCCTAACCCTTTCCATCTCCCCATTGCAATCCCTTACACCGCACTGTGCTCCCTCAATGCCCCTTCGTTCAACACCCCAGCTCCTGGACACGTGTCAAGCTGCCACTCGCTGCACAACCCAACCACTCCCTGTAAACCACACTCTCTCCACGCTCCCGCTCCCTGCATCCTGTAACCCAACCTCTCCCACACACCCTCACTCCTCCTCCACCTCCCCCTCGTCCTCTCAATCATCTGACCTCACGCAAAACCCGCTCTGCTCACTCATCATCTCGCCGCTTTCGCCCGGGCCATTCACTCGAGAGGCAGCAGCCATCAGTGCCAGCACAGGCCTTCCGCTCCACTGCACCCGCATCACGTCGCCCACCAGCAACAACTCCCATAGCGTCGGCAGCAGCAGCAGCAGCGGCAGCAGCAGCGGCAGCGGCAGCAGCGACGCGAGTGGCAGCATATGGCAGTGGCTGGACTTTGGAGGCGTTTTCAGTGTGAAGTCCGGGTGCTATGGTGACAGGAGAGGTGTGGAAAGTGGGCATGGGAAGGAGCAAGCAAAAGACCACCACCCTGCATCCATCTCACTCACTCTCCCTCTCTCAGGCTCTATCACCAACGTGATGTGCAGAGACAGGAGTGCAGAGTCTGGGTGTCACTGTGAAGAGACGGCAGACATGCATGGGGCAACCACTCTCAGTGCCTGCGCTGGTAAGGAGGACACGGGAGATAAGGAGGAGGAGGGGGGGGTGCTTCTGGAACAGGAGCAGCACCAGCAGCTACAGTGCCTATCTGTGTGTGCAGTTTGCAGTGACGCAGGGTGGGTGGAACAGGTTGAGCGAAAGGGGCACAGAGGAGCAGTCGTACAGGAGAAAAAGGATGCCCAGGGCGATGGGGAAGGGCGACGTGAGGCGATGGAGGAAAAGGCGGACCAAGCCGGCAGCACTACTGGAAGCAGTGGCAGATGGGGCAGCAGCGGCAGCAGTGGCAGCAGTGGCAGCAGCGGTGCGAGGGAGGGAGTAGATGTGCAGCCAGTAGCATCTCAGCTGGAATCTCCTGCGCCGCCTCCCTCAGTCCATGTGGTGCTGATATCCGCACGCCCCATCGTGCGCCGGTTCCACGTGGCCATCAACCACTCGCGTGTGGCCGCCTTCTCCCTCTGGCGCCCCACGTCTCTTCAGAACCGTGGTACGGCTCCTCCCCATGGCCTGTTCACATACGAGCAGTGTATTTCCTGGATCTTCTGCAACACGTGTCTCTTGTTTGTGGGAATCACGTTTCTTCTGTTGAATACTTCTGTCATCTGTACATTTGGTCTGGGAGCAGAAACGTGTCAGGGAGGGAAACAGAGACAGGATATTCATGGCTGATACAGGGCAGGACACTTCCATAATCCACTACTCCGCCTCCCCGCCTTTTCTGGTCCAGTCCTGCTGTTTTCTGCTCCTCATAATCTCCCTTGCTACAACTCTTCTCCCCACTTTTTGCCTGTGCTTCTAACCCTCCCCCTACCTTAAGCAGCACTGCTTCCGCTGGTGCCCATGCGGCACCTCTCGCTTTCAACCAATTCCACCGCTCTCCACCACCTCACATGGAAAGCCGGCTTGCCAGTGCAGCAGCAGCAGCCTGGAAAGAGCTTTGATGCTAGCCATACAGTTCCGGCAAGCAGTAGTGCTAATGGCATGGAGGGTGTCAGCCGTTTTAAGCTTCGCCCCACTGCCCTGCTTGTGCTCCACATGCGGGAGGGAGTTGCGGGAAACCCAGGAGGCCAGGATGATGGAAATTCCGGGAGGCCGCTTGTGACTGTGAGAGGGGATGTGAGCCTTGAAGATGGCGATGCCCATGAGAAGGAAAGCTCTGACGGGGGAGTCGAATTGAGCTTGAAAAAGGTTGTCGATTCTATGCCTCCGTACGCGAGCATGTTTTCTAAGAGCTCCTTTCCGTTCCCCTTCGCATTCGTGCATAGGTTGTTTGTTGACCAGTATTACTATCTGTAAAAATGTTATGATGCAATTGTGGCTTGTGTTAGACACCAGAACTGGTGCATCCGAAATGAGGGTGTATATTCCTCCTGGTACTGTATATTTTCGGTCATTCGATTGTGTCACGTTCTGACGGCCCTCCCAACAGCTCCATCCCAATTTCGATTGACAATTTCGCCCCTCCTCGTGATTCACTGGACACCACCACCACCACCCTGCTTTGATTTCCGGCATTCTCGAGGATAATCGCGCAGCTTTCTTGGTGCGTTGGAACTCGCAGGACGCAACGGAAATTTGTCATCAGACGGTGCTCCCTGTCCCCGAGTAGCTCCAGGTCTCTCCTTCTCACGTATCATTTTGCACGAGGTTGACTCGGCCATGGCTGCTGGAAACTCGTTAGTGACTCCTGTGCTGGAGAAGTTTGCGAAGCTGAAGGACGCGGAAGGGGAGTATCTCACCGTTAACTTCCTCGACATTTGTCGTCTGATCCTGCCCATCGTAGGTATGTCATCCTTGACGGAATCTCGCACCTAGTCGCTCCAGTTGCTTGTGATTTCGTGATGTGCTTTACCTTTTGTTCCACGCACTTCGCGAAGCTGTTCTTGCGACTTGGCCTAGGTCAATCTCTGCTTACGTTCTTGCTTGAATGCAGATAAATTCGGGACTGCAATGTCTATCATAAAGACCGACATTAATGGAAACATCTCGGTAAGTAAAATTGACACTATTCTGGAGGATTTCTAGGAAGTTGTTCCCTTTGCTGGCTGTTTAGTAGGACGGCCCAAACACCACGGATGAGTTGGCTCCAGCTCGCACTAATTAGCCTCCGCCATTACCATATTATGCAACGTTGACAGCTTCTGTGCAGTGCATGCATTCCAAATTCTGGTATGAAATATTTGCTTCATCTTGCATTTCATCTTATTTCAATCTCATTCAGTATATTCAGCATTTGTGAAATCAACATTGTTCTCCTGTTTGTTCCTTTCATTCTATGCAGCGGTTGCAAAAGGCCTACGATGGTGACAAGGAGAGCTACATCAGGTTATACGAGTTGGTCCGGAAGGAGGTCGCCACAGGCAAGCCCTTGGACCCAAACGGGAATACAAGTGGACTTTTTTGGCTCACACGGTAAAGATATTATCTCATACGCCATGCATTCGTCATGTGAAGATGAACTTGGGCTTGCATGTTCAAGCACACGTTTGCTGGCTCTATGCCATGCCCTGCGCAGTGCTCTTGATTTTGTGATACACATGGTGGATGGGTTGGAGCAACATACGGACTGGACGGTGTCTCACGCTGCCACTGTTGCATACGAGACACGGCTAAAGAAGTATCATGGCTGGATAACTCAGCAGGCTTTCGCAGTAAGTTCGTTTATTTTTGGCCTTTCCCTCTCCAGGTATTTCCATGTTGCTTAACTAGCATATGCCTTCAAATGCTATATCAGATATTGTTAAATGGCTGATATAGCTGATATTTCCTGCATTGGTGGCTGATATTGTGAGACATTGTGGCTGATATTTCCTGCATTGGTGCCCTTCCAGGTTGTGCTGAAGTTCTGCCCGGAGCGTTCATACTTTTATAAACAACTGGGTGATGACAGTGTACATGGGGAGCTTCAGGAGCTAGTAGCCAAGTTCGAGCCCATCTGCAAAGAGCTAGACGAGTTTCTGGTATGCGATTGCTGGTACTTCTCAGTGCAGGGCCTGCCGCTGGTACTTCTATCTTCAAAAGTTATCACCACCTTATTATGGACCTCCTCCATTGTCGGGGGCCCTTTGCCTGATCTGTGTCCTTGCAGGCAGCAAATGGAGCAGGCTCTCTTGTGGCAAAATAATTGCAAGATTTATCCCTGCAGTTTCCGGAATGTATACTGGTGGGATTTGATGGTTAGAATTTCATCTAGATTGGAACTAGTGGTTGGAGGAGAGATTGCTCTTGTTCAATTTCATTGTACATTTTTTTTCCCCTGTCAACGTAGTTATTCTCGTTAGTGTGAAAAACGGTCTGCCACTGTCACACCAGGCCATAACCACCGACAGTCATCCGCCGTTGCCATATGCTGGCGCTACACACACCACCACACACCCTTACCGCGTCGGCCTCCAGCTCAGCCCAGTCACAGAGGAGAGGGGAACCAGCATTGCGAATTTCTCTGCCACTTCTGTTCTGCGCTTGCTTGGGGGATCTTGGAGGGAAACGGAGGCGGAGCCTGATGGAAGCTGACCCAGCGTCGGCAGTTACACCTTCATTGGTCCGAGGCTGGGGATTCCGAGCAATGTGGAATTTCATCCAATCCAAACGTTGGTCGTTGAGGTGGGGATGGGGGGGGGGGGAAGTGAAACAGCTGGCCCACACTGTCCGCCACCATTGCCCCCTCCCTGTTCCCCCCCACCAACCCACCTCCCCCAACCCGTTCCCATCTGTACCGAAGGGGAAAATAGGAGATGGCGCAAAGTTGCGAAGCGCCAAGTTCCCCTCACACCCCCACCCTCCCACCTACTTGTGCTCATCGGGCAGGTTAGTCCACGGTTTCCATCCGTTATGCAACTCGGATGACCAATCAACGCGCGGAGATCTTCCCCCGAAGCCGAACCACCACCATGGGATGGGAAACAAAAGTTGTGTCATCGAAGGAAGGGATGGTGGTGGTGGCGGCTTGTGAAAATTTATGGCACGGCGACACACGCTTTCATGTGGAGCGTCCTTCTGGGCATGCGTAGGCCAAAGCTGGGTACACCTAGCCCGCGCTATTTTCACGCCCTGCAACTTGTTTCGGCAAGCACCCTGAACCCGATTTTGGCTTTTACCAGTAAACTCCCAGAATTTGAAGGCTACAAACCACTCAGCCAAGTGTCGAGATATTTAAAAAAAACGCCCTCTTACCACGGCGACTCGACGATAGTTTATTGTGACCCGTTTTTCATCCCCTCTAACTCGTCAGAGATGTCTGAAACGTACCCTCTTTAAAACGAAATCATTCGAAACAGCCCTTTAATATCGGGTAAATCAGAAATAATTACACAGGGGGGTGAAAATGGTCTTTAGTGAATTTGGCGCGGGCTAGGTGTATGAATAGCTGCTGGTACGTTTTTTGTTCGCTCAGACAATCTTCGTCGAGTGTAGTTGTTATCAGACAAGCTCCTCGAGTCCTTCCGGCTATCACGCAGGTAGTTCTATGCGATAAGACAGAACGATCTCAACTCAATGGCGAAAGCTCAGCTTCTCGAGGCGCAGAACGCAGGAAGCAGCGCGATGGAAGCCGCGGGGCGCCCTGCGCATGCCGACTGCACATTCCGCTGCGCGCACGCCTCGCCGTCCACGGAAACGGCTTGTTATCCACATAACCATACCGCTAGGCAAACGGCGCATGGCGGTCACGAGGAGAGCGGCAATCGCGGCGATATCAGGGGCTGCGACGATCGCGCGAACGACGTCGATCGCGATGGTGGTGCCGAGGAGGGATGCCCCGTCGCTCCGTGGGAAACGGAGCTGCGGCGGGATAGGGACGTTGAATACACCACAAATCTCTCGCAATGGCTGCGCGAACGAGCTGACGTGGCGGAGTCGTGGAAGTGGAAGCACGTTTCCATGGTGAGACGTCGTCCCATGCCGTGTGCAGAGGTAGACGGGATTGGTGACTGTGTTGCGCGGATTCGCGTGAACGAAAAGCTTTTCGTGGGCGGATAATGTTCGTGTGGACGGTGATGGCTACCCCTCTCGTCCCTCCTTATCCCGGTCTCCGTCTCCTGCTCTTTCCGTCTCCTTTCCCGCTCCTCATGGGCCTCATTCACCCCATTCCTCCCACTCGTCTCATTCTTCCCAATCGCTTGTCAGCGAGACGCATTGGAGTCCTCCGGGGCGGTGCGACCAGTGCGCTTCTACCTCTCGCCTTCTCGAAACGCGCTCCACTGCACGTGGTGCTTCAGCCAGTGAGTTTCGCACACCTGGAATCCAATGCCTCCGCATTGCTCAACTGCCAGGTTCTATCCCTCTCTTGATCCCTCTGTCCCTCTGGCTTCTCTACCAACCCGCCGGTCTGGTTTTCCTGTCCCCGCACTCCCTTTCCACTCACTCCCCACTCCCTCTTCCTTCTCTCTTCCTCCTTTTCTCCCTCTTCCTGCTACTGTGGTTCCCAGCTCATCTCTGCCCATCTCCGCCCCTCTTTCCTTTCCTCCCCGCGCTGCGGTATGGCGGGTATCGCGGGCATGGCGGTGTCTTTGGCGGCGTGCGCGCGCGCGCGTGTCACTGCGTTGCGCAGGGTGATGGTGGGGCATCCGCAAGTCGTACATGGCGGCGCAACTGCCTTCGCCTTTGACGAGACCTTTGGCGTGCTCTTCGGTCCGTGCTTCCTCGCCCACCCTCACCCGCTTTCACCCGCTCTCGCCTGCTCTTACCTGCTCCCTCCTGCCTAATCGCCCTTGCTCGTACCGCTGCCCTTTCCCCTCTTATTCTCTTTTGTATCCATCGCTGTCCCCCGTTCGTCTCCGCTGGCCACCACCACCTTCCTATCCTAACCTTCCGTGCCCATGGTAATGCTACTTTCTCTCACGCTCTTCCTCCACTCCTGTGTCTTAACCTCAGACGGTTCTTGTAACGTCTCTAGCGCCTATTTCCGACATACTCCCGCATTTAACAACCACCGCTTCCAAAAAGCGCTTTGCGTTCCTCCGTGTATGTGCGCACCTTCTAATCGACTCACAAATCGTTTCTCTCCGTGTGTGCGTGCAGCCATGCTGGGCGTGGGCCATGGCTTCACTGCCAACATCAGTGTCAACTACCGCAAGGTGAGGGCGCTCACAGGTAAGATCAGCGGGAGATGAGGTGGTGTGGGGGTGAGGTTATGGGGTGATGAAGGGATGGAGAGATGACGAGAGCTGAAGACTGTATCGTCAAGGAGATGGGAAGATGGAGGATGGGAGGGAGACAGTGTAGGTCCTTGGGTAGTAATAATCACCGCTCTTGTATGCTGTGCTGCTGCTTCACATGCCATGCCCGCTATGAGCACTGCGCGTCTCCCCCTCCCCTCCCTTCCGCTCCCCTCCCCCTCCTCTCCCCAACTCCGCCCTCTCTTCCCCCTTCCTTTGCCTCTCCCTCCATTCCCCCTCCCCCACCCTCCTTTTCAATGCACCAAGCCTTAACAGCCCTACTCTTTCTTCTCTTTGCTTCCTGTTTTCGTGCCTGTCACAGCCTCTGCCGGCGGCTTTCACTGCATGCATGCACGTTGCCCTAGACCGAGTGGAGGGAAGGAAGGTATGTGTGCAGGTGTATCCACACCACAATTCTTCAGTGTATTATTCTTTTTTTTTTCTTCTCTCTTCCACTCTTTATTCCAGCATCTGTCAGACTACATCCCCTCTTTCACCCCACCATCCTCAACCCGCCTTCCCACTCCGCCTTTCTCACTCTCCCCCCCAACCCCCCCCCTCCCCCCCACCTCTTTCCTCTCTCCCCATCTGCCAGTATTTCTTGTGTGGCTCCATTCGCAGCGACCCGAGTGAGGACGCGGAGATATATTCTGAAGCCTCAGCTCTCTTCATCATCCCACGCCCCCCGAGCTCTGATGTGCCTGCGACCTTGTCAGAAGGTCAATGAAGAGTTATAGCGCGGAGTGTTGGTACTTGTCTGCTGCTGACCAAATTGCGGCATGTATGGGACATCTGAAAAGTTCAGATGCTGTAGGTGCAGGTTTTTAATCACTATTGCTATTATTTACTCGCAAATGATGATTTACAGCATTGTTTTTGTTAAAGCGGGTCAGAAAGAGTTGAAAGGGTGTTCACACTTTTCCAGGCCAGCGGCGAGTACAGATTCAAAGTGGTGAGGTGCAAGCTCCTCTGACACACCCAACTGCCGAGCCACTTCACAGCAGGGCCAAAACAAATGGGTTTTGCATGTGCATAAAATGCAGTGTATTTTTGGTGTTTGTTTATTAGCCACGGTTGCTACCGTTTATCGCGGAAGCGTTACTGGCGCGTATACCGTACGTATTATGAAATATCCAGGACGGTTGCACCGAACGCGACTGTTGCCCTGGCCTGCTGCAGGCCTTGATTGAGGTGGCCTGCCAAGCAGGCAACCTCTGCGGAGGAAAAATGCAGGGGGTACTTCACTGTACTGGACAGCACAGTGCGTACGTGCGGGGTGAGCCTTGCTCAAACTTGAGCATGAGGCATGTTCAGCGTGTTCCACGTGGCCCGCCGCTTCTCACGCTTCAGCAACTTCACGTACCGCGGTTGACGCATGAGGTGAGGTACTTACTACTATAGTGTTAGTAGTGGGAGATTCGAAGCGTATCATAATACCAAGAGATTTATGCCGTTCCTCCGCCCATCCCTCGCCGTGCTCTTTGCAGAAAGGTGCTGCGATTCAAACACGCGCGCACAGCCATGGCTTTGGCAAGGTGCGGCCGCGGCGAGAGTGATGCGTCGAATGGAGGGGAGCGGAGCAATGAGAGAGCAGAAACGAAAGGGGAGAAAGGATGGGTAGCAGCATCTCCAATAAGGGCTATTGAACGCAGAAAATCGGTTTCGCCATCATCCGTATCACCTTCAGCAGCAGCAGTGCCGTCGTTGCGACTCTTTACACCATCAGCCGCACACCATAATCCTTGCGTGCTGCCGCTGCGTGCTATTCTCCTCTTGTCGCTGCTCCTGGCGCCATCACCCCCATCCCCCTTCTCCCCCTCTCCTTCGGGAACGCTCCCACGCCACTCTCTCACAGCCGCCGCCACTGCCATCAACCCTGTCCAGTGTAAGCGACCGACCGACGCACGTGGGGGGTGTGGTGGGCAGGGAACTTTTGGGTCGACTCAAAAGTGTAAGTGACCGTCCGACGCACCTGGGGGTGTGGTGGGCAGGGAAGTGCGTGCGCGCTTTGCGGCGAGTCCTTGTTATTAGTATTATAGTGCAGAGTGGCGAGCGAGCCCGTGTGAGGCATTGCGGAGAAGCCACAGTCACACAGGCACAGACTCTTCTCGGAGAAGAGTAAGTGAGAGTCCCACAGAGCACCAGAGCAGAGCACGGCCTTCCCACATGGCTCCCTCCGTGTGTGAGAGAGAGTCTCATTTTCCAGCTGTCGCCAACAGGGAGTGTCTGCAGTCCGCCATTATCCCATGTCATTGTCACATGCCATTCTCTCTTACATGCCATCCTCCCATGCCATTCTCACAGGCCCCCGCGTCCTGATCTCCCTGCGCAGCGCATCACGGATGCTATTCATCCATCCATCCATCCATCCATCCATCCATCCATCCATCCATCCATCCATCCATCCATCCATCCATCCATCCATCCATCCATCCATCCATCCATCCATCCATCCATCCATCCATCCATCCATCCATCCATCCATCCATCCATCCATCCATCCATCCATCCACCCACCCACCCACCTAGCATGGATGGTTGTGCTGGCACCGTGCGTGCGCGCACCCGCTCCTTCCATTCCATGCCCCTCCTTCCTTCCATGCCACGTGGGTTGCGCGTGCTGATCCGCTCTGTCATTTCCCGTTCTCCTCCCTGCTGCTGCAGGGCCCACTGTGCAGGAGTTTCTTCTCACAGCTGGCCCGTTCCTTTTTCAGGCGCCTTAAAAACCATTCACTTTTCGTTCCTGTCCACCCGTTCTCTTCCCTGCTGCTGCAGGGCCCACCGTGCAGGAGTTTCTTCTCACTGCCGGCCCGTTCCTCGAGTCTTCTACGTGGAACAGCGGAGCCACATGCACCGGCTTTTCTAAGCAAACGCAAGGCCTCTTATGCGACAGCAACGGCTTTGTCATATCTATGTATGCATTGCATTGCCCTCGCCCTCCTCTCCTCCTTGTGCCAGTCTGTAATCTCCAGTCCGGAAATCAGTAGGCACCTTGCGTCATTCATTGCCTGCTAATTGCCAGTCCGGAATCCCCAGAAGGAATGAAATATTATCATCTCAAATCTTGCTCTGACTAAGCCAAACTGTTCTGTTCTCACACATGCATGGACACACACACACACTCGCGGTGTGCGCGCACTGCGCATCCAGACACATGTGTGCACCCAGGCATGGTCTCACATCCCCCAATGCGTGCTCATGCATGGCGGACCCCCCTTCCCCTTCCCCCTTCCCCCCCACCCCTCTCCCCCCCCTCGCCCCTTCTCCCCTGGTCCCGACAGCGCCATAACAGGCTTGAGTCAGAGCATCCCGTCGGCACTCTACCAGCTCACGACCCTCGGTGGCCTGTGAGTGCCCGGCCTGCCCATAACGTGAACAACACTCTCGTGGGTGGGGTGCTTTTGAGAATTCTCAGAAGCGACTCACATTCAGTCGGCCCTGTACTAGCTCACGACCTTGGGTGGCTTGTGAGTGATTGGCCATAACGTGAGCAACACAACGTGGGGTGGGTGGGTGGGGCTGGCAGCTGCAGCTTCAGCCGTGTCTACTGCAGCTGTGCCGTGAGCAGGAGAGGAGTGTTTGGAGCAGTTGGTTGTGCATCATCTTATCAGTTGTTGTTGTTGTTGGCCCGTGTGGTACCTGCCCCTGATTCTTTTTTTTGCAATCAAGAGGAGGAGGGGGGGAGGGGGGGGGGAGGAGGAGGAGGAGGAGGAGGAGGAGGAGGAGGAGGAGGAGGAGGAGGAGGAGGAGGAGGAGGAGGAGGAGGAGGAGGAGGAGGAGGAGGAGGAGGAGGAGGAGGAGGAGGAGGAGCAAACGAAGCATGGCAGAGTGGTTTTTTTGTTCATGTTGAGGTGTTTCTTGTTGTGCGTGCTGTGCGTTGCAGGTCATTGAGCTGGGCATCAGAGACAGACGTAGTGGTATCCCCCTCCATCAATGGGCTCGTGCAGCTCAAATATCTGTAATACATGCTGTGCTACATACCTGGTGCATGCATGTAAATGCCTCCTGGTGCATGCAACACATGCCCCCTCGTGCATGCAACACATTCCCCTTGGTGCATGCAATGCAACGCATGCCCCCTGCTGCATGTAACACATGCCTCCTGGTGCATGGAACAAGTACCGTCTGATGCTCAGCACATATGAATCCTCAATATGTTCACTCGCATGTGTGTGCTGCTTCATGCATGCCTGCGTATGGCTGCCAGTTCCTTAATCTCTGCATTTGCCACTGCGCATGCATGCGCGCACGCACACACGCACACACTCACACGCACACACCCAAACGCACTCACGCACCCAAACACACGCACGCACCCAAACACACTCACGCACAACACACTCACGCACAACACGCTTCTGCTTGTGGATGTGTGCCCCTGCTGCTTCACTTCGCTCCTCCAGTGCCGCCCATCTTTTTCCTTCCTTGCACCTTGCTTTTCTCACATACCTACTCCTCCCCTCTCTCGCCCCCCTCTTATCCCCTCTCCACCACATCACTACCCTCTTCCACTGCATCAGTTACTTGACAAATGCTCGTGTGGGCTCCTCACTAAGTGTTATACTCGCATTGACCAACCTCATTAGCTTGTAAGCATCCGTTACCCTGCTCGCTTCAACAGTTAGTAATTGTCTGTTTCCGCACTGCCCTCACGGACCGCCCTGTCTGCCTGTCTGTTTGTCCGTCCGTCTGCCGTCCGTCCGTCCGTCCGTCCTGCACAATCAGGCTTTACCCAGCAGCATGAGTAGTTACATTGGTTTGAAAGCATTCCCGTTATTAGCATATTCCGGAGAAGGCTGCACGGGTTTCGGTGCTCTCCTCTTGCTATTCCAGCACTGATTGATTTTCAATCAAGTGGGGTCCCTCTTTCCCTCTCCACACCTCTTGCTTCAGGAACTTACAAAAAATGCTTACCGGTTCCGTTCCTGCGGCAATCAGCAATATGAATCAGCTAGAAACCTTGTAAGCGATGCCATATGAATCCCAGGAAGGCTTTGACTGTTGAAATTGCTGCTATGGTCCTTTTACCGGCCCCTCATGTATCCATGATGCCGCGGCCCGCATCACTGTCTGTCTGCTCACACTGCTGCGGTACGGCAAAGCCTCCACTCCACCATCCCGTGTCCCCGTCTCAATCATCCCATGTTCCGCATGCCATGTCTCCATGCCATGCCTCTATGCCATGTCTCCATGCCATGCCTCTGTGCTGTGCCCACACCATGCCATGTGTCGTGCCTGTGAAGGGATTTGTCTGACAACATGTTGGAAGGCCCGCTGCCGCCCGCCCTCTGTCTCCCTTCTCTCAAATTTGTGTGAGTACATTACCATTTCGCACGTGCAAGCATTTGACAAGACCGTTTCATACATGAACCAGAGCGAACCTACTCGTTTTATACAAGGCCTTGCATCGACACAATGACCCTCCAGCACTCTTCCCTTTCTTACACGTCGCTGCCTTCCCTTGCACCACTCGCTCTCCACCTGCCTTATCCTCAAAGAAGCCACAGTACTGTCCATCCAGTCACTGAAGCGTGGCACCTCTTGTGTCATGACGACAGACTAGCCTTTCGTCTCTGGAGTCCCTGCAGCACGGCTCGCTTGAGGCATGTTGAAACCCCTCCATCTGCCCTGCCTGCCCTGTAGAAGCATTCCTGATTTGAAGCCACAGTGGTTGATTGGTTTTGGCTGCATGCTTGCATGCTTGCTTGCTTGCTTGATGGCTTGATGGCTTGATTGGCTGCATCCATGCGTGCGTGCGTGCGTCCATGCGTGCGTGCGTGCGTGTGTGCTTCCTTGCGTGCATGCGTGCGTGCATGCGTGCTTGATGGCTTGGTTGGCTGTCTGGATGGACTGTGCTCTGTGCATGCGTGGCGTGAGCAGGTCCTACTACAAGAACGCCATCACGGGATCCATCCCTGCTGCTATCAGCCTCATGACCAACTTACGAACTCTGTGAGTGCCAGCAGGTGCAGCAGGTGCAGCAGGTCCTGATTGCTGATCTTTATCCTACTGCCAACCATACAGAATTATGAATCAACTGCTGATGCCCAGAAGCCTCTCCTCCCGCCCCTCCCCGTACACCACCCCTCTTCTCAAGTCAGCCTTTTCCCTTCGTTGTTGCGTTTTGTGGCATTCTTGTCCTTCATCTTCAGCCGATTGGACCAGAACAAGCTGTCAGGGTCCATTCCCCCTCAGTTCAGTGTGATGACGGACATATATAGTCTGTAAGACAAGAAAACAGTTTCTTCTTTTATATGTGTGTGCACATATGCATGCTCACTCACGGGCACGTGCATGCTTGCTGCTGCTAACACATGCTTCAGGACTGACCTGCTGATTTTTTTTTTCGTCACAGGATAGCTGAATATTATTGGGCTTTTTTCACGTATCATCTTTTTACTTAGTGGATTAGAACCCAGGGGTCTCGCATGCACTTGGCATGCTGGCACATACTTCCGTACCTACATGTGCGAAGCTGTGCATGCGAGGCTCCGGGGTCAGCTGGCACATACTTGCGTGCTAGTGTTGGCACATACTTGCGTACTTGCACAGCTTGCATGCTGGCATACTTGCGTACCGACACTAGCGCATGTGCCAAGCTGTGTACGCCTAAACCTTCCGCCCCCCTCTTCCTATCCCACCCATTGACTTACTCTTCTCTTCCTCCACTAACCATGTGGAATTCGGTGCTGTGCTTTGCTGTGCGGTGATGTGCTGTGCTGTGCGGTGCTGTGCGGTGCTGTGTGCCAGAGAGTTGCACCACAACGAGCTGTCGGGATCCATTCCCTCTCAGCTCACTGCAATGAGATCCTTGAATCACCTGTGAGAACTCCACCCTCTGCTGTGCCCGCACATGCCCGCACATGCTCGCACATGCCCGCACCGTCCGTACATGCCAGCACATGCTTTCACATGCCCGCACGTGCTTTCACATGCCCGCACATGCTTTCACGCAGTCTCACACCACACACACATGCCATGACACACACGCATAGCTCTGTCTGCATTGTGTCGCATATGGTTGGCTTGTTGTGGTGGTGGTGCTGCTGCCATGTCATGCTATTCTCCTGTTGGCACGTAATGCAATTGCCCTGCCATGTGCACAGACTCCTGGGTTTCAATCAGCTGACAGGCTCGATTCCACCTCTCCCTCTCTATTTACTCAGACTGTGAGAGTCACCTATCCTCCCTCCCTCCCTCCCTCCCTCCCTCCCTCCCTCCCTCCCTCCCTCCCTCCCTCCCTCCCTCCCTCCCTCCCTCCCTCCCTCCCTCCCTCCCTCCCTCCCTCCCTCCCTTCCTCCCTCCCTCCCTCCCTCTCTCCCTTCCTCCGTCCATCCGTCCGTCCCCGTCCGTCCCTCCCTCCTTACTCGCTCCCTCCTTCCCGCCCTACACCTTCCCTCCCGCCCATCCCTTTCCATCCTCTACGTGTTAGCCCCTAAGTTGGTCATTTACGTCCTGGAGGCCCACGTACACGTAAAGTACGCGTAAACGTACACGTACGCATACGTACATGTACTTACGTTTACTTACTCCGGGTAGGTACAAAATTTTCTCGATTTCACTTTTTCTTTGCCTTTGTTCGCGTGAGGTCTAGGTCGTAGTAGTGTTAGTAAAGACGTGATTTTTTTCTACTCGTTTATGCTCATTGCGAGTAAAATGGGGCAGCACAGAAAAAGTTTTTACCTGATCGTACATAAGGGCATAATTCGGGAGGTGCGTAACGTACGAAAACGTAACCGTACGTAACGTACACGTAAACGTAAAGAACCAACTAAGGTTAGCCCCACATCTCACTCGCCATGTCTCTCTTTCACACTGCACTGCACCCTCTTGTTGTGTGCTTGCCCTTGCCCACTTTGTGCTCACCCCCTCTACAACATGCACACATGCAGTCTGTTCTGTTCCTCTCCCACATTCCACCACACCGTGTCGCGTTGCCATCGCCTCCTCTGGACTCACCTATCCACATGCCACATCGGGTTTTGAGTTGATTTAAATCTCGACTTATCACACACAGATTTCATTTTTGACTCGACTCAAAACTCGTCCATCTGTGCCTCGGCTGGACTCACCTAACCACATGCCACATAGGTTGATCCCACCACACACTGTCTGACCTAATCCGACGTTTTCTCACCTCATCTGAACCCATCTGAACCCATCTGAACCCATCTATTGGTACATCAACCCACGTCTGTTAGTCTTTCATTGGTCCATTGTTCATCTTTCTGTTATCCTTTACCCTGGCTGCAGGGATCTGAGGAGCAACCAGTTGGAGGGAAGCGTCCCAAACTCTCTCTCTTCATTGAAAGTCCTCTATGAATTGTAAGCCCTCCCCCCTCTTCTCCTTTTCTTCCTCCTCCTACTCTCCTCCTCTTCCTCCTCCTCCTCCTCCTCCTCCTCCTCCTCCTCCTCCTCCTCCTCCTCCTCCTCCTCCTCCTCCTCCTCCTCCTCCTCCTCATTCACTCTCCTGCCACGTACCTACCTCAAACACCATATTCTCCATCCTGTGCCCATCCATTCCCCACGTACGTGCCGGTTCTCCATCTCCCCTCTCTTTCTTTCTCTCTGCTCATGTTGTTCACTGTTTTACAATGTTTGCACTGTGTGCGCTGCTGTATGCTGTGCAGGAACCTGGATGGCAACAGGCTGGAGGGACCTGTGCCTACTGTTTTCAGCGCTCCTATTGCAAGGATGTCAGTCCCTCATGTGTCGTCTGTTGAAAGACAGAAGATAGCTCTGGTTAGGAAAACCACGGGCTGTACATAGGATGGAAGAGAGGGATCCATGGGAAGGAAGGAAGGAGGTGGTTGGGGGCAAAGTGATAGTTGGGAGGACCAATCACCACCATTGATCCTTAGGAGTGGTTGAGGCTTGAAAGGACTAACCACAATGGAATGTTTCCATGGTTGTTTTGGCACCAATCACATCCTACCTTGTGTTTGGGGGCTCCACCACAAAGGGGTGAATTGGGGCAATGTGCCCTACTCAATTATAAACACATCCCAATCGTTTTACAGTCACAAACTCCCAGCCTGCCTTGCTCTGCTTGTCTGTCGTACTGTGTTTTTTTTTTTTTTCTGAGGTTTAGTGAGTTTGCTCGTGTATAGGTTTGGGTTAGGGCCTATTCCTGGTTGTTTTTGTCGTCCTGTGTTGGCTCTGGCTCACATGTGTTTGTTTTTCTCCCTGTGTTCATGTGTTTGTGTGTGTGTGCGTGTGTGTGCGTGCGTGCGTGAGTGCATGCGTGCGTGTGTGTGCGTGCGTGCGTGCGTGCGTGTGCGTGCGTGCGTGTGTGTGTGCGTGTGTGTGTGCGTGTGTGTGTGTGCATGCATGTGTGTGTGCATGTGAAACTTGCACGTGCGATGGGGAGTGAGGGGCGGATGATCACTGAGGTCAGCTCGTTGAGTGGCAACCTTTTCAGAGGCAGCATTCCTCCCAAATTCTTCTATGTCAGCCAGGGGCAGTAAGTTCCACTTCCATGCCTCTACATGTAAGCAAATGCCAACACACCCATCATGCCAACACATCCCAACAGATTCCAACACACCCATCATTACGCCAACATCCCCATCATGTCAACACACCTGTTCAATGCCCTTCACCTCTCCCTTTTCGCCCTTTTCCTGTCCATCACCCCCAAACACTTCATGCCGTAGTGGTAGGTATTGTGCTTCCTTCATTTGCTTCTTCTTAGCTGGGAAATTTTTAGAAATCTCAAAACTTCCCTGCAAAGTCATAGCTATTGTGCTTCCCATATACCTCTTCTTAGCACGTAAATGACCATCTTTCAACACTCCGTGCGTCTCCTCTCTCCCCTCTTTCAACCTCAGGTCAGCAGGGGCGAACAGCATCCAACAGATTAAAATCAGCAGCACCAACGTCCTCGAATCCCTCACATATATGTGCGTTTGCCACCGTTCAGCACCGATTAGTACCGGTTAGGCCCGACCGACCGATCAGTAGCAGACGTACACGACTTCATGCCGATGTTTATTCCATAGCGTGTGTATTGTGCCACCATCATAGTCAATAATACTCTTGCCTCTACACACACACAAGCACAACACAAACAACTTTCAAGGTGTCATTCCCTATAAGTTGCTGCCACGTATTGAAACTATGGGACCTACTTGGTGCTCCATTGCATTGTACCACCATCATACTCAATAATACTCTTGCCTCTTCTTAGTGCTTCTAGAACCGTGCTGCAAAAATTGCCCTTCTACAGCACGGGTCTGATTGATTTGAAACCCATCAAGCTCAAAAATGCTCTTGCCTCTTCCATCTCTTTGCCCTGACATCCGTGCATGTATCGGCATGTATCGTACACACTTTTGAGACGTCTCAAAAGTCTTTGCCCTGACATCCGTGCATGTGCCGTACGCAGCTTCTCACCAAACCTTTTCCACCAATCACTGCGTGCCATCTGTCTGTACTCCCCTCTCTAACGCAGTGACCTTAGCCTCAACTACCTTGATGGAACAATCCCCACCGATATCTCCAAGCTCACAGAACTCCGTGTGCTGTAAGTAGCACTGTTGCCCCTCGTCCATCCACGTGCTGTGCTCTGCTCTGCTCTGCTCTGCTCTGCTGTACAGTGCAGTGCTGCGCTACAAGCCTCGTCTGTTTGCTTCCGCCACCTTCATGCAAGAACGCACGAACGCACCCCATTACGACCCCTTGCCCCTTCCCCATTACCTTCACCATCCCATCACATGATTCTGCCTGTACTCCTTCCCATGGTGAACATTCCCACTGGTAGGAATCTGAGCTCCAACTCCCTCACTGGAACATTCCCCAAAGGAGTCTTAGAGCTGACGCAACTCACTTTGCTGTAAGTATAGTGTGTGAGTGCGTGTGCCTCTTGTTTTGAGACTTCTCAAAACAAGAAGAAACTCACTTTTCTGTGAGTAGTGTGTGTGAGTGTCCCTCTTGTGCCTCTTGTGTCTCAAGAAAGAGCTGTGCCTCATGGGATTGCGTCCCCTACCTTGGGGTTGAATGCATGAATGCATGAATGCTGATGCAACTGCCCCCACCTGAGCCCTTTACCAATCAGCAAATGCCATCTGTACTTCCCAACGCAGTAACCTTAGCTCCAACTACTTTGAAGGAACAATTCCCGAAGAGATATCCAAGCTCTCGCAACTCCAAGTGCTGTAAGTGTAACAGAATCCTTTTCCTCTTGTGTCCTGCCTATATCCCATATTTATTTGGGTAGATTTATGCACCCGAACCTACTACGAGTGTATGACCAGGGTTTACTCCTACGTAGACTCCAATCCAGCCAGCCCCCTTTTGCTCTTGCTGCTTTGTACCACATACCCCTTCCTTACCAATCCAACTCATCGGTTCTTCTTCACACTTGCAGGATTATCAAAGTACGTTTTGCACACACATTTCTGTCCTAAGCAAGCGTTGTGCATCCGTGTGCTTTATCTCCATCTCTCCTGAGCATTATCCAATCGCGACCACCACCTTGCATGCGTGTATGCACTCACATACAAACCCTTCCCAAGCTTGTCTGCCAATCGAAGCTTGCCATCTGTAATTCCTTCCCAACGCAGTCACCTTAGCTCCCGAGCTCACGCATCTCACTGCACTGTATGTACATGCCGTTCCCTAGAGCTGTGCGCGCGCGACACAGTGCTTATATATATATGTATATATTATATATACATATATATATGTATATATATGTATATTTATATATATGTATATATATATGTATGTATATATAACTGCGCCCACCATTAAAAGTTAGTTGCTGCCTCACCATCACTTCCTCTTCCTTCAAACCAGTTGTTCAGCTAATCAACCAGCACGCACCCTCCCATTCTTGATGAAATCCCCTCTGTGCCTTTCGCTCCTTGTGCTTCTGTTTCTGACCCGCTGCACCCGTGGCAGTGACATGAGCAACAACCTTCTGACTGGAAGCCTGCCGCAGGGCATAAGCCAAGTCACTCAACTCGCAGTCCTGTGAGTCTGTCTGTGCTCTACCAACACGTAAGGACTACCTGCATTCCATCCATGTGAGCGACGGTCCAGTGTTTTGTCAGAGATACGCCAAGCCTGTGGATTCTACTTTTGAGAATCTCAAAATTAAAATTCAGAGATGCCCCCAGCCTGTGCTCTTATTTGGGTTGGAATGAGGCCTGCATACAACAATCATCATCCCCAACCAAGCTTGCCTGCCAATCATCACATGCCATCTGTACGTCCCAACCAACGCAGTGACCTTAGCTCCAACTCCCTAGGTGAAAGCATCCTCGATGAGATATCCAAGCTCACGCAACTCACCGTGCTGTAAGCACCCTCCCTACCTCCTCTTCTCTTCCTCTTCCTGTCTGCACCTCCGTTGCCCCATGCTTAATCAACCGAATCGCACGCGTTTAAGACGTTGCACTCGCCTCTTCACCGTATGCTCCAAGCATCCTGTTTCTGTGATTCTGCATTTCTGACCTTGTGTGTCCGTGTCATGTCAGTGACATGAGCAACAATGGCCTCACTGGGAGTGTGCCGCAGGGCTTGTCCAATCTCGGGCAACTTAGAGTGCTGTGAGTGTTGCTGCTTTGTGGTAGTAAGGAGCCTCAAAAACAGAACTCGGAGTGCTGTGGGCGTCAATGCTCGTAGTTAGTACCACATAGCAACCAGCACTCTAACTCACCTACGATAGGTTCCATCTCTGTAGTGTAAGTGTTGTGTGCGGTGCGGTGTGCCTCTTGTGCTAGAAATATGTGCTTATCTTTCTAACTTGTGAGCACCATCACCTTCTTTTCACCAACTTGCATGCATGCATGCGTGAACCTTGCCAAGAGAGCTGCTCGTTCTACCTTTCTGCCATGCAAAATGCTGTTATGTTCTCCCCACGACAGTGATCTCAGTTCCAATTCGCTTGGGGAAACCATCCCTCAAGAGATATCCAAGCTCACGCAACTCAGTGTGCTGTAAGCACTGTGTGCTTCTCTCTCCTCTCCAGAAAGCAGTGCGGCTCTGTTCTCCTCTCTCTCTCTTTCCTTCCGCAGCCTTGTCTGTCAGCACAGCACCGCACCCACCAATGCTTGTTGCTCCTTCACCGTCTCTCCTTCCTCTTCCCTCCTCCTCTTCCTCATCCTACAAATCTTCACCGCCTCTACAAATATTGTACCCACTGTTAGAAGTCGAATGCCGTTCTGTGCCTTCTTTCTTCATCTGCTTCTGTTCTTACCCCCTGTGTGTGTGTCTGTGGCAGTGATATGAGCAACAATCGCCTGAGCGGGAGTGTGCCACAGGCCTTGGCCGGCCTCACTAAACTCACAGTCCTGTGAGTTTCAATGCACTGTACAAAAACACTGATATTCCCATTCCCGCGAGTGTCATTCCTACCACCACCAGCACACATGTGTGTGAGTGTTACGGGTTGCTACCAGCAGTTGACCTTTGATTCGAATGGAAGATACCAACACCCGTACTGGTAGACCCATGAAAGCATGCGAATGTCATGCCATGATTCATTCATGCACCAATAACCTGACATCCATCCATCCGGTATGCAAATGTCAACGGTTACTTGCCACCTTCCAATGGTATACACTCACCGTACAGTTTGTGCACTGCAGTACAGTGAGAGAAAACCGTTCTTTTTTCGCGCTTCACCGCTTTGGATCTTGAGGCACGTGATTGAACCCTTACAATACCTACACTCTGTGGAAGACCCTACAGGAATACAACTCCCAAAGAGCTGAGCGCAAAGTCCAACTCAGTCTATGGCAAATCCATACAATCCATGGCCATACACCAATCATCAGCTTCTCCCTTGCCATTTTCTCACAATCTCTTCCCTTTCTTGTTGCCCTCTGTCTTCCCTTCCCTTCCCTCACCGAGGCAGGAGCCTGCGCAAAAACCAGCTGAGTGGCTGTCTGCTGCAGCCCATCCCTCCCTCCGTGAAGCAGTACCAACTAGACAGCAACTTCTTCTCCTGCGGCTTCTCCACTCCACCCGACTGCACCAACACCATCATAGCCGTGCAAGCCAACTGCCTGGGCGCCACAGACGTGCCGCCCTGCCCCATGGACCCGCAGCGAGTGAAGGAGGTCTGTGCTTCCTTCTGCGGCCTCTCTGCTGCCACGCCTGTGTGCAACGGGCATGGCACCTGCTTTTATTCTGGCCCCAACAGGATCCCCACGTGTGCCTGCGATGCCGGGTATACCAACCGGGAGGTCCCAGGGACGTGCGTGGCAGCTCCTGCTGCTGGCAGTGGGACTCCAGCGGACTTCTCCCTTCTGACCTCGATAAGTGTTTCGTCTAGCGATGGTGGCGGTGCAGCGATGGCGGTGAAGGGAGCAGCAGCGGTGCAGCCGGATAAGAGCGTGGTGCTGACGAGCAACAGCCAGGCCGCGTGGGGTACTGCGTTCCTGGTGTCGCGCGTGCGGCTCTTCTCCTACACCGTGAAGAACCACTCGTGCGGCCGCGACATCGCCCTCAAGCTCTCCTTCTCCTTCTCCCTCGCCCCGGCCACCACCAGCAACGGCGTCGGCAAGGGCGGCCTCACGTTCGTCATCGCAGCAGCAGATGCCGTTCCCGGGGGAGACGGCAGCACACTGGGTTACTCCGGCATGAGCGAGCGCAGCATCGCAGTGGAGTTCGACACGTTTCAGGATGCGAGCAGCAGCGACCCGGACAGCAGCCACGTGGGCATCAACGTCGGCGGCTCCGTGGTTTCCATCTCCACTGCAGCGGTGCCAGGGCTGAACACAGGGAGCACCAAGTACACGTGGATCGACTACTCTCCCATGAAAGGCGGCCTGCTGTCCGTGTATGTGGCCAGTGCTGCCTCTCGCCCCGCCAAGCCGACTCTCAAGCGCAGTGTGTCGCTGTGTGACGTGCTGAAGCCCACGTTTGAGCAGGCCACGTTTGTGGTTGGCTTCACTGCTGCCTCGTCTGACCCGCCTCAGAAGCACACCGTGCTGCAGTGGTCGCTGGATACAGGTACTTGATTGGCGGGCCTGAATGGCTGCCAAGGCCGCATGCTCGCTTTGCTGTCCAACTGACAACTGTTTTTCTTGTTGCCAAATCTGCGCTCCCGCGTTGCTTGCTCTGCTCCTCCTCCTCTCTGCAACGATTTCTAGCTCAGTATCGCTTGGATGGATGGCTCGTGAGCTCAGTCATTCTTCTTGCCTTTTCCCTCTCTATGCATTCTCGTTCTCTTGCAGATTTTCCAACTCAGGACGTCTCATCAGGTAGGGCACGGCATGTTGCAGCTTGGAAGTGGGTGCAGCATGGTGCGAGTACCTGCCATGTGTGTCCTGCGTCAGGCCATGTCACTTCTATGTTCTGACTGCCATGAGACAGTTGCTGCTGGTGCGGTTATGACTGGCTGCCTCAGATGCACTCCAACACATCATCACCTTCTACACTTCACTTTTCTAATGCCCTCGTCTCCTTGCTGCACCTGTTTCTCTCCGTCTCTTTCCCACCTCTCTCCCACGTCTCTCCCACCTCTCTCCCACCTCTCTCCCACCTCTCTCCCACCTCCCTCCCACCTCTCTCCCACCTCTCTTCCATCTCTATCGCTCCCTTAACAAAGTTCCCTCCGCCCCGCTTCCCCCACCGCAGCGCTACCGCTGGGCTTCACGCTGGCAGAGGCCACGTTCACAACCACGGGAGTCAACCGCTTCTTCCGCTACGCCAGTGCCGGCGCGCTGCAACCCCCTGCAGGCACAGGCACAGGAGGAGCAGCAGCAGCAGGGGCGAGCGCAGACGAGGAGCAGCAGTGGGCAGTGGCGACGGACATGACATGGGTGCGCGCAGACCTGCTGCCTCACTGGCCGGTGCGCAGCCAGGCGGGGTGTGGCGACTGCTGGGCTTACGCTGTCGTCGCCAGCATAGAAGCCGCCTATGCCATCCTCTCAGCCAATGGCTCACTGCCCGTCTTCTCCGTTGATTCGCTTGTTGCGAGCATGAAGGCTGATTGCTCCGGAGGCTCCCCTTCTAAGGCCTTCCAGTACTTGCTCGCTGTTGGCAAGCAAGGCGGGGGGCTGCAGGTGGATGGGGTGGGGGGAGGAGCAAGTGGAGCAGCGGGGAGGGCGCAGAGGGCTGGAGGGAGGGGTGCGGCGGGTGTGACTGTGGCAGAGGGAAGCGGTGTGGTGGGGTTGCAGGGGAAGCAGGGGGGGTCAGCTGTGGCGGCGGCGGCGGGTGGGAATGCCCTGTGCTCGCCGCTGCTGAAGCCGATTGCGGCGCTCTTGGGAGTGAAGTGCACACCCAAGGAGAAAGCCCGGGCTGGCATTGTGAGTGCAGTGCAGTGCTGTGCAGTGCAGTGCAGTGCAGTGCAGTGCAGTGCAGTGCTGTGCAGTGCTGTGCAGTGCTGTGCAGTGTTCTGAGGCTGCTTAGAAGTTGGAAGTAGAATTTGAGAGTGAAGTGCACAACCAAGGAGAAAGCTGGTGCTGGCATAATGGGGAAGTGGGGTGACGGAGTGTGATGGTGATCCCATCCCTCACCTCCAAACCCCTCACCTCCAGACCCCTCACCCCCTGATCCCTCACCCCCTGATCCCTCACCCCCTGATCCCAATGCTGATGACACGGGCATCATGCAGACTAGGGCATGTTGCATCCTTCTCGATTCTCATCTTGCTTCACACCTGGGCTGGCATCAATCCATTGCGCATGCAGGTGCGGCCGGGCTACAGCATAACGGGCTTTGAGCGGGCGGCCTTCTACAGCTGGTTTGGGCTCGTGCTGGCCGTGCAGCGGCAGCCTGTGGTGGTGCACATAGAGGCGTCTGCTGACTCCTTTCTCAACTACGATGGGGTGAGCATTCATGCATGCAATGCATGCATGCATGTCTCTGGAATATCCGTGCTGCTGGATTGTGAGAGGCGCATGTCTCACGCGCGCTTTTCCATTCTAAACTCACTCACATTCCTTGCATACATTCCTTGCATTCCTTGCATTCTCATTCCCTCAGCTGTCCAAGTACCAGGACCCGGCATGCTTCACGTACAACCTGAACCACGTGGTGCTGCTGGTGGGGTACCGCCTGGTGGGGACAGATGAAGCCTTCCCCCACATGGCGCCTCCATTCTGGATCATCCGCAACTCGTGGGGGCCTCACTGGGGGGATGGGGGCCACATGCGCATGGACATCCAGGGGGGGGATGGCGTGTGCGGCATCAACACGCTTCCTGGGATTTACCCGATTGTCATTGGTATGGTGATGGTCGTGGTGATGGTGGTGGTGATGGTGATGGTGATGATGATGGTGATGATGATGGTGATGATGATGGTGATGATGATGGTGATGATGATGGTGATGATGATGCCACTGCCATTAGGCCACGTAAGTAGGTTGATATTCCGTCTCTGAAGTTGCTGCCTGCCATGAATTTGATGCGTGTATGATGCAAAGGATGTGGTTGAAAAACCAGGCCCCACGACAAAAGGTGGTACCATACTGTTCTATCCTATACAGAACGATGGCAGTGGTGCTTTCCGAGGTCAGCACCTTAGAGACAGCACTCCTCCGCACCACTCCCCACCCCTTCTTGTCCCATCTCAATCCACCCCACCCCACCCTGCTCCACACCACTCCACCCTACCCAGACAAGCAGGATCCGTGCAACAGCGGGTCGCACCACGACCCTTTTGGTGCCGTGTTGAACCCATGTGGCAACTTCACATGCACAGTGACTGCTGATGGCACGTCCAACCGCTGCGACTGCAACACGGCATCTGATGGTCGATTCATTGAGGCCATCAACACCGATGGCTCCCGCACCTGTGCCTATGGTATGTGGCGTTTATGCTTACTGCATTGCACTGGTATGATGCCTACTGCTGTGCTCCAGCCAGCACCTGGGCCTATTGTATGATACCTCCTATATTTTACACTGTGAGATTTCCTAGAAGCGGCTCACGCACGTGTGGCTATGGTATGAGTTTTTCAAAAGTGGCTCCTGCATCTCGTCTGTGCCTGCCCCACTCACTTTCACGTGAAACTTTAAGCTTATGCTGTCCCTCTTTGCCAATGAATGCATTCATGCCTCTCGCACACAAACTACACACCCCCACCTCCGCTTCCCTCCTCTCTCTTGCCCCTCTTGATCCCCCTACCCCTCATGCACACTCCCCCGTGCTCTCCCTCCTCCCCTTCCTCCTGCAGTGGATGCGTGTGCAGCGAACATCCGCAACCCGTGTGCGGTGGGCACGTGTGTGAATGACGGGGCGGGGTCGTACTCGTGTGTGTGTCCACCGGGCTTCAGGCAGGGCACCACCGTTGATGGCACCTTCTCCTGTGCTCCTGGCAGCACCAATGGCACCTACACCATTGTATCGAGCAATGTCAAGTGCTCAGACATTTTCCCCATCTACGGCCTCTCCCAACAGCAGCTCCAGCAGCAGAACCCGGTGTGTTTGTGCCCTTGCAAGAGGGTCTTCAGAATCCTCTCTTTTCCATTTAGAGCCTCTCCCAGGGCTTGGGTGCTTTCATTGCATTGCGTGCTTGGTGTTCAAGACTGTAGCCCTCTCGTGCTGCTCCTTTTGCTCCACACCCTGTTTCCTACCTCTCATCTTACTTCCTTCGCCAAACCCAATCACCTCACTCTCACCCGATCACTTCACTCTCACCCAATCACCTCACTCTCACCCAATCACCTCACTCTCACCCGATCACCTCACTCTCACCCAATCACCTCACTCTCACCCAATCACCTCACTCTCACCCGATCACCTCGCTCTCACCCTTCCATCTCACCCACATGCGTGCTGCCCTGCCACCAGGCCATCTCGTGTGACTCTGCTCTACCGGTGAACTCTGTGCTTCAAGTTGCCCCACCCACCACCATCACCCCCTGCACCGTCTACTACACCACTGAGCAGGTACCTGACAGGTGGCAGGTAGAAGGTGGGAGATCCGGGGTTGGTGGTGGGTAGAAGGTAGTCTGTGGGAGGTGCTGGGTGGTGGTTGGGTGGTGGGTACTGCTTTTTGCACCTCATGGAAAGGACAAACAGACGCTGCCTGTGAGTCGGGTGCAACTTGTGAGTCCATGCATCTTGTGTGTCCGGTGTATGTTGCCTCTGCACCCTCCGCCATCGCCCCTCCCACCATCTAATTGGCCCACGAAGCAGGTCCGATAAGTCTTATCTGCTCTTTCTCTCTCACTCCCTCCCTGCCCCCTGCCCTCTGCACCCTGCCCTCTGCCCCCTGCTCCTTGCCCCCTACCCCCTGCCCCCTGCACCCTGCGCTCTGCCTGCCCCTCTCGCCTCGTGCCCCCATACCCTTCCAGGGTGACACGTGTGAGGCCCTGGCGACGTACTTGTCGCTGGCCAGCACGTGCCCATCCGCCGAGTGCACGGCAGCCTTCCAGGCGCTCAACCCGGGGGTGGACTGCACCGCCAACAGCGCCAAGCTGCCCCCGAGCCAGGCCGTGTGTGTGGAGCGGCGGGCGGAGATGGTGGGGGTGGTGGCGCTGTGCTCGCAGTACTACTATGTGGAGAGCGCCGAGACGTGCGAGTCCATCCGCAACGTGCCCGACCCGCCTCTCTCCCGCGTTGACTTCTACCGCCTCAACCCCGGCATCAAGTGCAGCCGCCTCGTGCCCAAGACCGACGTTGGCACCTTCACCGGCTTCGAGGTCAGCCTGGGTTGGGGGGTTGGTGCTTCTCAGCATTGCTTCGAGCGAGGAGAAAGGTGATGTGAGCGTTGCAGGAGCTACCTGATTTGGTTTCCTTCACAATTTGTGGACAGGACGGTTTTCCGGCTGGTGTACCACATCCTGCAGGATTGCGTTGGGAGAGCACGAACAGTGTTGTAGCAGGGACATGCTTGAGTGTTATGTTTCTACCTTGATTTGGGTGAAGGTGAAGGTGAAGGTGATTTCTTACTCTCCTCTACATCTCCTTTTGCTCCGTGTGTTGCACGTGCGTTGCAGGCTTGTGTTGGGAGCACGGACAGTCTTCTCCAAGGGACATGTCCCCGCGCCACTGCCATTACAATCGGCACTGGTGATCGCTGCACTGCAATCCAGGTCAAGTATTTTAGAGGTGTGAAAGGCTGCTACAAGCACATGAACGGTTACGACTGCATAGACAGGCTGATTAAGGGTACAAAAGTGTGCATTCCGAGCAAGGTGAAAATAGCACAGGGCAAATGTGAGCCTTGATGTTGAATAGGGAAAGAGGCTGAGGCGGGTGTGAAAGGAAATATTGAGCAGCGAAGGGTGGGGGCGCCTCCGGGTGTCAAAAACAAGCGTCTAATTTTTGGGCCCGATTTCTACCCTGATTCTAAACCATTGCCCATGTTTTTATGTACCATATACTTGTTCAGCTCCTTGCTTGCACCTTTCTTTCGGCATCAGCAAGGTCAACCCAGTAGACGGGACATTATCAATTTGGGCCATGGCTGGCTGGCTGGCTGGCTGGCTGGCTACCCAAAACTGGGAGATTAAGTGAACAGGCACTTGTCATACCGTACATGCATAATTAGTGCACCCAAGATTAGTCCAAATGCACATGTGATGTGTGAGCGAAGAAAAGACTTCAAAAGCATAAGCAAAAGAAAGTAAATGATACAGTCAGGGCTTCAGATTCGTTTTGGGCCACCCTTAGTAATCAGGGTTCTAGGTATAGTCAACCCTGATGCGTAGGGTGAAATTTTTGTTTCCCTGGCAGAAGCAGGGTAAAAAGAAGTTAGTCTGTTTGGGGTAATTTTAAACATTATGTGATATGGTAAACGCAAAAGTATCGCGGTTCATTCCTTAATGGCTCAGTTAGTTGGATTACAGGTAGGATAGGAGAGATCGTAGGTTCGAGTCTCGCTGTCGGGAGAATTTTGCAGGGGCCTGTGTAGAGATTCGTCTCGCTACAGAGCATTCGGTAGCAGTATAGCTAAGATTGTACAGTGTACAGTCAGGGAAATAAGTTCATTACGCTGTTTTTCAAAGGGTACAAAATAACTTACACTTTCTGGCCTAGGGTAAAAAATCCACTACCCTGCCTGTGAAAGGGTAACTGAAAAAAAGCGGCCGCCAGTCAGTGCAAAAAGGGTATTTTACCCTGATAACGAGAGGCCTGGATACAGTATGGTACCGGGAATGAGATTCTGGTACAGAGGTAATGCAGTACTGAGGCCCTACATTTGTTGCGGTCCTACCGTAAACTTTCTCCACAGCTAGCACAGACAGACAGCACAGAGCAAGTTGAGCATAAAAGGAACCTGTTGTTGAGGCGCCTCAGAAGTAGATGCCATGCATTTGTTGCGGTTTTAAATGTACGGTAGTCTACTCCACAGCCGGCACCGGCAGCACAGTCAGACAGCACAAGTTGGGCATGATAGGGACTCAACCGGCAGCGTGCACTTAGGGTTTGCTCAGGTGAAGAGAACGAGGAAGGCAATTGCAGCGCCAACAAGGGCTTGCAGGGTCAACACAGCGACGAGCAGACACAGCCTCTGTTGATTGGCAAGAACGGGAAAGGACGGGGAAAGGAGCAAGGGGGGGAAGAGGGGAGGGGGGTGTGAACAACACGAGGGCAAAAAACATGAGCATGTGAAGCGTATGACATAGAAGTTTTACTAAGCGTGACTTGCAGCATAAGATGGATGAGTACTGCGACATTGCAACACCAACTGCTGGAGATAAGAGGCGTGGGAAGATGCAAATGAGGGGCGGCGGATGTGGAGTGGTGTGCGCGTGTGTAGGTGTCAACCCAATGAAAACGCAGAAGCGGCGGAAACGGCCAAGGGGAAGACAATGGGGCCATGGCAAGAGAGTGATTCGTGAAACAGCATGCTTGCGTGCAACAGCACGCGGGAATGGAAAGCATGGCATGGCATGGCATGGCATGCCACCATCCTTTCATGCGCCATACATTGTGCCGTAGCCCAGTTGAGGTGAAGGAGTCAGACGACGGCTGCTAGCAGGGCAACACCACACATGGGAGTATGCGCGGCACAGGGGGGGAAAAGGGGGAGAGAGAAAGGGAGAAAGATGCAGGAAACCGGAACGGAATTTGGAGGAACTAGCGGGAGAGATGGGAAGAGAAACTGAACCAGATGGGCGGTCGGCGAGAGAGACAATGGGAGCCTGAGAGGAATTACAATCACAATCACCAGAGAGAGTGATTGCAACATGACAGCAGCAGTCATGCAAAACGCACATGGCTAGGTGGTAAAGCAATGCATTGGCAGTGGCGTGGTAGAGCAATGCACTGGCAGTGAGGCTGTGGTCAACACTGACTGACGCGACAGCACACCCATCCCCCACCCCCACACACACACATCATGCATCAGTTGCACAACCGCGAGAAAGGAAAGCAGCTGCTAACAGCACACCTGGCAGGCGTACGCGTACCCACCCAAGTGCCCTCCACTCACATCAACCGAATTCGCCGCCATTGCACCAGCTGCACCCATGCCTGCTCTCCCCGCTCCCACTCCCACGCCCACCCCAAGTGCACCTCCCACACCCTCCTCCTCATCCACCCCACCCCTCTCTGACTCGCCCACAGAGACACCATCCACATCAATCCTCGTGTAACCCAGCAGCAGCGACTCATCATCGTCATCATCATTCCGAGCCCCTCCTCCCATCCTCCCCGCGCTGCCTGCTGCACCGCCAATGCATGCTGCCAGTCCCGCACCCCCACTACCCTGCTGCTGCTGCACCCGCCCCCCTGCTCCCACCGCCCCTCCTGCTGCCCTGCTACTGCCTCCGAACCCGCGCGACAGAAAGCCTAGCACGTCGCCACCAGCACCAAAACCAACAGCGCTGAAACCACCAGAACTCGCACCACCAGCGCCTGCAACGGCAGAAGCAGAAGCAGGAGACGCAGCCATAGCAGCACCAGCAGAAGCACTCTCCTCCGCTGACTTGCTACTCGAGCTGCGCCCCACTCCTAAGCCAAGACCAAGACCAATCCCAGTGCCGCCAACACCACCCTTTCTCATCCCCTCACTGGCACTCCAACCCCGCTCCTTCCCTGCCCCATCCTGCCCGCCATACCCCTCCTCGTCCAACCCATACAGCCCCAGCTGCTGAAACGCCTCTGCTTCGCTCAGTGAAGACGACCGCTTGAACCCCCCCTCCTTTCTCCTCTCCAACAGCCTCTCCCTCCACTCCATCTCAACCTCCGATCCCCCCCCTCCCCCACCGCCCACTGCTCCTCCCGCAAGCCCTCTAAACCCTTCAAGAGCAGAGAACCGCACCCCTGCTCGGCCTCCCCTCAAGGGCTGGGGAGGGGCACCGCAGAGGTCCAAGGGGGAGAGCAGGCGCAGGGAGCGGCTGAACTGCTGCCACGCGCCTGACACTGATGCATTGAAGGACGCGTCGGTGAAACCCGTGCGCGGGAGGGACAGCCCGCCGGCCTTGGTGAACGTGCCCTTTGGGCTGCTTGGCGTGCTCCCTTCGCTATAAATAGAACCGCTGCCATCACCGCCGGCACCGCAGCCACCGGTGCCACCACTGCTGGAAGGCCGTTTCAGCCTAGTATACTCCCCGACTAAAACGCTCTCCCGTTCCCCGTACCCTCCCAGTCCCATTCCCCCCCCCCTGGTGCTATCTCCAGCTGCCCTCTTGGCCCTGCTTCTATCCCCCGGGACTTCTGACGACCAACCCCTACGTAGCACGCGGTTACTGGGTGGTCGTGAGGAAGAGGAGGAGATAGGGGAGGAGGGGAATGAAGAGGGGAGGCTGGGGAAATCAACAGGCGTAGAGGATTGCACAGGAACGAAGGATGTTGAGTGGAAGGGTTTCGGTTGAGAAAGGGAGGTGGAGGAGGAGGAGGAGGAGGAGGAGGAGGAGGAGGAGGAGGAGGAGGAGGAGGAGGAGGAGGAGGAGGAGGAGGAGGAGGAGGAGGAGGAGGAGGAGGAGGAGGAGGAGGAGGAGGAGGAGGAGGAGGAAGAAGAAGAAGAAGAAGAAGAAGAAGAAGAAGAAGAAGAAGAAGAAGAAGAAGAAGAAGAAGAAGAAGAAGAAGAAGAAGAAGAAGAAAGAAGAAGAAGAAGAAGAAGAAGAAGAAGAAGACGAGAAGTGCGGCGAATCCCTTGGGTGTTGGGACGTCCATGTCATCTTGAGATGTTACGCCCCCGAGATGCTGACTCACGCCAGAAACGAATGCAGTTTCCACCCTCACTTGCTGCTGCTGCTGCTGCTGCTGCTGTCTGTTGTTTGTCCTGCGGCTGAACTGAAAGTTCTATTCCTACACTCATAAAGCCTTTTCCCTGCGCCTGTGAACGGACCTGTTCCTGCTGCTGCTGTTGTGCCACTGCTGACGTTCTACTCTGCTGCATCAGACCCCCTTGCTCATCCTGCTTCACCTCCTGTTCCTCCTTCTGCTTCTCCTGCTCCTCTCGCCTCTTCTCCTCCTCCTGCCTCTTCTGCGTCTCCCCATCGTGCCCCTCTTGCTTCTTCAGCTCCTCCTGCTCCTTCTGCTGCGGCTCCCCTGCATGAGCACCACCACTGACCACAGCTTGCCCCTGTGCACAGACTGCTGCGCCAGCCGCCCCACTCCCAGCACCACCACCACCAACAGACGCAGCCCTCTGCCGCTTACTCTTCTTTGGCTCCTTTATGAGAATGATCTCCCGCCGCCCCCCACCAGCGGCAATCTTCAAAGGACTCCTCGGGGGCATGCCGGAGCAGGGGGGACCTACACCCGCTGCATGTGAGCAGGCGCGCATGCAGCAGCAGGTGATGAAAGGAAGAGAGAAGGGGAGGGAGGAGGGGGGGGAAGAGAAAGGGGGAGAGAGGGTGGGGATGGGGTGGGAAGAGATGGGTGAGGGATGGGTGGGAGGGAGGGAGGGAGGGAGGGAGGGAGGGAGGGAGGGAGGGAGGGAGGGAGGGAGGGAGGGAGGGAGGGAGGGAGGGAGGGAGGGAGGGAGGGAGGGAGGGAGCGGCAGAGGAGGAGACGGGGTGGGTGGGAGCAAGGACCGGAAATAAGCAGTTTGAAAAGAGGGGAGCGGTGGGGAATGGAGGAACGAACGCAACGGATTGGCGAACGGACGAGCATATGGAAAGGAGTGACGGAGGGTAAAGGGAGGGGGGAGGGGAGGGAGTAGGACAGAGAGGGAAACGGGGTGAGGAAACAAGGAAAGAAAGACAGTCAATTGGGAACGAGCATAAATGGGAGAAGTGGAAAGGAGAATAGAGACAGAAATGGGAGGAGGTTTTTGAGCAGTGGGGCCGTGAGTGGATGCAGGGGTGGCATGAGATGAGAGCACAAGCTGCCGTGCACACGTGGTGCCATGTCAGGAGGGTCGGAGTGGGGGGCGGCAGGCAGCATGGCAGGAGAAGGAGCAGGAGCAGGAGCAGGAGCAGGAGCAGGAGGAGGAGGAGGAGCAGAAGCAGGAGCAGGAGGAGGAGCAGGAGGAGGAGCAGGAGCAGGAGCAGGAGGAGGAGCAGGAGGAGGAGCAGGAGGAGGAGCAGGAGCAGGAGCAGGAGCAGGAGCAGGAGGAGGAGCAGGAGCAGGAGCAGGAGGAGGAGCAGGAGGAGGAGGAGGAGCAGAAGCAGGAGCAGGAGGAGGAGCAGGAGGAGGAGCAGGAGCAGGAGCAGGAGGAGGAGCAGGAGGAGGAGCAGGAGGAGGAGCAGGAGCAGGAGCAGGAGCAGGAGCAGGAGGAGGAGGAGGAGCAGAAGCAGGAGCAGGAGGAGGAGCAGGAGGAGGAGCAGGAGCAGGAGCAGGAGGAGGAGCAGGAGGAGGAGCAGGAGGAGGAGCAGGAGCAGGAGCAGGAGGAGGAGCAGGAGGAGGAGCAGGAGCAGGAGCAGGAGGAGGAGCAGGAGGAGGAGCAGGGGCGGGAGCGGCAATTGCGGCAACATAGGCGGCAGCAAGGGCCGGCAGTGGGGGCAACAATAACAAAAGCTGTAATCGCATTGGCAGCAGGCGGAATCAAAAGGCAAAGCTCGACCCATGTCAACGCTAATGCTAATGGGGCATGTTCATAACCAACCAACCAACCAGCCAATCAACCAACCAGCCAACCAACCAGCCATCGACCAACCAACCAACCAACCAGCCAATCAACCAACCAGCCAACCAACCAGCCAATCGACCAACCAACCAACCAACCAACCAACCAACCAACCAACCAACCAACCAAGAAACAAGCTAACCATCCAACCAACCAAGGCAGCAAAGAAGCAAGCAGCAATACCTGGCGGTGCGCCTACTTGAGATGTATTTGCAGGTGTTCCAGTCTCCCCTGCCACCCCGCTGCTGCTCTCCGACTTTCTCCGCTCCATGCTCCCCTCCTCCTTCCCCTCCTCCTTCTCCTCCTCTTTCCCCTCCTCCACCTCTTCCAGAAGGTATTGCTCCTCCTTCGACCCCCACACCAGATTCCCTTCCGACTGGCTCCTAAACCCATGGCTTCGCGAAAATCTCGGCCGAACCGGCACAGCCACCACCACCGCTTTTCCCCCATCCGCCCCTTCACCTCCACCCTCCAGCCGCGCATCATCCACCCTCATCTGCTCCGTTATAAGGTTCAGCTCGTCTTCCAGCAGCCGTTTCGCCCGCTCCTTCCGCACCCGAGCCTCCGCCTCAGCCTTGGGCTCAGGCTCGGGCGGCTGGACCAGGTACGCGCCGGGAGCGTCCCTGTAGGGAAAGATGAGCTCTGGGTCTTGCACGGGCGCTCGGTACTGAATCACCATGGCTCTCATCTTGCTCTCCAGCCGTGGCACGTTGATTCCTAACTCTGCTGCTATAGCAGCAGCGGCTGCCAGCGAACGCACGTCGACAGACCCACCCTCCCTCGCCGGCGCCCCCCCTGCTCCCCCTGCTGCAGTGAGCGCGCGAGAGACAGACACACTGGTGGGGAACGCACCGGCCCCGCCTACCGAAGCAGAACTGGGCATGCCAGAACCATTAACACCGCCGCCCCCGGCTCCTCCCCCTCCCCCTCCCCCTCCTCCGCCAGTCCCTCCCCCTTCCTTCCCCCGAGACCCCGTGAGCAGGCCAGCGCCAGCAGAGAGGGAGCGGATGAAGACGCTGCTGGCAGAGCGGCGGTGCGCCGTGCTGGCCTCTTTGAACGCCTTCAGGACTTTCCTCAGGAGGTTGTACCCGTCTGCTCGCCCGAACTCGCCCCCGCACATCCTCGCTATAAGCACACCCGTTGTGGTGACGCTAGAGCTGTCTGATGTGATAGTGGGGGTGTTAGTAGCGTGTTTGGGGACAGGGTGCGGAGGGATAGAGGAAGAGGAAGAGGAAGTGGAAGGAGGAATGAAACCCCCACCCCAACCAGCACCGCCACCAGTGAACGGGCGAGGGCTAGTTGGGCCCACCATACTCCACACGCTCCCAGCACTGCCGGTGCCACCGCCACTCTTCTTGCTGCCGCTGCTGCTGCTGTTGTTGCCGCCACCGCCACTGCCAGTGCTGCCGCTGGCACCACTGCCGCCGCTGTGGCTGCTACTGTGGTTGCTGCCGCTATAGCCGCTGCCGCCGCCGCTGCTGCTGCCGTTGCCGCCGGTCGATTCCACGAGCAGCAGAGCCATGAGCGTGTCATGCGCGAGGGAGACCTTGGAGAGGAACGGCGGCGCGGCGTCCAGAACGGCCTGCGCCACGGCGACGAACTTAACGTCCGTCGTGTAGCGCGCCACGAGAGTGTTATTGCGCGCCACGCCCACCAGAAACACCAGATCCTCCATCTCCTCCTCTTCCTCCTCGTCTCCGCCGCCGCCGCCTTGCGCCGACTCCCTGCCGCGGCTCCCCTTTCCCTTCCCCCTCCCTTTGCCCTTCTCCCATACCATCGTGGCCCCCCCGCGCCGCGAAGTGCCTCCTCGCTCCGCCTGCCCGCTTGCCGTTCACGCGCGCGCGCTTTCCGCCTAAACCGACGCGAGCGGGAAATACGGAGCCGTAATGATAAATACTCCTCAGACGAGAAGGAGAAAGAGAGAGGGATAAGGGAACTAGTAGAACCTTTCAGGAATGCTTCGCTGTAACGCGCACGCGGCTCTCATTTCTCGCTCCTGCTCCCACCAGCGGCCTCTCCTCCTCGTCACCCTCCCCCGCAGCTACCAACTTCCAGACTGCAGACTCTCCAGTTCCTACTACCATCGACGCCTGTCGCCTCTCCAGTTCCGGATCAGAGAACCACTTGCCGGCATGCTGCCGAGGAAGTCACACGCGCATACCACATGCGGAGGGCACTCGATGCGTCCCAGGCGTGCCTGAATGTTCTATTGCAGAAGCCAAGGCGCCGGCTTGACGAAGTCGCGGATGCTCTCGGACGCTCTCGGACGCTCTCGGAAAAGGCGCCGGCCAAGCAGAAGGGCGGCTGATTGAGAGAGGCTGATTGAGAGGGCCGCTCTCCCTGGATTGCCGGCACATGAGTGGAGAAACGATCGCACGGAGTAGCTCCAATTTTCAAAGGAGCGGGTGGCAATAGAAAAGGGCGTACGAGGGCTGTGCGGCAGCGGCCCTAACTCGGCGAATGGTGGGACACGATTTGCGCATACAAATAAAAGAGCGATTGCGGAAAAACAGGCTTTCAAAGGGGTCCACTATTCCGCCTTCCAGGCCCTGCTAAAGGAAGCGACCTTGAACGATAATTAAAAAGATGCTCGCCGGCCGATGGCGTTTACAACATGGCTATGGATTGCCTTGAAATGGCCCGTGACCTGACAGTGAGATGGCCGTGCCTACTAATGGCTGAGAGCGTTGAGCGTGTGCGCCGACCATCAACAACCCAGCACAGCATCCTTGAAATGATGACACCCACACCACGAGCTCATGAAAAATTCGCGCTAGGTCTCCACCCCACGGCATCCAAACCAGCCTTTCAGGAACCCACATCATCTGTTATGAGTTGTAAAAGAGAGTGCGCAGGTAAACGAATAACGAGACTGTGACTGAATGAATCTGAGAATACAATGAATGCGAGAACTAATGTAGGCTAGCCTAGCTAGGAGGAAACCTCGGACGAGCGAGGTTGGGTGCAGGTTTGGCGATGGAAATGCCGAAGGCGACGTGAGGAGCTTCGGCAGCGTGGAAATCGCCCGAACGTGCGAACTCCGAAAATCGGGTTGTACGCGCAGTAGTCAACCCCGATAAGGAATTCGAGAAAATTCCTTACACCACCCCCCCCTTAAGAAAGGCGGTCAATATCCGAAACACGCTTGCGCGCCAAGTAATCACCAACAAGTGGCGAGGCGTCGAGCGAGGCGGATGGCACCCACGTGTCGTCCTCACTGGTGCGATCAGTCCAGCGGATTAGGAAATCCACGTGTCGGCCAGCTGCGTCAAGTCGAACTCGATGGGCGAGAATTTTCAATGGGTCGAGTGTCGGCTCTGGGACAGGTCGAGCTGTCGGGGCAGCTTGCTGACGTGCAATGTCGGTCGTGGCTGGCACGAACTTGCGAAGCAGGCTTACGTGGAAGGCGTCGTGAATGCGGTGACAGGTGTCACCATCTTGATAATCTTGAACGGTCCGCAAAATCGGGGCCGTAGTTTCGATGGACCGGGCAGGTGCAGGTTCTTCGTGTCGAGGAGCACTAATTGCCCAGTAGTCAAGACGAGTTCCCGGCGTAGGAGGTCGGTGTATTTGCGGGAAGTAATATTCGCCTTGCGAATTGCGTCTGCTGCTTTCTCGCGTATATGCTGAAGTTCCGTCACAAAAGTGTGTGATCGCGGGACCGGGTTGTCGAGCGAAGTTGCCGTGGGCACCGTCGGATCCATCCCGTAATTCAAGAAGAACGGGGAGTGATTAGTCGTGCTCGATGGTGCGTTGTTGAAGGCAAACTCCAACATGGCGAGGGAATCTTCCCATCGTGCGGGGTCGGGGCAGTTTGTCCGTATCAGCTGCTCCATCGTCTGGTTGGTTCGCTCGGTTTGTCCGTCCGTCTGTGGGTGGTAGGCCGATGAGAACTGTAGCTTCGTGCCGTACTGCGCCCATGTTTCCTTCCAAAACTTGGATGTAAACTTCGGGTCCCGGTCGGTGATGATCGCCGAAGGGATGCCGTGTAGTCGCACGACCGTTGAGATGAAGAGGCGCGCAGTTTCTTCGGCTGTGATCGTCGTTCGGCATGGTGCGAAGTGCGCCATTTTCGTGAAGCGATCGACAACGACGAGGACAGCGTCGTTGCCGGACGGCCCAGCTGGCATCCCCGTGACGAAATCCATCGTCACCTGTTGCCACGGTCGTTCGGGTGGCTCGAGGGGTTGCAGCAGCCCAGCTGGTCGCTGTCGTGTCGATTTCATGGCTTGGCACACCCTGCATGAGGACACGTAACGCTGCACGTCGTTAGAGGAATCGGGCCAGTAATATTGACGGTGCAGTAATTTCTGGGTTTTATCAACCCCGAAGTGTCCGGAGTAGTTCGAATCGTGGACCTCCTGGATGAGGAGTTCACGCAGCAGCCGGTAAGCGGGGACCCAAATCCTGTCGGTGCCGGCTTTTAGGTAATAATCCCCCTTCTGCGTCGTGGCCTGCTGATGATTTCCTGTCGTGAAGAACGGGTCCGTAGTGTAGCCGTGGGTGAATAGTCCTGTAAGTAGCGGGTTCGAATGGGTGATCAGTACAGCAGCGGATTGTACGGTCGGTCTGGTCAGGGCGTCGGCGATGTTATTCGCCCCTTTCTTGTACGTGATGCGGTAGGTGAAGTGGCTCTCCATGTAATCCAGCCACCGAATTTGTCGCGGGTTGAGGTTCGGTTGAGCTCGCAGGTACTGTAGGGACTTGTGGTCCGTGCGCACAGTGACGTCGGCGCCCACCAGGTAGCATCGCCACAGTTTAAACGCGTGGATTATGGCGAGCATCTCCTTGTCGTGGATCGGGTAGTTGCGTTCGGCAGCTTGCAGCTTGCGTGATTCGTAGGCGATCGGCTGCAGCCCGTTCCCGAAATCCTGGAGAAGCACTGCTCCGATGGCGAAATCAGAGGCGTCGGTTACGACTTCGAACGGCTTTGATGGGTCGGCGATGCGCAGTACAGGAGGAGAAACGAGAAAATTCTTGAGCTCCTGGAAAGCCACCTCTGCTTCCTCCCCCCACACGAAATTCTTGTCCTTGTGCAGCAGGTCGGTCAGCGGGCCGGTTATCCCCGCCATATTCGGGATAAACCGCCGGACGTAATTCACGAACCCCAAAAAACTCTGGAGCTCCGTGACATTAGTCGGGGCCTTCCACTCCTGGATGGTTTTAATCTTCGCCGGGTCGATTTTGATGCCGTCGCGGGAGATAACGTGCCCTAAAAACTCCAACTCCTGCTTAAAAAACTCGCACTTAGAGCCCTTGGTGATGAGCCGGTTCTCTTGCAGCCTTTTAAAAACTGCGTCCAGGTCGCGGAGGTGTTGCTCCCGTGTCTTGCTAAAAATCAGGATATCGTCCAAATAGACGATGACACATCGGTCTAGAAGATCGCGAAAAACCCTGTTCATGGTCAGTTGGAATGTCGAAGGCGCGTTCGTGAGGCCGAAAGGCATCACTGTAAATTCGTAACTCCCGTAGCGTGTACGAAACGCGGTCTTGTGACAGTCGTCGGCGAAGACCCGAATCTGGTGGTAACCGCCACGTAAGTCGATTTTCGAGAAGTAGCGAGCGCCGCGAAGTTGATCGAGGAGGTCGTCGGTGCGTGGGATTGGGTAGCGAGACTTGATGGTCACCCTGTTCAACGCGCGATAATCGATGCACATGCGAAGCCCGCCGTCCTTCTTTGGAGTGAACAGGATCGGTGCCGCGAACGGGGAGGTGCTCGGCCGAATGAAGCCTTTCTCCAACAGTGCAACAATTTGTCGGCGTAGCTCCTCGAGTTCCGGTTGGGTCAACCGCCACTGTGTCCGAACAGTAGGTTGCGCGCCAGGTTCCAGCTGGATTTTATGGTCTTCGGGTCTTTCGGGTGGCAGCCCAGGTGGCAAATCGTCCGGGAAAATGTCGGGGTACCGTCGAATTAGCTCCGCTAAATCCGGAGGAACAGCTGCACACAGCTTTTCGATGTCCTTTCCGTCGGTGTCGACTGCCAACTCGCGCAAGCAGACGGCGAACAGCTGCGCACCCCTGTTGAAGTGGTGGGCGATGGTGATGGCTTTGACGCACGGGGCTTGTATGTAGTCAGGTGTCCATGCAGGCAACTTAATTAGCCCCTCGTGCTTGCTGACGCAGCACGATCCCGTTGTCCAGTCGATGACGGGGTTGTGTCGTCGCAGCCAATCGCGTCCCAGCAGCACGTCGCAGCCATCCAGCGTCGTCGCGAGGAACTTCATGCTGAAGCCGAAATCTTCGCCGCACTCGATCCGCACCATCCGTGTTTCTTCCGTTATCGCCAGAGGCGTCCCATCCACGAGTCGTGCGTCGATTTCGGGCAGACACCTGTCAAGTTGCATGTTGCATTTTTTTGCGCTCGCCAAGTTGAAGAGGCTATGGCTGGCCCCTCCATCGACGAACATTTTCAAATGATGTTTCCCCACCTTGCCAGCGACCAGCACAGGGTGATCCACATGATTATCCCCGTTATTCGGCCGAGTGCGATCGATTGCATGAATCGGAACCACGACTCGGTGGGGATGGTGGTGTTCGGGCGACGGAGCACAGTCAGTAAAGGGCCCGCTACTTACTGACTCTTCCCATTTCCCTGCTCCTTCCTGTCGTTCTCTGTCAGCGGCATTTTCTCCTTGCATTCGTTCTTCCAGTGACCCACCTTCCCACACCGGAAACACTGACCCTTAGGAGGGCGGTCGGGTGTATGGACGGCGTTGATTGTGGCCCGATGGGTCTGGCCACGAAAACCTCTCCCATCCCTGGAAGCCGTTCTCGCGTACTGCATCAGCGCATCTGTTGACTCCGCCACGCGTACTGCTTCGAGGAACGATGTCGGGCGGCTGCGGCGAACTTCGAACTGTATCTCGTACTTAAGGCCGCTCACGTATTTATCCAACCGCTCAGCTTCCGACATGTCATCGATTTGGTCGGCGAAGCCCATAAATGACGCCGTGTAGTCTTGGACAGATCCCATCTGCGACCATGCACGCAGCTTCATGCGAGCTTGCTCCGAGGCGGATATGTGCTCGAAGCGATCCCGTAAGGCTGCGCCCCACTCCTTCCATGTGCGTATCTTGGTCACACCGAAGATCGGTTCTGCAACTTGATTAACCACTGTAGAGGTCCCGTCTGCCGCATGTGTCACACCTGTCGACGTCCCTGTTTCCAAGGTCCGGCGCCACCATTCAAGTGCTGCACCTCGAAGAAGTGAGACTGCGTAATTAATGCGCGTGGCATCGTCATTAACTCCGGCTGCAGTGAAGAAGACTTCAACCCCGAACAGCCACCCCTTCACTGTAGTCGTCTTGTCCGTAGGATTAAACGGGGGCGGGTTGACGGGCTTGATCTTGATCGTCGTAACTGCAACTGGCGCTGCCGCCGCTCGCTGCCTATCTTCTTCTTCGAAGTCGCGTGTGAGCTCGTCCAGAGGATTGCCCATCACTTGACTGTTGCCCTCGCCTTCGTCCACAGGCGACGTCTGACGCGCTTCACCTCGCGTCCGGCGTAGCTCGGCGTTTTCCTCCTTCAGTGTTGTCACTTCCGCTTGCAGCGATTCCATGCCCCTCGCCATTTCTGCCACTTGCGCCATCAGTCGGTTAACAGCCTCCTGATCCATGTTTCTAGCACTACGTCTGGTGGGCAGTTGGGTACCCGTGGCCGCCCGGCAAGTGAAAACACGAACTATCGGAGTCGGGCAGGGTTGAGTTAACAACCTCTGCAGCCAACCGTCGTGTAGTCACTAAACCAACCACACCCTATGCCACCAAACTACCCTTGAAAAGCGGGGTGAACTAGGAAAGTAGCTCTGATACCAGGTGTTATGAGTTGTAAAAGAGAGTGCGCAGGTAAACGAATAACGAGACTGTGACTGAATGAATCTGAGAATACAATGAATGCGAGAACTAATGTAGGCTAGCCTAGCTAGGAGGAAACCTCGGACGAGCGAGGTTGGGTGCAGGTTTGGCGATGGAAATGCCGAAGGCGACGTGAGGAGCTTCGGCAGCGTGGAAATCGCCCGAACGTGCGAACTCCGAAAATCGGGTTGTACGCGCAGTAGTCAACCCCGATAAGGAATTCGAGAAAATTCCTTACATCATCATCAAGCGTGTTAGCTGAGTTACAACTGCGTAACAACACCAAGCTGTAATTTATGCAACCTATGATTTTTTCCAACATTTTTTTTGGAAAGTTATCATGATGCACACGTCAATAATAATTTATATTACAAGGTATTTTAAATATTATAAGATAAAGAAAAACAAACGATACATTCTGTGGTACGTATGCAGTGGAAAATTATTTTTGCAGCTTCACTTTGTATGCGTTGCGACATAGAATATACAGCTCATACCCTGCATAAATGTCAGCTGTAGGGACGTCACATCTGTTCTGACCAGTCAAAGAAGATGCAGTTTCCTCTCAGGTCCAGAAACATACCGTGCGACACAGGAAATCTGTTTTCCCCGTCTGCGCCGTCCATTTCCGCCACGCCGGTCGCAGACGCCCTATTCGAGTGAATCTTACCCGTCCATACAGTTTTCCCGCCATAGGGATGTCGCCAGGGGCGTTCAACCGACTCGCTCGGATCAAACGCGATGCGACCGTTCGATGTAACGCCTGGTTGGACGAAATGTCAGTTCCCTCCTCGCCTCCGCCGCCAATTCGCCGACCTGAGTGGTCACCAGAAATTCCCGCAACGCCCAAGGTTGTCGTGAAATACCCTCGCTAGCACAAGACAAGCCGAAGCGAGTCGGCTAGTAACAAGGTGTAACGAATTCCAGTGATGCCTTCCGAATTGAACTGAACTGAACCGAGCCCCGATAGTTTCGCCCTCCCCTCCCACATAGGTATATCCACAGAGCTATTTATCACTTCTCCACAGAACTTGCACCTTTATACTGTACTGCCTTGCATCTTAGCTTAGCTTAGTTCCATCCTGAAGCGAACATCGTCATCCGCCATTATGGCGCGGCTCATCCGCGCAAATTCTACGCTTCCGACCCTCCTCCTTCTCTTCGCAATTGCCTTAGGCCTTCCTTCCGCATTTGCGAAGGTCGACCTTTACACCGTGTGCGGCCGGCAGGAGGCAAAGGATGGCGCGGTGTCGTTCAAAGTAGTCACTTACAACACGCTGCTCCCCATCAGCCAGCCAGTCTCGCCGCTCGACGCGGTCATTCCCCCCAAGGGCTCCGTTAGCATCACTGGCGACTGCACATACGCCGTCGACTCAGCATGCAACATCGTGAAGAAACGTACGTGAAGGTGTTACTAACGCCTCATGTTATAGATGATATCAGGACAGTCAGTCATTGTCGTCTCGTGACGCGACGAGCTGAATTTCCAGCAGACAAGAGACTGCATAAAACGAGAGTTTTCAGCGGAATGCTGCAATCAGGAGTTGCTGCTTCGCGTCTTGCTTGTATCCTTGTATCCTTCTCAGCACCACGTTCCTTCATCGTTCCTGTTCATTTCTTCTCTTGGTTCGTTTCCTCGCAGTGCCCCAATGCAAGGCCAGCACGTGCTGCGTTTACTCCAAGCGTCCATTCCGTCTGGCTCTAAACTCCACGTGCACTTCTCCCAACTGCCGCGTTTGGGCGTCTGAGTTCTCTGGTCGCTGCCTCGGCGGTGCTGCAAGCAGCAAGGGCAGCAAGTGCAATAAGGCGTAGGGGAACGCGCAATGTTGGGGGAGTTTCGATGGCTACTAGAAAGCCAAATTATGGTGGCAGGGGAACCACCAAGCGTGGAATGTGAAGTGCTGTACAGGGTGTGAGTGCTTAGCTAACTCGTCCGCACAGGTAGTGTGTTTAGGGTTTATTAACTTACAACAGAGCTTCGCTTTATTAAACCACTTACATACATGAACTCCAAAGGCAACTTAATTATTCCACAAACCACTTGCGACTCGTTCTGATCAATCCACAACCTGAATAAGCTCAAAGAGCTTTCCCTTGATGGCCTCCTCGAGCACAATCATGGGAGAAATCTCCTTGCCTTCCAGCACCGCCAGCAACATCCCCTTGCTGAACCCCGACACCAGCGCCACCCCCTCCTCACTTGCAGCCACCGGCGTGCTACTCGCAGAAGCATCCCCCCTCAGGTTCCAATACACTATCTGCGGTACAGGGTAACCCGCCGCAGTATACCTGCGAACTATCGCCTGGTGGTCCGTCTCCCAGTCGGCCCCACTGGCCGCGCCCGCCTCATCAAACTGCATGTCAGAGAACACGTAGAGGCGCTGCACCATGTCGGCCGGGTCCAGCTGGAACTTCTTTGCGCGGGACAGCAGCAGGTCAAACACGGACTGGAAGTTGGTGTTGTAGCCCCAGCCCATACGCTGCACCCTCCTCACGCGCTCCACCAGGGTCTCTCCCTTCACGCGATAAATCTTCGGCGTTGCAGAGAAGGTAATAAGGTGGTTCTTCCACGGCTCGCTGCTCACCTCGCTCACGAGCAGCGACAGTGCAACGGCCACCTCCATGGGCGTGCCCGCCATGCTCCCCGACACATCGCACACCGCCATGCTGTTCCCCAGAGACCCCTTGCTGCGCACATCAGCCACCATGGCCTTCCACTGCAGCTCGCCCACTGTATCACCGCTGTCCTCTGCTGCTTTCATGGCTGTTTTCACCACTTCATGCGGCAGCAGCGCCCCAGCAGCGATCTTCGCCTCGCCGCCCTTCACATCCTCGAGGTACTCAGTGAAGCGCGCCTCATCGTGGGAGAGGAAGAGCTTGCGGGTCTTCTTCATGCACACGGACGGCACGCGCCCGTATGCCACGCGCTTCCACCGCCCGCTGCTCATGTGCACCTCGGGCACCTCCAGCACTCTCCGCAGCGGCGCCAGCACCTTCTGCTGAAGCCGCTCCTTCGCCACGCGCATGTAACCCCCCGCGCCTGCTGCTGCTCCACCGTCCGCATCCTTCCCGGAATCAGCAGCAGCAGCAGAGGAGGATGGGGAGGAGGAAGAGGAGGAGGAAGAGGAGGAGGGCGATGGAGGAGGTGAGCAGTGTGGAGTGATCAAACGACTTGCCAGGGGAGGGCGCCCACTTGGCTGCCAGAGAGAGCCTCGGCGCCGGCCTCCCCATCCACTTGCGCTTCTTCTTGCCCTCACCACTGGTCTCCGCCTTCGCCCCACCCCCTTCTGCGTTCTTCCGCGCGCGCCTCTCTTCGAACGCGCGCATCGTCTCGAGGTCCCCCTTCAGCGCAGCCGCGAAGATCGCCGCCACCGCGTTGTGCACGGCGCGCAGCCGCTCGCTCGACTCGTACGCGTGCGCCACCGCCGCCGCCCTCCGCGCGTGCGCTTCCTTGCGCGCAACCGCCGCGCGCTCGCTCTCCTCCGCCATCTTCCGCCGGTTCTCCGCCACCCGCTCCTCCCGACTCTTCTGCTCCGCCATCCCCCGCTTCGCTACCACGCTTTTCCCCTCTTCCATACTCCCCTTCCTGACGCGCATTTTGCGCATCTTCTTTCCCTCATTCATGCCATTCCAAGCCACAGTGCCGTCCTCCTTGGCGTCTACGCCTTCTTCCGCCAAAGCGAGCCGCACGATCTCCAATAGGTCTTTAAAGCACCCGAACTCAGGAACCAGCCATAGGTTCTGAATAAGCGTCCGCGGGTGGTTCTGGTAAAGCCACGTGACACAGTGGAAGAAGCTGGAACGGTCGCTCTTACCCGTGCCGCGCACCGCGCGCAGCTGCATCACCAGCCGCAGAGCCGTGGCCGGGTCCTCCGCCCACGCAGCCTTGAGCCGCCTGTGCGCATCGTTGCGCTCGGTCTGCGGCAGCACGTGGAAGAGAAAGTCCACGCACGCGTTCCCCGATGATACGTATGTGTGCGCGAAGTTCTCCGTGAGGCCCCGCTCCGGCTCGCTCGCACCAGACTCCAATTTCATGTCGCCGATGGCATTTTCGACGCTCTTGAAACGAGTCGCGTTGTCCGCGTGCTCAGAGGTCGGAACAGCTTGAACCTGTGGCAGTTTCTTGGAAGGGTCATCCTCGTTGACTGGACGACGCGCACGCAGCTCCTGAAGAAAAGGCAGGGCCGAGGCAGGGCATTGTAGCACGTGGCTCGTATCTACTGGAAGCGGGCCTGGAAGGAAGGTGGCGGCCTCAGCCGCCATGGCTGATATCTGTGGGACTGAAATATAAGAAATTGGTTGGAGGAAATTCGAAGGCCCCAGAATGGGATCTGGAAGGATGATTTTTTCTTGAGAATGCCGAAGAATTTGTAGATTTGCTTCTCACAATCAAAACGCTTCGCAAGCGCAAGAAAATTGCTTCCCAGATGCAAGAAAACTGGGTGTCGGGTCGGGTCGGATTTGGTTGAGTTGGGTTGGGGGGAAGGGGTCAGCGTTGCGTGGTGAATGAGACGAGCGCGCGCGATGTGGCCTGGTGTGGTGTGGAGTGGAGCTTGGTCCGCACGCAAACTGACCAGCCGAGACGTGACCTGGACGAAAGGTGGGGATACTTGAGCATTGGATAGGTTGCCCACACCCTGAATCCTAGGGGTTAAGGTTAAGGTTATATTAAGGTCGTAACACACCCTGAATCCTGGGGTAGACGTTTAGGGCACGCAAAGTTACTGACCCATACAGCGTTCTTATGTACGTACAAAGCCTTGTAAGTGAAGATAGGGGGTTCTACCAAGCTAATCGGGCGGGATTGCAACAGATCGTAATTCGGGAGGGGAGACTGATAAAGGTAAAGGTTTGAGGAGGCGACACTGGATGAATAAACGCGATCCGTCGAAAGGTTGCCCGTTTACGTGTCTGGATGGAAAAGTACCGAAAAACCGGTGTATGGGCTGTCCAGTTTCGATAAACCAAGCTCACCGCCACGACGTTGGGCAGCACTGCACGGAAGGGCCAATCACAATGAGGGAGTGTTATAGCGTCAGCATCACATCATAGCCCCTAATGGAGGTGTAGCAAACCCTTACGTACCGTCTCAAACCGTACAAAGTACCGTACTACTCATCTGCAGCTGCAACCGAGTTTGAACAAGCAAGTGGCGGCAGTTGCGGGTTCTCTCGTCTCGTCTCCCTCCCCCCACTGCCTCACCTCATCCATCCATCTTGCTTTTGCTGCTCCTCTCTGGTTCTCTCGTGGAGCTCTTGGATGGCTTTAATGCTTTTGCCCATCAGCACAGGTACTCATTTGCCCTAACACCTGTTTTGCGAATAGCAGAGCTCTGGCGGCGCTCGTTTGCGAATGCCCTTGGTTGTAGATAGATTGTAACAAGAAGAAACGGTGGCGTGACTCGGCTAATCGTTGTCACATGCCTTGTCGGCATATATATAGTTCCAATAATACCAGCTGATCGCATTGAAGCCTTGACGCACGAATGGAACGACAGTCAGCATGATCGAAGAAACTAGTTGGGTTGTGTAAAGCCGGGCGATGGCCCTGGTAATGGCTTTGCAATGAGCAACATTAGCGAACAGCGGAGCGCCTCCGGGCTCAGTTTCTCGTCAGAAACGGCGGTAACACAGCCACCGACAGCCACAGCCGTGGCGAAGACAACAGAGATAACAGCGAGTAGTATTAGATCGTCATCCCGAAATGGACCGAAATCTTCGTGGTCCTTTTCGTTCTCATCCTCCTCATTCTCAACCTTCTCCTCATCGTCGTCGTCGTTGTCGGTGCTACGTCAGCAAAAATCGCTATTTCGATGTCTCCTCCTTTCCTCGGTCCTCGTTTGGGCTACGACGAATCACTTGGCAGCCGTGGCATCGAGATTGCCAATGGAAGGAGAGCACGTGTCCGTTGATGCATCCACTAGCAGCTTGCCAGTCATTGCAACGGCATTAGCAACACTACTACCGCCTTTGAGAGGAGGCATCACGTCGAGGAGAGGAGAGGAGAGGAGCAGCAGCAGCAGCAGCAGCAGCAGCAGGATCAGCAGCAAAGGCAGCATCAGCAGTAGCAGCAGCATCAGAAACGTTGTCTCTGAAGACTTCTTTGCCCGTCAGGGGCCAGTAGCGAATGCGCATGAAAGCCCTGTTGAGGGGGCCGAACCTAACGAGGACGCACCAAAAGTGCACGCCAGGGTCTCAAGGAGAGTAGCGCGTGACAATGTCGAAGGAAATGACAGCAAGGCGAGCAAGGTCCAGGGAGGAAGTTTCGGAGAAGGGATGCTAGACGGAGAGGCAGGAGTAGTGCCCATGACGACCAGCCAGCACATTAGCAAGCTTTCGAGGGGGTACGCAAACGAGCATCAAAGCGATCCAAGCAGGCGATTAAGCAAACAAGCGGACATTCATAGCTCAAGCGCAGTGGACTCCAACTCCTCATCCTGCTTTTCCATGCCGCTGTCGCATTCGGCTGCAGCGGCAGGAAAAGAGTGGCCTGTGAGTTCCGCTCCGTTGCACATCACGGGCATTGCAATTCGCTCGCCGGTCACATCACACGTTTCGGTCGACCTTGCTCTCTCTGCCGGCCGGACATTTCGAATGCTCGTGAATGCAGTCTGTTACCACTTCTCCTGGCCTTTCTCTCATCCCGGCTTGCTTATTCGAATTGATTTCTCCCAATTTCTTTCCTTGACGGTTTATAAAGAAATAATATTCTCATGGCCCAATGCCCTCCTTGCGTCATCCGCCCTGTTCGTCCCTCCTCCATTTCCCTCTGCCATCCTGTCCCCTCTCCCTCCCTCTCTCCCGTCACACCCCAGCCCTTCTCCCCCTCGCTTCATCTGCTGACAGCGTGCGTGCTGGCGCTGCTGGCAGCAGCGGTGGCGAACGCAGGGGGAGTGGGGGGAGGCGGTCTCTTTGTGCCGCTATTCAACCTGCTGCTCGGATACGACGCCAAGTCCGCCACTGCCCTCTCCAAAGGTACCGTACCATACCATACCATACCATCATGCGTGTGGCACTTTTGCGAAAACCATAATAGCGACGGCGGTCTCTTCTCTCTTTGCTGCACCGCACTTTAACTCCGCCTGCTGCTCGGATATGGCGCTCATTCCACCTCTACCATGCCCTCTCCACATGTACCACCATTACCACCGTTCCCTCAACGCTCCACACCCCCCAACTCTCCACTCCCCTCAACCCTTCACACCACACCCCTCAACCCTCCACCCTTCTCAACCCTCCAACCCCCTCAATTCTCTCTTTATCTCTCTCCCCCATCTCTTCCACCCCCCCCCCCCCCCCCCGCCCCCACATCTCCCCCCTCCTCTCACCCAACCCCAAACCTACCAATCCCCTCCCGCATACATGCACTTTTCCCTGCCTTCCGTCCCCTCCTCCATACTCCAAAGCTAACCCTCCTTTCTATTCTTGCTTTATCGTCTCCTTCCTTCTTTGTCCAGATCCCTCCCTAGCAAACCACGCCCCGGCCCCACTCTCTCTCACCCATACCCCGTTCTCTCTGCACTTGTGTGTCTTTTTCACTCCAGCTAAACCGCGCCCCCTCCCCATCTCCACCTCCCTATCCCCGCCTCCTCCCTATCTCCACCTCCCCATAAAACTCCTGCCTCCTCCCACTTCCCGCCCTCTCCCAACACCCACTGGCAGCCATGATCATGGGCGGAGCAATCGCCAGTGCGTGCTTCAACCTGCCCTTGCAGCATCCCTTCCATCCCCACCTCCCCCTCATTGACTTCCGTAAGTGCGCTCCTCTCCTCTCTCCTCTGCGTTATCTCCTCCCACTCCGCTCTCTCTCTCACCGCCCCTCTCACTCCCACTCCCACTCCCACTCCCAACCCACCCCCACTCCCACTCCCACTCACACTCCCCTTCTCTCCCGTTCTCCCCTACAGATGCACGCACACCCTCACCCACTCCCTCACCCACTCCCTCACCCACTCCCTCAACCACTCCCTCGCTCCCCTCTCTCTCTTGCCCACTCTCCCGCCCCCTAGTTCTCGTCTCCTCCTCCCATACGCGCTCTCCTCCCCGCGTTCCATCTTCCATCCTCCCTCCACCCTCCTTTCCTCTCCTCCCATACACCCGTCACCACCAGGGGTAGCGCGACTAATGCAGCCCATGTTGTTGCTGGGCATCAGCATTGGCATCACATGCAACGTTGTCTTCCCGCCATGGCTCCTCACCGCGTTCCTCACGCTCCTCCTCTCGTGTACGTCCACTGCTGCTGCACGGCCCCCCCTCCCTCCCTGTGTTGAGACGTCTCAAAACTTTTGAGACGTCTCAAAAGTCCTCCTCTCGTGTACGTCCACTGCTGAAGAAACGGCGCCCCCTCCCTCCCTGTTTTAAAAGTCCTCTCGTGCACCTCCCCTCCACCGCTCACTCCACGGCACGGCACAGCACGGCATGGCACCCCCTCCCTTCTCTGTTTTGTTACGCCGACCCTCCTGTTACTGTTCCCGACACAGCAGCTTCACGCACCTCCAAACATATTGAGGCCACTTTTGAGATTTCTCACAAGTAGCACCCACTGCGGGAACCTGCAGGCCATGCACTTGAAACATACACATCGCACCACAGACACTGTTGTAAAGACAAGTCACAACTCTGTTTCCCCCTCCCGTGTGGCACACAGGCATGGCAGGGAAGGCGGCACAGAGGGCGGTGGCAATGATGGTCACAGAGGCGCACATGGCAGCAGTGTGCCTGCACGGCTCATACGGCACGCACCACACCACACCCCTCTCTCTCACCATTCCCTGGCTGGTGCGCTCTGCCTGTAGGTTCTGCTATGTACGGCGGTGCTCTGCTCTGCTCTGCTGTGCATGCATGCATGCATGTGCTGAGATAGATCTGGGGGCCACTGAACCGCAAGCCTGCCTGCCTGCCTGCCTTCTTACCTGCCTGCCTGCCTGCTTGCCTGCCTGCCTGCCACCTCGTATGATGACTCGTTTCCTGTTGGTTTTTATGGCTCAACATTCTGTCATGCCATTGCTGCTGTTCCCGCATGCAGCTGGAGGCCCCATCCTCTATGGCCCATCCTAGCCTGTCAGCAGCATCGTCAGGTGCACTCATGGCAACTCACGCGCTTCACCAACAACCACTGCCCAGTCCTGCCAAAGGTGACTCTTGTTATTCAGCCACCTGACCCGTTTCCATGGCCGTGCTGTGAACGCATATCTCATTTCTTGAGATTTCCCTGAAGTTTCTCCTCTCTTTCTGTGTAAGAATGCCAGCATAGCACACCATGCGCGTCCGTTGTATAAAGCCCCAGATGCAACAACACCACACCACACCGCGCTCAGCTCACACCGTGCTCAGCTCATTGCCATCGACACCCACTCCTCCTCACCACCCATCTCAACAATCGCTTAAAATAGACTCTACCTCTCCTGATTCATCTTGTTCTCTCTCTTTTCTCTCTCTTCCTCTCCCCTCCTTTCCTCCCTCCTCTTCATTCCAACGGTCCTGTTCTCTCAGCCACACAGTCGTTCTGGTGGCCTGCGCTGGTACGAGCAGCGTGCGCATCTCAGCACCTGGGAGTCAGTGCCAAGGCTCGGGAGGAGAAGGAGCAGGAGAACGAGCCTCTTCTCTCAGCATCACCAGCTCTCGAAGCAGTGGCACCAGTGCCACCTGTCTCACCAGTATCACCAGCGCCACCAGTGTCAGCAGCAGCACTGCAAGAACCATCAGAGCGAGGGCCAGCAGCAGCAGCACCAGCGGCAGCACCTGCAATACAAGCACCGGGAGCAACATTGAACACAGCAGATGCAAGCCAGCAGCATGCCGGATCAGCAATCACAGCCGATGGCACTGATGGCACCGATGGCTTTGGAGGGAGCGGCGTCGGCGGCAGTGGTGGCAGCAGGGGGTGGTGGAAGCAGAAGCGTGCATCAGGAGGGTGTGCTGTGCCACTGGAGTCGCCTGTCAGCGATGCCTGCTGCCCTGGGGTAGAGCAACAGCCTGGTGGTTGCTGTGTGCATGCAGGCACATGCTGCCGCCGTGCTGCGTGTGAGGAGGGATACGCAGGGAGTGCTGATTACGGAGGTGGGGAGTCCGAAACGGGCAAGGGCAAGCGCCACCGCACATGGTCTGCAGGGGTGAGTTTCGGGACGTCTCAGAAGTCTGTCTCTTTACACGCTGATTTTTGAGACATCTCAAAGTTTGTCTCTTTCCACCTCATATGGACTGCTAAGGGGAGTTCTCATGGGTGTCTTTTGTAAGGTCTCGAGCTGTTCTGGCGGCGACTTTTCACTGCGCTTGATTGCTGCGCCTCGTATTTTGGTTCATCCGTCACATGCTCAACACCAAATCTGTCCCACTTTTTGTTCCAACGTCTCGTTTCTACTCCCTGTTGCTTGATTGTTTCCTTCACTCTTTCTCCCTCTAAACCCACCCAAACCCGGTCTTCCTGCCCCCTCCCTCCTGGCAGCATGTCTTGAAACCCTTTGTTTTCCGCTTTGCCTGCGGCGCTACCTCACGCCTGTCGGCCTGTGACGTGGAGTGTGTGGGGGAGATGGCAGCGGTGTGGGCTGCCTTTGTGGCGTTGCAAGTGGCCAAGACTCGCGTCGCTGCATGCTCTGCTGTGTACTGGCTGTTAGACTTGCTCCAGGTGTGTGCGTGTGGGTGTCTGTGCTTGTGCGTGCGTGCGTGTGTTCATGTGCGTGCATGTGCATCTCTGTGCATTGCATCGCTCTCTTGATTAAACGCACAAAGCGCGTTCAGTGTCACCCTAAATGGGCACTGGGCTGAGGTCATGCGTGAATCGTGCTGATTAACTCTGTATGGGATGACAAATCAGGTGAAGCTTTGGACAAGCTTGAAGTTTCAATTCCTCTGCAGGTCCTTTGACTGCTAAGTTGATGGTACTTTTGAGAATTCTCAAATCAGGTGAAGCTTTGGACAAGCTCCAAGTTTCTCTCTCTTAGCTGCTCCTTTGACTGCTAATTTTCCCATTCCTCCCTTCCTCCCTCCTCATGAATTCCACAGCTTCCAGTCACCGTGGTAGCCACAGCAGCAGTTGCTGCACGGAGAGACTTCGCCCCTTCCCTTCCTCACTCCCACTCCCACTCCCACTCCCACTCCCACTCCCACTCCCACTCCCACTCCCACTCCCACTCCCACTCCCACTCCCACTCCCACTCCCACTGCCACTGCCACCAGCACCATAGCACCCCTCCTTTACACACACCCTATGCCCATGATCACCACCAACGCACTCCCACCTCCTGCTCTCCTTGCCAACCTTCCACAAACACACCCGCTCCCTCTTCCGCCTCCTCCCCTGCCTCCTCCCCCGTCTCCCCACTCCTCGCATCCCTCTCAACCCCTGGATACTCCACCTTCCATTCCCCACCGGCATATCCTCCTCCTCACATGCAAGCCGCCTGGAGCCATGACAGCAGCAGCATCACCCACACCGCTTACACCCACACTCGCAGCAACAGCAGCGGCAGCAGCAGCATGTGGGGGGTTGGGGGCGGAGCGTGGGAGAGGGAGGTATGGGTGTATCCGCTGTCAGCTCTTCTTGCTGGGTGCATGGGGGGCCTGCTGGGAGTGGGTGGAGGCATGGTCATGGGACCAGTGCTGCTGGAACTAGGCATGCTGCCGCAGGTGGGTTGCTCGCTACTCGACATCATGCCTTCATGCCATGCCATGCCACCGTCTTCACAAATCATGTTATCACAAGGATTAATTGTCTCCCCACCCACCCACCCTTACTCCCCCGTGTCCCTGCCCCTCACCTCTTCCTCTCTTCGCCTCTCCCTTTCCCCCCCCATCATCCCTCCCACCAGGTATCCTCTGCCACATCATCATTCATAGTGCTCTTCTCCTCCTCCCTCTCAGTTCTCGAGTTCTACCTGCTCGGCCGAATCCCCATCCCACCAGCCCTGCTCTTTGCCCTCGTAGCAGCGTTAGCAGCCCTGCTAGGCCTGTCCACCATCAGAGCGCTAGTGGTGCGCTCAGGCCGCACGTCTCTCATCGTGCTCTTCCTCTCGGTAGTGATAGCCGCCAGTGCTGTGCTGCTAGGGGCGCTGGGGGTTATGAGAGTACGCAGTGACTGGGAGTCGGGTGCGCCCATGGGCTTCAGAGCGTTCTGTGGTGAAACATGGTGAATGAGAAAGTTAGGTTACCGTACCAGCACTGCTACTGCTCGTGGGCATGTTAGGTGTAGGTGGTTGAATCTGCTTGATTCGAGCTGTGTTGTGCAGCGCACATCAGCTGTGCTCGTTGTCAGCTGCTCATGCGCATCCACTTGCACTGCTGTGATGTGAATGCTGCCTTGCGCCTTCTGAACGGATGCACTGCAAGGTGTACCGTATTGTTCAAATTCACATACGATAAGTTACTTCATGCTGCCATGCTGCCATACTTCATCGCATCGCACCACCTCCAGCCTGCCTTCAAGCCCGTGGCGTGGATATTGTACAAGTGTAGCACCAATGGTCAAAATTGCGCAATGAAGGTGTACATATACAAGCTATTGTTAGCTAGCTATATGCTGGGCTCCATCAAGGAGAAGTGGAGCTTGCACACTTAGAACGCAAAACCAGGACCTACCGTAGGTGTATATCGTAAAGCAAATCATCCTACGATACTGCTACTGTGCCTACCTTATTTCCACCTACCACAATGGGATGAACCCTATCCAATCCAATGTCAACGACGTAAACCTGTTACACCGGTACCCTACTGCCGGACTGCACTGCTCCGTACTGCACAGTACCCCCCCGCATGCCTCAACTCACCAGTACCGTACCACCCCTCATCACGGGTTGTACGGAATCTTGGTGTCCCTAACCCACGTCCCCAGCTGCAGCAGTTTGCTCGGCATGAACCCCTGTGCCTGGTTCGCAGTCACCTTGCCTGGTCTCGCCCACGCCACTCTCCGCCCCTTGGCCCCTGGACCTGTCGTGTCATACTCCGCGAAGTAGGGCCTGCCGCCCCAGATGGTCTTGGTGGTGGCGTCTGACCACTCCAACCAGCCTGCTGGGACCACCACCTAAGGGTGGAGGGGAGAGAGGTAGTAGAGGGGAGGTAAGGAGGGGAGGAAGGGAGGATGGGAGGGGCGGAGGGGCGGAGGGGCGGAGGGGAGGAGGGGAGGGAGGGTGAGTGCGAGGGGAGGGAGGGAAGAAAGGTGGCGGGGAGGGAGACAGGAAGGTCTCTTCAGGTGGTGGCACAGAGGCGGAGTATAGATGGGGAAGAGGGAGGGGGAGGGAAGGGGAAGGGAAGGGGAAGGTAAGAACCACGCAAGCTCACCTGCGAGAGATACGTTTGGAGGAAGATGGTTCTGGAGTAGGGCCACCAGGGGCGCGCCAGGTACGCGTACTGCCCCGCACTCTCCCCCACCACCTTCCCGCGCAGGAACACAAACGCCGAGGGGTCTTTGAGCGTGACGCGCCCCTGCGCTGCGACCGTGCTGGAGTAGCCCGGGGGGCTGCGGCGCACAATGAACGTGCAGTCCTCGAAGACGGCTGCTGCCACGCCGAAGACAAAGTCAATCGTGCCGCGCACTGTGCAGTTGCGGAAGTATTGGCGGCCCACATCGGGCGCTAGCGTGTCCTGGAGAGAGGGGATGAGGGGGAGAGGCAGGTGGAGTGAGGGTGGGGGGAGGGGGGGGGGGGGGGGAGATGTCTGAGAAGCCGCGCGCACTGTGCAGTTGCGGAAGTATTGGCGGCCCACGTCGGGCGCTAGCATGTCCTGGGGAGAGGGGGAGAGGGCGAGCGTGGCGGGTGGGGGAGTGTGTCGGGAGAGGAGGGAGAAAGGAGGAAAACGAGGGAGTGAGAGAAGGATGACAGAGAGAACGACTCTGCACCGAGACCCATCTTATACCACCCAACCCAACCGCAGCGCGGTTCAGCTCAGCGCGCACCTGGTGGCCGAGGAACACGCAGTCGTAGAAAGCCGACTTGTCCCCCTCCGTGCGCAGCGCGATGGCCTGTCCGCCGGCGGACCCCGCATTGTTCACCACCGTGATGCCCATGGCAGTAAACCCGTCCGCGTTCACGCCCACGCTCGCCGAGTCGAACGCGGTATACCCCTTGCCCACGCTCGCGCCGTAGGTGATAATCGTGTCGCGCGCGCCGTCGCCCAGGAAAATCACGTCGTTCTTGTTCAGCAGGACCTTTTCCGCGTACGTTCCTTTCATGATGTACACCACGAAGCGCGCCGGCGGCGCCTTGTACGCCGCGATGAGCTTCGTCGCAGCTTCCTGCACCGTTCTGCAGTGCCCGGGTTTCCCGGTCTTGGACACGATAAAATCCGGCTTTAATCTCGGCAGCTTCGCGCCCACGGCTGCGAGCCGCCTTCCGCGGTTCGCCTCCCAGTGAGCCGTTAGGTTTCCCGCCAAGAGCTCCTCCGCGCGCGCGTAGTGGGTGCGCATGAAGCGCTGCAGCTCGCGCAGCTCCCCGTACTCCGAACCGCGCACCCATGCCGGCCGCGCCGCCGATTTTGCCGCGGCCGATGACGTCAGCCTGCGGGACTGGCGGCTTGAGAGCCAAGAGGAGGAGGAAGAGGAGGAGGAGGAAGAGAGGGAGGATAGGTGTGACGTATGGCGCGATACAGTTCCCGCGCTTCTCGCGCCTCCTGTGCCTTCCGCGCTTGGCGCTGGGATAGTTTCCGCCGCCCTTCAACCTGCAGTCCCTTGCGCCGCGCGTGCATGGGGTTCCCTGGCCGCTCCGCGCCGTCCGCGTCCTCATCTCTCAGCGACGTGACTATAGCGAGCGCGTTGGAGATGTAGCGAAGGGTGGGGCCCGCTTTGAGTTTCGACGGGCTTTCCACCTCACCTCCAGACCCGCCGCCTCCGCCTCCGTTCCCGCCCTCTTCCGCTTCGCCCTCTCCGTCCTCAGCAGAATCCCGCGCGCCATCCCGCGCGCCAAGCGCTATAGCCTTCAACGCCACCTCCTTACCGTGAGCCAGCGCCCCTTCCGCTGCGCCCCCTTCCGGTCCTGTTCCGCCTTCCGCCGTGCGCACGTGGCCGATGACGGGCGTGTCAAGCTCCACCAGAGGCTGATTGCTGCCGCCGCCGCCGCCGCCGCTGCCGCCGCCGCCGATGCCGCACGCTCGACACCAGGCCGTTCCACACGGCCGCGGCGCTATTCGGGCCCTTGTTTGCGCCGTTCTTTGCGCCGTTGTTTGCGCCGCTCTTTGCGCCGTTCTTTCCGCCCTGTTTTGCGCCGGTCTTAACGCCCTGTGTTGCGCCGCTTTTAGCGCCCGCCTTTTTCTTCTCTCCAACACTGGCTGGGCCTATGTCGTTGTTCTTCCTCTTGCTGCCGCCGCTCCAGCCGTTGCTGCCGATAATCTGCGTGGTTGCCAAGCTACCACTGGTTGTATCGCCTGCCGGTCGTTCGCCCCCTCGTCCGCCGTCCCGATTGCGCGCGTTCCGCATGACCTCCTCGCGCGTCTTGAAGCGCGCCACGTGCATCCCCCCTGTGCTATCCCAGGAGCTTGCATCAGCTACCTCCGCGGAACTTGCGGGTTTTCCCCCGACCGCCTCCCCCTCCCCCTGCCCGCGCGCCTCCGCAGTTCCACCATCCGCAGAGTTTTCGGAGTCGTCGTCGTCGTCAGCGGCGGCCACGGCCGCGTCGGCGTCGGCGTCTTCGGCCGCGGCGCCAGCAGCGGCCATGTTGGTGGAGCAGTGCGAGGTGAGCGTGAGCGCCGCGCCGATCCAATACGTCTGACCCTCGGGCTCCGCGCCGTTCTTGAGAGACGTCGAAGCGCGACGGAGATACGCCGCGGCCCGATCGAGCTGCCCGATGAACGGAGGGGCGACGGGGGAAATTAGGGAGGGAGGGGAGGAAGGGCTGAGGGGAAAGCGGGGCGAGGGCTGAGTGTTGAGGAGCGGAGGGCTGAGTATCAGGAGAATGAGTAACTAGATAAGTTTCCCGAATTGAAGGGTGACATAACGGAAAGTGTATCGTGTCCGTTAACCAGCGGATAGCTGTGCGATCGACGGGTGCGCGACCGGCATGTGAATTATACCCGATAACACGCGAACAACAAGATGTTTTCATATAAACGAAGCCGACATTGCATCGGGGACAACATGCTTGCCGGGATCGCGCATCGGGTACATGTCGTCGCAGGTCACTGCGGTTCGGCCACTGCAGTTCGGCCACTGCAGTTCGGCCACAGCAGTGCGCACTGCGCACCACGACACCGCGACGCACCTGTTCCAGGCAGTCTCTGGCGACGCGGCTCTCCCTCGCGCTGCGCGGGTCGTCGCCGCTGCTCCGCGACAGCAGCTCCGCGCGACCGCGCAGCAAGCTCACTTCCTCGAGCGCCGTGTCCACCGTCATCGACGTCAGCAGGTCCTGCGAATGCGACGAGCGCTGCGACGACGGTCGGCGAGAGCTCGACTGTTCCGCCAGATCCCGGCGGCGACCTGCAGGGGCGGAAGATGCGCGGTGATGGCGGCAGATGGCGGAGAGGCAGAGCGCGGGGTCGTCGGCGCGCTGGCACAGGGCGGAGGCGCCGGGGAGGCAGTCATCGACGGCGGCGGCGGCGGCGGAGACAAGAAATGGGGAAGAGGCGGGTGAGGGCAGGGTCATTGGCGCGAGTGAGAGTGAGGAGACGAGGAGGAGGAGGAGGAGGAGGAAGGGGTGGTGGGGAAGGGCGGGAAGCATGTAACGGGCCATGGAGGAGGGACAGCGGTAAGGCCTGTCGTGACCGGAGGAGGCTAGACTTGAAAGCTGCTATGATGGTTCCGAGGTACCCTTTTGAGAGAATCAACTCGAATTCTCTCACGAGTGGGTTGGGTTCCCTTTGGGTGGTGATAGCACCCACTGGGAACAGGTTCGAGCGTCCTCGGGATTGTGGAATACGGATGAACCGAATGCGTATGATGGTGAGGGCGGGGGAGGCTGAGAGAAAGAGAGAGAGAGAGGGAGGGAGCGAGAGCTAGGGAGATAGAATGGGTCACTTTTGCTCAATTGAAAGTGCGCGAGGCGAGCGGTGAGAAGCGTGGGTGCTGCTGCGAAGGCGCTAGATGTGCGGGAGCACGGGGATGGTGGAGCTGGAGCTAAGAGTCGCACAGCTCGTCGCCGCCCGCTCAGCGACACTACATGCGACGCCGCCGCCGCGACGACGAGGCCAGCACAGCCCTGAGTTATACTAACTATCCGCGAACTAGGAGTACACTCGCGAGTGGTATTCCAACTAGCTACGCGGACTGTAAGCGATAGCCACGAGTTGGTCGGTTTCAGAGTTAAGATCTCAGGGTGCTTCCCGCATGCTAAGACACCTCATTGTCTTGCAAACAGCAAAAAGCAGATCCGCCGTCAAACAAGAGCCCAACTCTCGCAAACTGCTAACTTAAAGTCCTAGCCTCGTTCGCTATCAGCACAAGATGCTTCCATGCGAGCATGTCGCGCCTCTAACGGTTGGGAGACAGGTGGCCAGACGAGGGAAAGAGCGAGAGTGGTGAAGCACTGGCGGGTAGAGTGGTGGGCGGTGAAAGGGAACGGCGAGGAGCCGGAGTAGAGGAGCCGAGTCAACGGATCTAACGGCGAGCTGGTGTGGGTGAGGGGTGATTACTAAAGTAGATGCTAGTCGCCGTCCGCCGTTCACGTGGAGCAACCGACGTGTTTTCCGGGACGTGGCGGTTGGCGTCGAGTGAAGGGGGTCGAATTTGATGTTGGTTTCCTTCCTCTTCTTTTCATTGCGCGCCTAATGTGACGGCGCCAAGTCGACTACGGCTACGATGGGCGTGCTTCTTGGCGGCGGCCTGCTACCGTTGGACTTTCAACAATGGTGGTATGGATGGATGGGTGGTAATGGTGTTGTGTGTTGCGAACGAAGGACATCAAGGGAAGGTAGCGAGAGGATGGATGGGATGCGGAAGGGTATGTAATGTCTATGTCGTTTGTACAGTCTAGACCGTAGGGGTGTGCGAGGTGAGCCAGTGCAACCCATGCGAGACGCTGCCCCATTCAAGGGGGCATCCCTTATTCCGCACTGCCTTGCAGACCGATGTGGCGAAGGCTGGACAATTACATGGAAACACAATCTTGGCCGTAGATTTGCCTCAGAACCACGGCGCGTATTGACGACTTTTCTGACGCGGTTCCAGTTTCCCGCCTTACTCTCCAATCATCAACGCGGTTCGATCATGAACTTCGAGACCCTTTTCGCCAATTTCGCTCCCAGGTGATCTTGTGGCTGTTTGAACGGCCGCACGTTCTAGACTAACAATGGAACAGCAATGACGTTACAATGTTATATCAGGTACACTTAGCATACCGCTACGTGTGACGACGTATTGCCAGTAAAATGGAGCCTTAACATTTAAACTAGTGTAAAATTTTTGCTGGGCGAGTGGAAGTACCAGAAAAAACGAGAATAAAAACGCTGAATTCATTTGCCTATTTTCGCAATATGTTGTTCATGCAGTTAATAGGTGGGTGCACTGCGCATTCGTTTTAGGCTGCTCCCATGCCATGAAAAACGCATAGTAAGATCTGCGTATTTTCTCGCATAATAGAATCAAAGAATGCACGTAATATCAGACGATTAACGGATGAGTCAACAGAGGGTCTCATCCCCGGTAACAACCACCTCCATCCACCACTGGTCATCCCCTCCCACCACAGCCACCACCAACTCGCCCTGCAACTCCCCCCCGCCACCCCACTGCATTCCCTGCAACCTCCTCCACCATAACACCCTGCACAACTCATTTCACGCCGTTTCCCGACAGGTGCATTCCGCGCAGTTAGCACCGCACGACGCCGCACCGCTCCGTGTTCCGTGATTGCCGCGTCGTTGGCCTGATTTGTCTGCTCGCTTCGCATCGTGCAGCTGCGGTCTTAGTGCTCCCGTCGCGTTTTTCTCTCTCTCGATGATCCTGTCCGTCTACCGCTCTCCACTGAACTAATTCCTTTCGCCTTGCTGCCACTACAAGCTCGTTCATTTATGGCTTCGTTACTTCGCTAATGGGCTCCCGCTCCTTTCGCCTCGGTGTTTGACGCGTCGCGATAGCAGTCTGTCGGGCGCCTGTTTAAACCTTTCTACCGCGTTCCCTGCCCCGCCTCTCGCCTCGCTGTTCCGCCCATTCGGTATTCTGTTTCTCCGCTCCCCTCAATGCGCGGAAAGTTCTCCGCGCAGACGCGGGTTTGGCACGCAGCGACCGAGGTGCAGGAGGACGCGGGGCAGCAGGCAGGTGGGGGGAGCGAGGTGCGCGGTCGCCCGCTCCCCTCCGTCGGCGCAGCTTCCCCTGTACGGGGACCCGTGCGAAGGGCGGAGCTGCCTATTGCGGGGAGCCTCGTTTTGGGGGGAGGCCAGGCGCATGGGCACGGGCTGGTCGGGGGAGGCTGGGGGGGAGCATGGGGGATCGGCGGAGCGTGGGGAGGGGGGATCGGCGGAAGCGGAGGCGTCGGGGGGAGCCTAATGGCGTGGGTTTCCGCGGGGGTGGCTTGGGCGCAACGGCACGTGCTTTTCTTAGCAGCCTTGATCCTGTTTTTGTACTCGTTAGTAGCTGTCTTTCACGCGTCTAACAGTCCCTCGGATCCGCGGATAGGGGGAGATGGGTCCGCGGCAAGGCTCGCGGCTCTCCGCTCCCCTTGTGGTCCTTCCTCCGCGCAAGGCGCACAGCGCAGCGGTGCTTTATCCTCGTTACAAGGCGCTGGCGCGTTCGGGCTGGGGCTGGGTCAACGGCAGGGGATTCCTTCGCGCGTTACTGTGCCGCCCCCCCACCCGCTGTCCCGCTCCGTCGCGCGCGTGCTTCTTAAAGCCACCGCCGTGCTCTCCCTCTCCCAGAGCGTTCCGCGCGCCGTGCGGGTGGCGGGGCCTGGAGGGGGGGAAGACAACGGGGGAAGTAGAGGAAGAGGCCGGGGAGGCGGAGGAGGCGGAGGCGGAGGCGGACGGGGGGAGATGGGGGGAGGAGAGGGAGACTGGCTAGACGATACAGAGTCAGGTACACGCGGCCCGCAATCCCAATCGCAGCTTCACGCGGAAGACTCCCAATCCCAATCGGACGACTCCCCCGAATCGCCGTCCGCGCGCCTCTCTCTGACCATCTTCTGCGCGCCCAAGCCGTATCTCACCGCCTCCCCCGCCTCCGACCCGCAGCGGCGCGCGCTGCTCTCGTGGCTGCGCCTCTCGCTGCGCCCCACCGTGGTGCTGCTAGGAAACGACTCGTCGTTCCACGCACTCGCTAAAGAGTTCCCCGGGAGAGTGGTTGTAGACGCGCGCGTTGACACAAATTTCTATGGCGTTCCGCTGGTGCATTCCATGCTTGCGCGCGCGCGCGCCGCGCCCACCATGGTGTCGCTGCTCATTAACGGGGATATACTGTTGCTGGAGGACGTTGTGCCGGCGCTTAGCAAAGTGCAGAGGACGTTTAAGAGCTGGGTGCTTACTGCCGCTCGGTGGGACGTGAGCGCGGATTTCCCCTTTGCACTAGAAGCACGGGACGGGGGAGGAGTGGAGGGTGGCGGAGCGGGAGGAGGGGAAGAGGGGGAAGAGGGGGGTGGGGGCGAAGGGGAAGGTATAAGGCAAGCGGCGGAAGGGGAGTGGCTGGTGATAGGGGAAGGAAATGGGGCTAGCACCGACAGCAGCAGCAGCAGCGGTGGTAAGAGGCGGAGTTACCTGGTGGGGAGCAGTGTGGTGGAGGCAGAGGTGAGGCGGTATGTGCGGCGGCAGGGCAGCCTGCACACGTATGGAGGCGTGGACTTCTGGGCTTGGAACAACTACGTGCATGGCACTCGTGCTCGCAGCAGTAGCAGCAGCAGCAGCAGTGGGAGCAGAAGAGGCCTGAGTGAGGGGGGTAGTGACGGCGACTGGGAAGGAGGAGGTGGGAACAGGGCGGGCGGTGAGAGTGGTGGCAGCGGCGGCGACGGTGGTGAGGGTGGAGAGGGTGGAGAGGGCGGTGAGGAGGGCGGGGAGGGGAAGGACAACACGCCGCTGTTTGCAGGGGAGATGCCACCGTTTGCATTCGGCCGTGGCAAGTACGACAACTGGCTGACCCATGAGATCGTTGCAGCGGGGCTCAGGCAGATGGTGGACGCCAGCGATGCAGTCACGTCCGTCCACGTGGCGCATTCTTATTCGCATGTGGTGTCGGGGGACGTGGCGGCGGCCAAGGCGGGGTTGAGTTTCTGGAGCACGCGCAAGCAGTCGAGCTGGGAGCTGTATGCGAACATTCACATGTCGCAGACGCACGGGACGTACCGCAATCAGAAGGGCACTGCGCTGCATATTCCCTGGCGCCTGCTCTCCTGCTTCGATGCTGCTGGTATGGGTGTGGGAAGGCGTGTGATCGGGTGGGTGGGTGGGTGGGTGGGAGGGAAGAATCGGGATGTTAGGTGCAAGGAACGAATGGGAGCGAGGGATTTGGAGAGTGTGAGAGACAGTTGGGAAGATCTGATGGGGTAGGATAGGACAGAAAGAAAAGCATTCTTCCCTATCCCCTACTCCGTCTCTCCTCCCTTACCCTCATCCCTCACCGCCATCCCCCACCATTCCTCTCCCTCTCCCCAAACCCCTGCTCCCCGCCCACCTCTCCCCCCTCCGCCCCCACCCCCCAGCATCCAACATGTGCTTACAGCGGCGGGTGCGGCCAGCCAACTGCACGTGCGAGTACTCCTCCTTCGTGCCAGCCTCCCAGTCGGACCCGCGGTGGGAGAAGGGCAGCACGGTGTGCGGCACGCTCTCCATCGACCACGATAGGGACTTCACCATCAACCCGCTGCCCACGCCGCGCTCGCCCCCGGGCCTCCCGCACACGCTCGAGCAGCTGCTGCCGCAGCTCGCCAGAAACATCACCGCTGCTGCTGCTGCCGGCGGTGGCGGTAGCAGCAGCGGTCGTGGCGGCAGGGTGAGTGGAGAAAGGGAGAACGAGCAGGAGGAGCAGCAGCAGGAGCAGCAGCAGCAGGAACAGCTGAGAGTGGTGACGCTGGTAGCAGTCACCTTCACCTACGCCGACATGCTCATGAGCTTTGTCTGTCGCCTGCGTTCCCTGGGCCTGGCCGACAACCTCCTAGTCGCAGCGCTCGACACCGAAATGTACCGCTTTGCATTCCTCCAAGGCCTCGCAGTATACCTCGAGCCAGGCGCCTCCGCCTCCCTCGGCAAACATGCCTCTCTCGGCACGGACGCCGCCTCTCCCTTCCGCGACTGCCCGTTTGGTAGTCCCTGCTTCCAGGCGTTTACCAAGCTCAAGTCCCATGCAGTCCTGCGGGTGCTGAGAGCGGGCTACTCTGTGCTTCTGTCTGATGTGGATGTGGTTTGGTTTAAGGACCCGTTGCCGTACCTGCTGGCGTTTGGTCCGGGAACGCTGCCGATCCAGAGCAACGAGCCGAACGCGAGCCTGCCAGGGACAGGCATTCGGAGGATCAACTCGGGGTTTTACTTTGCGAGGGCGGAAAAGATGGTTGTAGAGGCGTTTGAGGCGATTGTGAGGCACGCGGGGAAGACGAAGCTGTCGGAACAACCGAGTTTTTATGACGTGCTGTGTGGGGCGCAAGGGGAGCTGGTGGTGCGGGAACTGAAGCAGAAGCAGCCGCAGCAGCAGCAGCAGCAGCAGCAGTGGTGGCTTGGCAGCAGTGGGAGCGGCGCCAGCAAGGAGCAATCGGGGGGGTTGGAAGGAGCGAATGCGGGGGATGAAGAGTCGTGCATCTGGAAGAATGGCCTGCGCACGATTCTCCTGAACCGGTCCCTGTTCCCCAATGGGGCGGTTCATAAGTTGTGGGAGCGGAAGAGTGTGGGGAGGGCGTGTCGGGCCAAGGGGTGTGTGGCGCTGCATAATAACTGGATCACGGGGCATGCGGAGAAGAGAGAGAGGATGAAGCGGCATGGGTTCTGGCACTATGATGTGGCACGGAGGATGTGTGTGTGGCGGTGGCATGAGGAGTATGGAGGCGAGAGGGAGGATGCTGATGCTGATGCGCGTGCTGCTGCTGGCCATGCAGATTCAAGGTGATACATGCATAGAGTCAAGTCAATCGATGCTCAAAATCCTCCTCATTCTTACCGTAGGCCGGTCTCAGGAAGGTTCTTGGTTGCTTTGCATGCGCACAAGCAATCTGGTCGCGTTTTGTCTCACTGCATTGTACCATTCTATCAAAGCATCGGCTGTACTTTTTGAGATTGTCTTAGAGTGATGATGTCTGGAACGTTGATTTACCTCCTCTGGAAGGAAACGCACATTTCTAGAAGTGTTCACATGTACAGTAGTACTTTCCATAAAAGGGACGAGGAGCAGAATGACCAGTGAACTGAACATACAAACCATGCCAGTATGCACAGGGTAGGGCATCCATAGCATTGCCATCCACTCTTGAGAGAACTCATTCTTTGACTTACCGAAACATACGGCACGCTACACATGTACGACATACGGTACCGGTATATCAAAAGGCAGAATACCCATACATTGTTTCACTACACTGTACTGTACATATGATATTTTATACTACTAGCGTACCAGTATCTACCCGCTCATAAGTCAACGCACTGCACTGCGGTAGCCAGCGTTCTTGAGAGCAGCGAGGAGGTCACGCGGCACGATGGGTTTGGCGACGATGCCATCCATGCCGGCCTCAGCACACGCCCGCCGCACATGGCCATCCACATCCGCTGTCAGCGCCACCACGCAGCACCACCACCGCCGCTCCCCCTGCTGCCTCCCCCACCCGCACTCGCAACCCCACCAGCAGGGGTGTCACTCGCAGGAACGTCCGCCTCCATGGCTCGGATGCGCCGCGCCGTCTCGTAGCTGCTTGGGGGTGGGCCGACACGGGGCAGGGGACATGGATGGGAGAACCAAGGTGCAGCGGTGGTGAGAATCCCAGTTCAGCAACAGAAGAGTGGAAGAAGATAAAGCAGCTAAGGGCCACAAGCAGCAGAGTAGTGCATTAGGCGCATATTCCAACTTAGGTACGAAGCAGCCCATGTCTACGACACGCACCCGTCCATGTCGGGCATTTGAAGGTCCAGCAGCACAAGCGGCTCAGTGACGCGCTCTGCCCCTTGCCCCTCCGCCTGCTGGTGCTGCTGCTGCTGCTGCTGCCCCGGCCCCTCCTTCCCGCCGCGAGTGGCAGCAGTCATTTGTGAGTGCAGCCATTCTAGTGCCTGTGAGCCGCCTGCTGCGACGTGCACGAGTGCTCCGAGTGCTAGCAGCGTTCTTCTGGCCACGGCGCGGTTGACTGCATTGTCATCCACCACCACCACCGCCTGCTGCCCCACCAGCGCCCTCAGCGCCTCCTCTGGCGCCACGCGCGGCAGCAGCGCCAAGGGACTGAGCACCGCAACGGCAGGCGGGTCGTCGGAGGGATGGAGCAGCGCGGTGCTGCTGGACTGAGGCAGGCAGAGGCAGAGGCAGAGGCAGAGGCAGAGGCAGAGGCAGAGGCAGAGGCAGAGGCAGAGGCAGAGGCAGAGGCAGAGGCAGAGGCAGAGGCAGCTGCTGCAGACAGCACAGCTGTGGCGCTGGGGAGTGGGGATCTGGGGGAGCGACTGGCGGGTGGTTGGGTGGGAGCAGTGGGGGAGGCAGAGGCGGTGGGAGTGGCGGCAGTGGGTGTAGTGGCTGACGACGCAGCGGTGGGTGTGGCTAGAGTGGTGCCATGTGGACTGGCGGGCGGTTTCTCTGCAGCACGAAAGAATAGCTGCCACGGGAGGGAGAAATGGAGGAGCGGAAGGGAGGGGAGGTTGAACTGGTAAAGCGTGCAGCTTGGGGAGGTTGGATAGCAAGAAATACTAATAGAGGACACCATGAAAAAAATCGTATTTCGAGGCGCTTCAAGATTTTTGAACGTGCAGCGTGGGATGAATAACACAAGATCCCAGTGAGAGGCTTAGAGCTTGTGTGTGTGCAGATGGGGCTGCGCGGCACTCACATGCTGAAGGCAGTGTGCGGTATGCGTGACGAGCCATGGATGCGGCAGCACAGCCGCAAACCCCATCCTCCGCGCCTGCTGGCTCTCCACACTGTCCGCCCTCACGCCCGTCAGCACCACCTCTGCCCGCCCTGTCGCTCGCCCTGCCTCACCCCCACTCTGCCTGTCCTGCGAGCTCGTGGCAGCAGCTGAAACTGCATCAGCAGCAGCAGCATCAGCAGCAGCAGCAGCAGCAGCAGCAGCAGCAGCAGCAGCAGCAGCAGCAGCAGCAGCAGCAGCAGCAGCAGCAGCAGCAGCAGCAGCAGCAGCAGCAGCAGCAGCACTAGAAGCCTGGTGCAGAATCTGGGCGCCCACGTGGAGGCCTGAGCGCGGGCCAGAGGCGTCCATGTCAACAAACACCACGTCCCACCTGCCACGGCCACTGCCACCCGCATCGCCACTCCCACCACCACTGCCGCCGGTGCCGCCGCAGCCGCTGCTGGTGGTGGTGGGTTGGTGGTGCATGAGGCGCATGGCGTGTGCAGGCGAGGCTGCCAGAGTGACGTCCATGCCCAGATAGCGCAGACAGGCCTCTGTTGCCTGGTGCCAGCACGCAGAACAGCAGCAGCAGCAGCAACAGCAGCGGCAGCAGCAGCAGCAGAGGCAGCCACGCAGCAGGAGGAGAGGAGCAGAAAGAACTTGTAAGGAGAAGCAAAGCAATCCAGGCACAGGAAGGGGAAGCAAGTGAAGCAGGGGCCAATGGCTGATGGTCTTATGCAGCAGAGCACACACAAAGGCGGATCCTGCACCCTCACCTGTGCTCTGAGCGGCATGGCATCTACAAGCAGCGCTCTCTTGCCCGCCACAAGCGAGCAGATGGCCTTGCGATGACCCACCCACTCCTGCACCTCTGCACTCGCACCCCCGCTTGTCACCGCATCACCACCAGCAGCACCACCAGCAGAACCACTGCCACCAGAAACAATAGCACCAGTTTCTGACAGATGGCAATCTGTCATTGGCAGGCTGACGAGGATGGAGGTGCCCACGTGGCACTGCGTTGCTATTCCCATGGTCCCCCTCATTAGCTTCACCTGCCATGCATGTGCACAAACACACAAAACCACAGCCACATGCACACGCACATGCACACATGCACACACATGATGAGGCACATATGGAGGAACATAAGGAGGCACATGATTTGTTCATTACTTTAAGTCGTGGATAGATGATAGTGGTGCATGGGGTCAGTGGTGGCATGTGAATCATGCACAACGGCATGGCATGGCCGTGTGTGACGAAGAGTGCATGCATGGCTTGCGATGAAATCAGCACATCAAGGGGGGCACGCATGGTGTGTGGACGGATGTGTGGGCGCACTGATGTGTGGGCGCACTGATGTGTGGGCGCACTGATGTGTGGGCGCACTGATGTGTGGGCGCACTGATGTGTGGGCGCACTGATGTGTGGGCGCACTGATGTGTGGGCGCACTGATGTGTGGGCGCACTGATGTGTGGGCGCACTGATGTGTGGGCGCACTGATGTGTGGGCGCACTGATGTGTTGGCGCACTGATGTGTTGGCGCACTGATGTGTGGGCGCACTGATGTGTGGGCGCACTGATGTGTTGGCGCACTGATGTGTGGGCGCACTGATGTGTTGGCGCACTGATGTGTGGGCGCACTGATGTGTTGGCGCACTGATGTGTTGGCGCACTGATGTGTGGGCGCACTGATGTGTTGGCGCACTGACTGACCAGGCCTGTGGAGAGCAGGAAGCGAACGGGATAGGGCTCCCATGCAGAAGCAGAGGAGGGCAGAGGAGGAGGTGGTGCAGCAGAGGCAGGCCAGAAGTCCACGGAGTGATGCAGGAGAGACTCAGACGACGCAAGTGGAGACTGCTGCTGGAAGGAGGTGAGGTGAGCAAGGACAGAAGCACAGATGGTGGAGCGAGTTTGAGACGCCCCAAAACATGCGAGGGAGGCAATGGAGTGAATGCAGATGGAGGCACGGAGCGGAATGGTCGTGGCAGTGATTTGAAATGAGAACTGGAGGCCCTTTGTGAGACGGGGTGACTTTTGAGTCGACTCGGAAGTCGCATTGTGAGATGGGGTGAAGAGCATGGCCTGGAGAGCATGGCAAGGAGAGGGCATCGCATGGGTCGCACCACGCACCATGCTCCCTTTCATGGAGTTCCCTCGCTGCAGCAGCACACCTCCCCTGCCCTGCACTGCTGCCTGCCCCTCCGGGTCCAGCACCCACTGCAGCTCCTCCAGTGGTATACCACCGCCTGTGTCCTCACACACCATCACCACCACCACTCCCCCTCTCCCTGCCCTCCCCGCTCCTCCCTCCTCTTCCCCTTTGCTGTCCACTTCCTCTCCGCATGCCTCCCTTTGATGGCCTTCTCTGCTACCTGCTATTGCTGCTGCATCGGAAACAGGATGAGCAGATGCAGAGGGAGCAGAGGGAGCAGAGGGAGCAGAGGGAGCAGAGGGAGCAGAGGGAGAAGCTACACCCTCATCACCGCCGGTGCTTTGCGACCATGATTCGGACCCCCTCAACCCAATCAGCTGCTTCTTCACACGTCCCCATAACTCTGACCGCCTCCAATCCCACCATGCTGACGGTACTGCTGACCCCTCCTCTCCTCCCCTCTGCTCTGCCCCTCCATTCCGCTCGTTCCCGCACCCCTCCTCAGCATCAGCATCAGCGGCTGTGTCTACTGACGCACACACAACAGCGCCATCGCTGAAGCGACTCACACACCCCTCCAGTTCATGCAGCAGCGCTCGCGCCTGCCCCACCTGGCTCTCCGCCTCCTCCCCGCCTCCCTCTCCCACAGCTTCGCTGTGGTCTACCGCTGCCCCACCCGTCTCCCCATCTCGCCTTCCCCCTGATCCTGCAGCCGCTGCTGCTGCAGCAGCAGCAGGTGAAATGGTGCCACAGCCACTGCTGCCACTGCAATGGCGGCAGGCCTCATCCAGCCACGAAGCAAGCCATGCCCTGCACTGCGCTCCGCCTTCCCCGCCTGCTGGGGCTGATTCCCCCGCAGCAACAGCAGCAGCAGCAGCAGCAGCATGTGATGCCGCAGTCAGATCCAGTGGTGCAGCAGCTGCTACTGCCACAGCAGCAGCATCTGAAGACGTCACGGCATCACCAGTCGCGGGTGCGGAGAGGGGCGAGGCCCCCTGGGCGGCGGTGGTGGTGGTGGTGGTGGTGGGCATGGGGACGCAGCACACCCTGAATACCACGTGGCCTGACACAGTGGTGCGGATGGCATGGCCTGATGGCAGGGATGGGTGGCGCACATCACAGTGCAGGTCAGGGCAGGGCAGGGAGGGGCAGGGCAGGGCAGAGAGGAGATGCGGTTGAAAAGGAGAGAGCTGTAGCACAGAGATAACAACAGCATCAGCCTTATGGCATGGTCTCAAGGCACAGCACAGGGTAGGGCAGGGAGGGACGCAATCGAAAAGACGAGAACTGTGAAACAAGAACGAGCAAAGTGACCACAACAACGTCAGACAAAACAGCAGCAGCAGCAGCATCAGTGGCAGGCGGGCCAGCAGCAGCAGCAGCGACAGGAGCAGCAGCAGCGACAGGAGCAGCAGCAGCGACAGGAGCAGCAGCAGCTGCTGCAACGTGGTAATTAGTCATAGAAACCTGACAGCAATTTCTGGCCACTCACAAGGTAATACCTGCCTAAAGCCAATCACTGATAACCTCCCTGACGACTTGGGCGGAAAAGCACTAGGTGATATCCTAGCTGCCTAACAGCTCAAAGGGATATGTTAGTTGCCTATCAGCACTCACTCATGAGTTCCCTGACGACTTGAGCGAGGCGCAGAGGATCCCCCAGCAGCACCTCGGGCACACTGCAGTCCACCTGACACACCACTGCCGGACATGGGCACGGAAGGCAGGCGGGCTCAAAAGACTTCAACACGCACACTGACTGCTTCTCTACAAATGAGAGCCAATCATCCTCCACTGTATAGAAAGCATGGTCCTTCTGCTTCAGCGGATACGCCCACACTAGCCTACTGGTCAGGAATAATTGCACTCCCTTGTGCCCCCGAACTGACAGCTGGACATGACCAAACGGCCCAGCCCGAACCGACTTGACCCGATTTAGCCAGGTCAGGCAAGTCCCAGGTCATCCTGGGCGGGTCTGGCATTTTAGGATGGAGAACCAATCCAGCCTTACAGAGGTGGGTCAGATCGGACCCGGGACCGCGTGGGGTCGACCCGCATTTGTACCCGCAGCGCGGATCGGTGACTTCGCAGGCCGAACTGCTCAGATAGGCGATTTCCCATACGGCCTGTGCAAATGATGTGTTTAGCTAATATCCTTCCTCAGAGTACTAAACACTCCCGACCTAGCATGTACATGACCAGATTTTTAGACAATGACCAGGCTTTGTGATGGGTCATTATCGGGTCAAGACCTCACCCGATCGGGCCCGATTCATGGGTCGATCCGATCCGACCCGGTATACCCGGCCCGACCCAGTCGAGTCGGTGTTTAGGATGGTCGGCTCGAACCGGGCAAAGAACTTGGGTCGGGCCGTGTCGACCAGACCCAGCTGGGCACTTCACTCATGCCTGCCTCACCAAGTCCATGTGAACCAGTTCCAACGGCTTGCAACACTTGTGGCTTGCAACACTTGTAGCTCGCAATGGAGGACTATCATCCCAGCAATTCCAGCCATTCAAAGTAGCAGGGTAAAGAGCGCATGGCACTCACAATAAAGGCCTCTCTTGTGAGCCTTAGGAAGCAAGTCGCGGGCGACCATGTCGACGCAGTGGCGCAGGGAGAGCGGCAAAGTCTCAAGGGAGAGACGGCCGGCGTGCAGCTTGGCGAGGTCGAGCACGGAGTTGAGTTGCCCCACGATGGCCGACGCACACTCCTTGGCTGTTGTCAGGTCTCGGTGCTGCGGCCCCTGGAGGTCGCTCTCTAGTAGTGCCTCCATCATGCCTGGCGAGGAGGGGGTGGGATGGGAGACGCGGATGATGGGGAATCGTGGCAAGAAATGGCAGCAGGAGGAGATTGAGCATGACCTAAGGGTGCGTCGCGTCACTTGTTGGTTGGTACCAACGTAGCATGCCCGCGATGGGTGTGCACCGACCTACCATGCCCACGAGGGGTGCGCACCAACCTAGCATGCCCACGATGGGAGTGCGCAGCTCGTGGGAGAGATTGGCAATGGTCTCGCTCTTGGAGCGCTGGGCGCGCTCGAGCACAGCAGTGCAGAGCTCCACCTCCCTCACGGCGCGCGTGATGGCCGCCTGCTTGCGTGCGAGGAACACCAGGATGAGCGTCAGCAGCACCGCCACCACCACCACCAGCACCGCCACCAGCACCGGCGCCCACACCAGCCGCCACGCACTGCCACTCTCCAGGAACCTGGAGTTTAACCAGGATGAGCGATTCAAGGGCACACGGAAGTGAGTACTACTGAGAAGAGAAGTTAGCGCTGTCCAGGAACCTGGAGCAACAACCAAGACTGACAGCTAATGGAGAAAGGGGAGAGAACTGAGAACCTGCTGCTATCCAGAAACTTGAAGAACAAAACGTAAAAGAGAACAAGAAAAACGGCTGGGAGACTGGAAGCTAGGAAGCACAAATGCCAATGCAATGTTTTCATGGCGCAGGAGATGGGGTGGATGGACTGAACATGACATTTGTTCAAGTAATATTTGTTAAAGTAGTTGTGGTGTGGAAATATAATACCTGCAGTGCGCTTGAAGGTTCCGCAAGCGGAAGGTTTCTGGGAAGGGTTGCACGACCTTGTAGCCTGGCTGTACATCTGTGGGTGTTATCCATTTTATAGGAGGCACGCTGAAGTTCTTGCTGACATTGGCACCAAACATGAGCACAGGTGCTCCCTCGTCCGTCGCGTCATATAGATCGAATGAGTACTTGTTGGTAGCTGGGAATCACAGGTGCATGGAAGAGAATAAACGAGGGCGCCGGAGACAGTTTTATCAACACGACGGTTGGATCGAATGAGTACTTGTTGGTTGCTGTGGACCGTGCATGCAGTGCAGTGCACCATGGTTTTATCAACAAGACGTAGCGACCGGAGCCATGAACAACACACAGACACCGACAAAATCTGCAGCTGAACGTTTGAGCGAGCCCTACAGTCCTCCTCCTTCTTGTTGCAGTTCAGTTTGGAGGATTCTCAAAACCCGCCTGAGCTGGCCCTACAGGCCACAGCCCTCCTACTCAAAGCACTAGATGCGGACTGTGGCATCAGCAAGCTCCTTGTTGCCAAACCCGAGCTCCCCGTCAGCCTCCCACACTGCCGGCGGTTACGACTCAACTCATGCACCAAATCACAAACAGCGTCTCGGCACTCCCGAGACCAAGGGTCAGCCATCTCGAATCTGGCAACCCCTGCCCTGCCCCTTTCCCATCGCCGCCCAGGCATTCTCCAACATCAACGCGACATCCTCTGCTCTTCCCGCCACTCCTTCTCCCCTCTTTCTCTTCCTTGTCTCTGCCCCTGCCCCTGCTGCCCCTGCCCCTGCCCCTGCCCCTGCCCCTGCCCCTGCCCCTGCCCCTGCCCCTGCCCCTGCCCCTGCCCCTGCCCCTGCCCCTGCCCCTGCCCCTGCCCCTGCCCCTGCCCCTGCCCCTGCCCCTGCCCCTGCCCCTGCCCCTGCCCCTGCCCCTGCCCCTGCCCCTGCCTCTGCCCTTGTCCTTGCCCCTGCCCCTGTGCCTGCCTCAGCCTCTGCCCTTGCCCTTGCCAGTGCCTGCCCCTGCCACTGCGCCTGCCATCGCCCCTGCCCCTGCGCCCTGGAGTGGCGTGTCTCACCATAGTTGAGCACGTCCGTGAGGGCGTTTTGAGACGTCTCAAATCAAAACAACACTTTTATCACCTGGAGTGGCGAGTCTCACCATAGTTGAGAACGTCTATAAGGGCGTGCGAGATGAGCGTCTCCGTGTCGATCTTTGAGGCGCCTCAGAATTCGTCCTGGTGTGGCATGGTGTGGCGTGGCGGTGGTGTGGAGTGGCGAGTCTCACCATAGTTGAGCACGTCCGTAAGGGCGTGCGAGATGAGTGTCTCCGTGTCAATCGCCCCCCCTATGGCGCCTGCGATGCTCTCCAGTCCTTGCTGCAAGGACGGATGCGCCGGCAACGGAGCGCGGATTACCGGGAAGCCGTAAACTGCAGGGAGAGAAAGGCAGTGCGGGACCGTGCCACGGCGAATGGCATTTGGCAGGAGAGTAAGGGGGTAGGAGGGAAGAGACAAAGTCATTCGAGTGAGTGTTACAGACTGTAGGGATGACAAAGTGAGTCAGGGGAGGAAGCTTGCAGGAAGAGAGAGGGAGCAAAGTGCAAATATACGTGTTTTGAGACGTCTCAAAGTGCAAATATACGTGTTTTGAGACGTCTCAAAGTGCAAATATACGTGTTTTGAGACGTCTCAAAGTGCAAATATACGTGTTTTGAGACGTCTCAAAGTGCAAATATACGTGTTTTGAGACGTCTCAAAGTGCAAATATACGTGTTTTGAGACGTCTCAAAGTGCAAATATACGTGTTTTGAGACGTCTCAAAGTGCAAATATACGTGTTTTGAGACGTCTCAAAGTGCAAATATACGTGTTTTGAGACGTCTCAAAGTGCAAATATACGTGTTTTGAGACGTCTCAAAGTGCAAATATACGTGTTTTGAGACGTCTCAAAGTGCAAATATACGTGTTTTGAGACGTCTCAAAGTGCAAATATACGTGTTTTGAGACGTCTCAAAGTGCAAATATACGTGTTTTGAGACGTCTCAAAGTGCAAATATACGTGTTTTGAGACGTCTCAAAGTGCAAATATACGTGTTTTGAGACGTCTCAAAGTGCAAATATACGTGTTTTGAGACGTCTCAAAGTGCAAATATACGTGTTTTGAGACGTCTCAAAGTGCAAATATACGTGTTTTGAGACGTCTCAAAGTGCAAATATACGTGTTTTGAGACGTCTCAAAGTGCAAATATACGTGTTTTGAGACGTCTCAAAGTGCAAATATACGTGTTTTGAGACGTCTCAAAGTGCAAATATACGTGTTTTGAGACGTCTCAAAGTGCAAATATACGTGTTTTGAGACGTCTCAAAGTGCAAATATACGTGTTTTGAGACGTCTCAAAGTGCAAATATACGTGTTTTGAGACGTCTCAAAGTGCAAATATACGTGTTTTGAGACGTCTCAAAGTGCAAATATACGTGTTTTGAGACGTCTCAAAGTGCAAATATACTCGAATGCTGTAGCTGAGTTGGAATAAAAGGACACGCTGAATGATGGGACGGGCTGAATGAAAAGACTGATAGTCAGCAAAGATAGCAAGGGGGTATTCGATTCGAACCCATGAGCGGGGGAACAGGATGAAAGGGGGGAAGGGGAAAAGAGAGGGAACGGACCAAAGCCGATGTGGTTGTTGGGCAGCAGAACAGGAGGATAAGCCACATTTTCGCCTGACAGCAGAAACTTGTCGATGATGGCAGCGAGCAAAGAGTAGATATCGGTGCATGGGGGGAGGTCGAAGGGCGCGGGGAAGCGGAAGACAGAGACGGCATAGAGCGGAGAAGCAGACGCCACACTTCCCAGCATTGTCCTGACCGTGCAGTTGAGGACTCTCTCCAACACAGGGCTGCATGCAGATGCCGGCGGGAGGGTTCGAGTGAAGAGAGGGAGGGAGGGAGGGAGGGAGGGAGGGAGGGAGGGAGGGAGGGAGGGAGGGAGGGAGGGAGGGAGGGAGGGAGGGAGGGAGGGAGGGAGGGAGGGAGGGAGGGAGGGAGGGAGGTTCTTTGGGGCATAATGATATGGCCCAAGGTGTTAGGGACATGCCGCATCACCAAGCTCAGGAGGCATGGGGGAAAGGGAGAATGAGTGGTTGGAAGGGAAGCCGAGCAGGACGAGGAGAGCAGAGGAGATTGGTGGAGAGATGCAGGTGAGATCTAGATGGTTCAAGTGCTGATAGTGGCACAAACAAGAATGGCAAGCTCGGGAAAAAGAGGGGATTGGATTGTGTTGTTGGGTGGGTGGGTGGCTGGGCGGGTACCGTTGGTTGTGGGTGATGAAGACGCCCCACGAGGCGATGGACCACGGGTGGATGCGTTGAATCCACTGCTCGCTGAACGCGCTCCACGTGGCGCTCGTTATCCCGCCCTCCAGACCCCAGTAGGAGGGCGTGTTGGCTGTGTTGGAGACCCCGTTGAACACCTTCACGAGTCCCGCCAGAACCTACGTTGCATTATAAAGAGAGGAAAGGGCAAGTGATCGCGAGGAGGCATGAAGAAGCCGTCGTTCCTGATAAGGCGCGACGGTGCGCGCGGTTGGATTTGATCATCCAATGATGATGACGATGATGAGGCATCCTCGTCCGTCCGAAATGCCCTTTGCGGCAACAGCTGCTACCTGCTGCTACCTGCTGCTACCTGCTGCTACCTGCTGCTACCTGCTGCTACCTGCTGCTACCTGCTGCTACCTGCTGCTACCTGCTGCTACCTGCTGCTACCTGCTGCTACCTGCGGCAACAGCTGCTACCTGCTGCTACCTGCTAATGGCTCAGAGGCTATTGACTCACGAGACTGAAAGGAACCGCGCACCTCGACTTGATTCGAGCTGGCCACAAACTCCTGGTGCACGTATCGCGTTCGCGCCGCGCACCACGTGCGTAGATCTTCTTTGCGCGGGTTATCGGCGGCTTGCCACGTGAACCACGCGGTCCACACCGCGATCGCCAGCCACGCGAGGCACCACGCGACGAGCGCGAGGCGACGCCATAGCACCTGCATCTCGTCTCGTCCGGTTAACTACTGCTCGCTAAGGTGGCATCAGTTACTCCGTACGTGGTGGTCCTTGTAACTTCCATTTCCAGCCGACTAAGTATCTACCCCTGCACGACCGCAACTTGAATGATCGCCGTATCGCTCTGGAGCTCCGCAGGGGTAGATACTTAGTCGCTCTGGAGCTCCGCAGGTGTGGGATCGCAGGGACGCGTGCCGCAGATTGGGTTCATCAGGGCAGCTGTTGTGGTTGTGGGGATGTGGTGTGCGGTATTGTATACACCATTTGGTGCGAATCCACGTTTTGTTTTAGAGCTCTGACGGGATTTGGTTAGTCTTTCCTGGAATTGTGTATAAGCTTCCAATGTCACATCATTGTCACTGACATACAATACAACAGCCCTGCCCATCTTGACTTACAACTCGGTTGTGCTTCAGGTGTGCCTGCTTGTCAAAACAGCTGAAGCAGAGGCCGCAGCAGCACCAGTGGCGATGGTCGAAGTGCAAGGGAAGCAACTATACGGCGGGAGGATGCTGTTGAGAAGAGTTTGGCAGAGGCACGTAAATGTATACTCTCCGCTGCACACGTGCTGCTTGCATGACACATGTGTACCGCACACGTGCCATCTGTGTCGGTTGCATGACACGTGCGCACTGCACTCGTGTCATCTGCAGTGCACCTGTCCATGGCTCATGTGGCCACCGCCACGTGCGCGGATATGCTTGTTGCTGATAAGCGTGAAACATGAGGGGAACGGAGGAAAAGCAGATGGGAGATTGCATGGAAGTGCCAACACGCATTGCACAACTCCCTGCGCACAGCCCAGAGGGGTGGGGGAGATGTAACATGTGAAGCACAGAGGGGTGAGGAACGGAATTTGGAGGTTCGGCAATGCATCGAGGCAAATGCCGACCGCAGGCTGATTGCCTGAATAGGCAGAGTGATTGCCATGCCTTCCACACACGCATTTGCTGGTTGACAAATCAAACTTACGAAAACAAACAAGTCAATGTCACTAAAACAATGACTGGAAACGCCGATGCTGCCTCATACGTGACTAACTGCGCTGTCGCTTGGCTGCTTGTCTCGTCACCCTGCCCGTAACCATGGCAGTCACACTCTCGGCAGCAGCACCACCACTTCCACTCCTCCCTGCCACTGAAGCCTTCACCTCTTCCTTGGCCTCTTCCACTGGCAATGCCCCTGCCCCTGCCCCTGTCCCTCCCCCTGCCCCTGTCCCTGCTGCTGCAGCGGCAGTAGCAGCAGGTGCAGCAGGCAATGCAGTGGAAACAGCACGCCTACCTCGCTTTCCTCTATTGCTCGCAACTGCTGTCGCATCTGTCACTGCAGCAGCTGCTGCTGCTGCTGGGGTGGCTGCTGTTGCTGATCTTGCCCGTCGTACTCTGGGCTGCTCTGCTCTCGCCCTTGCTTCTACGCTGTTTTCTGCAGACTCGTTGACAGCCAATGATTCACTTGATTGTTTACCTCTGCTCCTTGGTTCTTTTCGCTGCCCATCCTCATTCTCACTCCCATTTCTATTCCGGCTCCCCTCTGCATCCTGCCTTGCCTCATCCTCCTTCCATTCCTGTCGCTTCGGCCGACCCACTCGGCTTTTTGCTGTCCTTGCAGCAACGACTGCTTCTGTTCCCTCAGGATCCTCTCTTGCTCGCCCATGGCTGCTCTTTCCTTTGGGCCCCATTTGTTGAACAACACGCCCGGTCTTAACCCTGCTTCTCTTCCCTCCTCTCCTGGCTATTCCACCATCTTCCTCTTCCTCATCCTTCTCCTCTTCCTCCTCTTCCTTTGCCTCTACCTCTTCCTTCCCCTCCTCTTCTTCCTCCTCTTGCTCCTCGTCCTCCTCATTCACCCCACAGCCTTTTCTCCCCACCACGTCCTCTTCGCTACTCCCATTTGCCATGTCGGCTTCTGTTTCCACTGCGCCTCCGCCTTTCCTCCTCCTGAGGCTCCTCCCTCCCGCACTCTCAGCTGTCCCCGCAGCAGCTTTGGCCCCACGAGGCAGCTTCTGCACTGCTGGCACTATGGCTGACGTCTGGCAGGCAAGGGCGAGTGGAGGGAGAAAGGGTGATGTGGGGAGAAGGGTGAAGGCAAAGGCCACATTTAAAAAAAGGCCACAGGAGGCAGTTTCAGCACTTCTCGCATTATGGCTGAAATCTGGCAGGCAAGGGCGAGTGGGGATGGGAACGGGTGATGCGGACAGTAGGACGATGGGCATGGGGTAGAAAGAGTGATGTTGGGGTAGGACGTCATTCTTAGGCGCCTCTCAGGTCGACTTGTGCATGGCTTTGTTTGTTGGCACTATGCTGTTGCAGACATCTGACGGGCAAGAGCGAATCGGGAGGAGAAAAGTGGTGAAGAGAGAATGGTGATGGGGCAGGGAAGGGTAACTGGAGAGGGAAAGGCAATGGATGGGGCATTGCTGGGAAGGAAATAGAAAAGCGAGAAGGGGACAGAGAGACGGAGAAGGAGGTGTGGGATGGAAGAGGAGGGAGGCGAGAGAGGGGGGTAAAGCATGGGGAGGAGATGCGAGGAGATGAAAAGATGCGTGCAACGTTGTGCAGGATGCGCGCACTTTGTATGCGTGCCTCTTGGTGGTGGTTGTGGTATGGTCACTTCCAGTCAGTCAAAGCGGCATGTGAGGCAAGCACAACACCCCAAACAGAGAGAACGAGAGAGAAGAGGGAACAATCGGGCAGGATGGAAGGGTGGAAGGGAAGGGGAAGGGGGAGGGGGAGGGGGAAGGGTGGAAGGGAGCATACCCGGCCAGCCACTGTGATGAAGCTGAGCGGATGGCCTGCAGTTCAGAGAAAGATTTGGGGGTCACAGCGCAGCACAGGGATGCAGAGGTATGCAGAGGGGTGCAGAGGGATGCAGTGGGATGCAGAGGGAGGCGCAAGGTAAGATGCACGGCAAAGGCTTTGGGTTGGGCTTATGGTGTGCCCTGCGACAAAGCATGGTAGGATGGATGGAGGGATTGATGGATGAACGGACGGTTGGTTGGACGGATGGGGGGGCTGATGGAACAGCAGAGGGTTGGAGACGAACGGCGAACTATCCCTAAGGTGCAGCCTTCAGCTCGCGCAGTCTTCATGGCTGGGGGGCCTGATGGAACAACTCAGAATTGGAGATGGGCAGTGAGCTTGGTTGCCATCCTGGCGTTTTTGTAACCTTGCCATGTCAACAGCATGCGAGTGCGAGAGTGTAGGTGCAACGGAGAGAGGCGAACGTGCGAGGGAGAGCGCACCATCAATGGAGCCGGGTTTCTTGGACCAGCGCACGTGGAAGAGCCAGGAGGAAGGAAAGCGGTCACTGTCCGCGTCTACTGCCACGGACTTGCTGATCACCTGATGGGGCGGGGGGGCGGCAGGGGGAGAGGCATGCAGGGGGCGAGGTGACTTCTGAGTCGACTCAAAAGATGGGAGGGGAGGAGGGGAAGGGCATGCGGGGATGAAAGGGAACGGAGAAGAGGGAGGGGGAGAGGTGGGCAGGTGGTTGGCGAAGGAATGGGATGGATGATGGTGAGAAGAGGTATTGGTAGAGAACATGATGCTGTGCCGTGTGCCGTGTGCCATGTGCCGTGTGACATGGTGAGGAGCGGTGCCGTGTGTCATTGTGATGCTGCGTTGCTTGGTGCACCTCCTGATGCGCCTAGCGCAAGCTCACGCAATAAGTGGGAAGAAGCAGCTTACGTCCTTTGCCCAAGTCCTGTCGAATGCCTGCCGGCGCCTCCCACATCCCCCCACACCAGCTGCATGGAGGGGTGCGGAGAGGTGCCGTGCGTGTCCCAACCCACCTGCTGAATGGAGGAGTGCAGGGCGGTGCAGTGCGCGTCTGAGAGCAGTGCAGAGGGTGTCTCTGGGTGCAATTGTGACTGATGGGGGAAGAGACGGTGGGCAGGGGAGGGCCTTGGGGGAGGAAGTGGGTAAGCCTGAGGCTTGGTACTACAGGGATACAGCTAACTCGATTACAGGAATACCGCTACCAGGTACTAGAATATAGCGGAAGAAAAAAAAAAAAAAAAAAAAACTGAAAATTGTGCACTGGAGGGGAAGGCAGGGGGAGGATTGGCAGGTGGGAAGGAGTAAGGGGGGAAGGGGAGGGGTGTTCGGCATGGTGGTGTTTTAGAAAGGTAAGATAAGACGAGGGATGCACGGAGGAGGAGAAGGGAAATGAGGAATGAGGAATGCATAGCAGGGAAGCTTGAACACTGTGGGGTAGGTGCAGTAGAGTAATGGCAGTGCACACATGAAGAAGAGAAGGCACGAATAATGTGGTAGATTAGTGGCATGGAACTGCAGTGCGAAGCAAGCAACCCTCCGTTGCTCTCTCACCTGATACAGCACTTCATCCGCCAACCAGTTGCCTATGCCGCTCAGCACTGCCTGCACGCACACATGCATGCACACACGTACACCCACTCCCACCCACACACACACCCCCATACACAGAGGACCGCAGGAGGAGAGGAAGAGAATTCGTGGCGGCAGGAGGAAGGAGGGGGGGGGGGAGGAAGAGATAGGACCGGTTGAGAGAGAAGGGGACGCAGGCCAGAGAGGAGGTGGCTTGAAAAGTGCATGCAGTGGTGTGTTGCCCGTACGACACCCCTGAGAAGAATCCTCTAACAGCGGCATTCCCATGAGATCACGAGATGGCCTTGGACATACCAGGTTCATGAGCCCCTTGTTTGATCCACGAGCCCCCACGCACCTGGCCCACGAGGCCCCATCCTATGCTGAAGCGCTTTTGTGGATTCTCACAACTGGGTTATGAGTCCCACGCACCTGGTCCATGAGCACGGCCTTGACAGCCCGTGAGCGGCGACGCAGGAGAGCAGCGAAGGATGTGGGGTCCGGCAAGGAAAGCAGCACGTCGGGACCCAGCTGCGCCACAGCTGGGCACAGCAGCGGCTGGGGTGTGGAAGAGGGGGGGTTGAGGACAGGCGGAGAGGACGAGGCAGAGAGAGGAAAGGAGATAGTGACTCATTCGCCTCAAGAAAAGAGACTGAATCACATTCGACAGAGAGCAGCATGTGTGGGTCTGGCTGTGCAGCCTGTGCCACGGGGGGGCACAGAAGGGGCTGAGGAAATGGAGGGGGAGAGGGAGGAGAGTTGGCGGCCGGCAGGTGTAGGGGGTTGGTGCAAAGTGGAATGGGATGGGATGGGATGGGATGGGAATGGGATGGGATGTGATGGGATGTGAGCTGACATGGGGGAGAGTGCTAGGGAGGGAATGGCACGGTGGAACCATTTACGCTGAACACTTCCCTCCCAACTCCTCTCTTCCCCTTCGCTCCCCTCCCAGAGCCCCGCCTCCCCAACTCTTGACGCTCCCCGTCCCCTCCCACCCTCCCTCCCACGCGCTCACATTTTGAGGCGCCTCAAAATGCACCTCACTGCTCGCGGATTTCATACGGAGAGGATTATTACAGCTTGGAAGTGTGCGTGTAACTTGCAAAAGTTACTGGTGCGCGCGCGGTTACATCAACGAATTGGTTGACGAAGACTTTTCTCGAAGGCTGACTTTGCACCCTGGGTGTACCCCATTTGCTTTGTTGGCCGAGTGCATGTCACTCTGGGTAGTCGACTGTACATATGTAGATCTCGAGGGCATTTTGCTAGCTACTTAGCTTGCTTCTGTCCGAACTCTTTCTCTTTTGTGGATCTGAGTCACACTGATGAAGGCTAAGCGGGTATGATCCCCGTAAGCCGAAACATGTTTGTGCTGTAAGGATTCTCTTTAGTGAAGGGGTTTTACGGTTTCTACTGATCGTTTTTCCAGGAAAGATTTTTTCAGTTTCGTTTCCTTTTGTTGCTTTAAGCGCCACTCTTTAGAATTGCTGCTCTTCCACTATGAGCGAAGACCCTTGGGACACTGAATGGTTTCCATCTGAAGAGGAAGACGCCGATTTTGAAGAACGCAACTCGTTGAAGAGGCAACGTAGGAGTGGAAACAAGTCGCGTTCTGCTCGAAAGGCTTCCGGGCAGCAGCAGACCGGCAACAAATTTCCGCAGCTGGCGTTAACCTACGAACCGATTCTACGAAGTGAGCAACCGCGTGATCCTCCCGCTGGACCTTCGCGAATTCGTCCTACCGTCATGGCGGAATCCACTGGTGCGACTCCCATCCAGGATCCTTTCAAGGGATGGCTTGCGGAAGCAGTGAGAGATTTCCGGGACGATTTCAAGAAGCTGCTTAAGGCGAAAAGCAAGCTTAAGAAGATGATGGAACTCGATGCTGACGGCACGATTCTGCATAGCATCCGTACTAAAGCTGTCGATTTCCAGACTAACATTGACTCTGTCAGGGAGAAAGCTAAGGCGTCCGTTGCTGAAATCCATCTGCAGAATCAGAAGCGGATCCAGGCAGAGTTTATCGCCTCGAAAGCACTGGAGGTTGAGGAGATCGCGAAGGCGGCTAACTCGCGTATCACTGCTCTGGCGATAAGGATGGAGGATTACATACAGGGGCTGAGTGCGGATCCGGACCTGGTGGTGTCTGACGCTGCCAAGGAGAAGTTTCGTCTACTCAAAGGATTCTGCATAGAGAAAGCCCAAGCCGACATCGCTGCTGCCAAGGATGAACTTACCATCCGGGAGCTGGATAGACAACGCAAGAAAGCCGCCGAGGATTTGAAGAAAGCTGCTGCGTCTGAGGAGGTGCAGGAGATGGAGCTAGAACCTGCGTTAGAGGAGATTCTCGCGAAGCAGGTTAAGAAGATTGAAGACAAGCTTCGCAAGGAAATTACTGCGAAGGTTGAGGCCAGTCTTACGAAGAAACTGCAGAAGAATCTCTCTTAAGGAACAAGACCCTGCGCAGGCCACTGCTGCCAATCCGAAGCAGAAGAATACGGCGGGAAAGCAGAAAAGTCAGGAGAATGGCAACGCTGCACCTGCTGGATCGAAGCCGAGGAGGAAGCGGGGTGGGAAGAAAAAGAATCAGAAGCAGAATTCCGGCACCGACAAAGACAAGCAGGCGGGAGGCCCTGTCAAATCTGATGCGGCCAAGGGACCAAAAAACGGCGGAGGCGGCCCCGAAAAAGGGCCCGCGCAAGAAGAACTAACCAGCCATGAGCTGGCTCTCCGTTGGTTTGGACGGCTGACGCCTCGGCAAGCTGCGTTGCGCGTCCAAAACCGCGGAGTACACAACCTTAGCGCTAAAATCTTATCTTCGGATGAGAAGACAGCGCTGGGGTTGGGTTTGAAGTTCATCCCCACGCCCACCGTTTCCCTTTCGGCCGGAATTGAGCTCGATCAGCTTTTCCGGCAGATCTCGTTACATTTTTTCTTCAAGGATGCGGACGGTCCACTTAGGGATTCGCGGTTTCGTGTGCGTAACCCGACGTGGCTGCCCGATCGGATGGTGATTCCGGAGCAGGTCTTCAAGGACTCGTCTTCTGACTTGTCCGTCTTGTTGAAGGCATCTCAGCCTGACCGACGTCGGAATCTTTCAGCTGGCGTTAGGAAGGCGTTGCGCACCATCGCTGCGGATCGAGACGTGGTGATTAAACCGGCTGACAAGAATGTTGGGATTACCGTGATGGATCGGGGACATTACATTCGGTTGTGCATGGAGCACCTTGGCGACAGCACGACTTACTCTCTGCTCTCTCACGATCCTACCGCCGATGTCTACCGGAAGCTACGTGAACTGCACAGCGTTTGGGGCCCTGCTCTTCCCGAAACTTTGTGGAAGTATTTTTTCAACCAGCCGCCTGGAGGGTGGAAGCCCGCGGCCCTCCCTCCCACGCGCTCACATCAGGTGCGAGGCGGATGCGGCCAAAGCGACGCGCATCTGTGAAGGCCAGTTGCACCCCGCCCTCCGCCTGTAAAGGGGGGGCAGGGGGATGGGTGGAGAGAGGGTGATCGGGTGAGAGGGTGAGATGGGGGGAGCGGAGGAGGCGGGGAGGAAGGGGCAGGAGATGGAGAGGAAGAGCAAGGTCCATGTGAGTTAAACTGTTAGTAACGTGGGTATGTAGTTTGTCCACCTCCCCAACATGCCACTTCCCCCACATGCCACCGACCTGCAGCACGAGCTTGTGGAACCGCGGTGGCCACTCGTCTGCTGGCGACACTGCCAGCCTGTCAACCCCCCCACCCCCCACCGTGGCAGGTGCACATGAGGAATGGGACGGAGAGGGTGGGGGGAGGGTAGACAGGCGCGGAAGCAGACGTGGAAGGGAAGGGAAGGGAAAGGAGAAGGGGAGTGGGGGAAAGGGAAATGAAGGAGTGCGCGTGCATTGGTGAAAGCATCCCCGGCGGGCCCTGCGGGTGGCAGCCATGCTTGCATGCATGCACAGATGTTGTCGTGCCGTTTATGAGAATTCCAATGAACGCCCGTTGACGAAGTGCATGGATGGTGTGGTGTGCCAAGGGGAAGCACTAGGAGATGCGTGAACAGGGTAACTTTAGAGATTTCTCAAGGAGGAGGAACGGCGGCAGAAGAGTGAGGTGGTGTGGTAGGGTGAGTGACAGTGACAAAGAGTGAGGTGAGGGTCGTCGTCAGCGCAAGCATTACCTTTTGTAACGCACGACGTTCTCCCCTTTGATGGCGAACGCGCCCGCCATGCCTGCACCATGCACCATCAATCAAAGGCAACATGACACACACGCAGGGCGCGAGAGGGGATGGGCTAAGCGATGAGGAATTGCAGGCAGAGGGGAAGACGGGCTGCAGGAGAGAGATGGACAGGTGAACGGATGGAGGGGTGAACGTTGGTTGGACAGATGGACGGGATTTACAGGAAAGAAAACGGAGTTGGGGGTGGTGGGATGGGTTTGAGAGGAGACGAAGGCAGAGTGAGGGGACGGGAGGGAAAGGGGAGGGAGAGTGGGGAAAGCGTTGGGAGGAAGGGATGTAAGAGAGGCATGGCGGCGCATGTACCGAAGTGGAAGAGCGGCATGGGCTGCTGGCCTGGCAGCACACAGAAGCGCCTTTCAAAGCGAGTCAAAAGTCAAAAGTCCTACCGAAGTGGAAGAGTGGCATGGGCGGTTGATCGAGCAGCAGCCAGAGGTGCTTGCCCTTGCGCCCCGCGCCCACCACCACGCGCCCCTGCAACGCCGCGCGCACTTCCTCCGCGCTGCACCCCTCTAGCACCTTGTCGTCCTCCGCCACCACTACCGACAAAACCCGCCGCCCCACCAGGTGCGCCTCCGCTGCGCGCCGAGCTGCCTCGACCTCGGGAAGCTCGGGCATGGCGCCGGAGAAGGGGAAGCACGGGAGAGTTGGGGAACGCGCGGGTGAGGGGCGAGCAGGCGGAGGTATGCTAGAGGATGGTGACGGGACGGGACGGGACGGGACGAGGCGGGAGGCGTGATGATGGGAATAATTACCGCCTAAATCTCCGTCTCGCGCAGTGACATCGCACAGCCTTGAAATGAGCTAGTCACGGGCTGATGGAAACGTCGCATCGCTCTAAGTGTTGTGCACCGTCGCATATGTTTCGCGTTTGTGCTTGATTGATGTTGGCGAAACTTTCGCCACGTTCTCGCTTTCGGTTTCTGCCACGTACCGCGACACAGGCCACTCATCTCAACCCTGTAACAACATTCAAATTAGTCGAGAAACAAAATGTCGAATTTCGTGAGCTGATCCTACACACATTTCGCCAGCAACACCAAGGCAGTAAAAAATCGTGTATCATTAAAAGATTTTCGTCGCTGAGCTTGTAACGACTTTCTCAGTAACGATCGTAGATGCATGTTTCCCACCACTGGCGTCAAGACGACGCTGCTTGCCAGAGTTGTCTCACCCCAGACCAGAGATTACACACACTAGCCAGCAGTCAGCACAGCAGTCAGTACAACAGCTGCTGTTCCTCGCTCGCAATTCAGCATCTCGCCGCCCCGTCCGTCCCACGGGTTACGGCCCCAGTTTGTGCGCGGGACGGAACGGGACGGGAACCTTTTGCCGGACTGGAAGGCCTGCTGCAACCCATTAGATCACAACCGATCGCATTCCATCGCATCAGATCGCGTCTCATCCCGTCCCCGTCGCACGCCGCCGTCGCATCGCACCATCGTGCCCTCCCTGATTGCGCGGTATACAGCACGCGTCGCGATCCCTCTCGTGCCGCCACGTGCCTGGCAGAAGCAAACTCGCACAGCCCTCGTGCAATCGTAGGCCAGGATACCGGCTCACGCTGTAACAGCTCGCTCAGCGTCAACGCCGTCAACGCGGTCAAGGCAGTCAATTCCGTCAGAGCGACCAGTGCACAGTCCTCCCCCCACCCCCTCCCCTCCGCGTCTTCCGTGCATCGTGTCGACGCGTCGCAGCAAGAGAGGCACGTGTCCGTGCATCCCAAAGTATAGAACTCGCGGTGCGTGTATGCGACGCGGCGATGCGCATCGTGTCATTCAACGTGAACGGGCTGCGCGCGCGAGTGCAACAGCACGGCTCGCTCGGCGCGCTGCTCGCCGCGCTCGACGCTGACGTGGTGTGCTTGCAGGTGCGTGCGGTGCGACTACCGCGCTACACTCTCGCCTCGCAGAAGCCACCAGCAGCAGCAGCAGCAGCAGCAGCAGCAGCAGCAGCAGCAGCACCACCACCACCACCACCACCACCACCACCACCACCACCACCACCACCACCACCACCACCACCACCACCACCACCACCAGCACAATCAACCAACACCATCAAACTGGGCACATGGGAGAAGAGAATGCTGCACAGAGTCGCACAAAGGCATTGCCGTTGTAGCTTAGGAAGGCAGGGTCACCCTGGTAGTACAGCATAAAAGCCCTGCCCGCACCGCACCACCACCAACCACGTGTCCCAGGGTGGTGAAGTGAAGGTGAACCCCTGGAGTGGAGCTGTCAAAAGGCCGCCTTTCCTTTCACCCCACCCGCACCTCACCTCCACGCTGCCAGGAGAGACGAAGCCGAGCGCGGCAGGCAGGCAGGACGTGACTCGTCACAGCGGCTTGTGCGAGGCATCTCACAAGCCACCCTTGCCCTTCCCCCACCCCACCCTCACACGGCGTTGCCAGGAGACGAAGCTAGCACGGCAGGACGTGACAGCAGACGTGGCCATCGCGCCCGGCTACGAGGCCTTCTTCTCCTTCAACCGCGCCCCCTCCCGCGGCCGCCTCGCCTACTCTGGTCTCTTCCTTTCCTCCCTCTTTTCTTCTCTTCTCTTCTCTTCACTTCTCTTCTCTTCTCTTCTCTTCTCTTCTCTTCTCTTCTCTTCTCTTCTCTTCTCTTCTCTTCTCTTCTCTTCTCTTCTCTTCTGTTTCATTCTCTTCTCTTCTTTTCGTTTCTCCTCTCCTCTCCGCAGCCCCTCCCTCCCACAACACCCAACTTAATTCAAACCAAACGAGCGAATGCATGCGTTCCATATGAAGGGCCAAGCGCCTCTGAGGCAACCTAGGTTGAGTCAATTCAGAAGCCCTCACTCACTCCCTCAAGAGACTGTCTTTCATCCGTCTATCCATCCCTCTGCCTGTCTGTCTGTTCGTCTGGGGATAGGGTTGTGATAACTGCGATTTGATTGTGCTTACCACAAGGCTTTCTCACCGTTGCTCTGTTCCATTCCACTGCACTGCTCTGCTCCACTGCTGCACATGAGTTTGCGGTTCTTCTCTCCTGGTCCATTCATCGCTCCACTCTTCGTTCCATCTGCCCCCCCACGGTGCAGGAGTAGTGACATTTTGCCGTATGCCCTCTGCTGCACCCTGCACCGCAACCCATGCCACCGCCTCAGGCGTTATCACCACCACCACCGCCGCCACCGCCACCGACGGTAGCACCGACTGTAGCACCAACGCTGCAAACAGTGCCGCCCATGCCGCATCCACCAGCAGCAGTAGCTGTAGCTGCAGCTGCAGAAGCAGGGGGGAGTGGGATGCGGTGCCGTTAGCAGCAGAGGATGGTTTCACTGGGCTGCTCGCTCCTGCCAAAGACCCGCCCACCAATACCACAACCAGTGCCAGTACCATCACCAGCACCAGCACCATCAGCAGCAGCAACAGTACCACCAGCAGAGGGAGCTGCATGGCGACACAGGGAGGGGAGGGCGGGGGAGAGGCAGCGCGGAGGGAGGGGGTGGGGGAGGTGGTGGAGGTGGAGGGGGTGAGCAGGGAGGAGTTGAGGCGAGTGGACAGCGAGGGCAGATGTGTTATCACTCACCATGCCTCATTTGGTATGAAGAGTGTACCTATGGGCCGTGTGGCTGGGATGGGATGGGATGGGATGGGATGGGATGGGATGGGATGGGATGGGATGGGATGGGATGGGATGGGATGGGATGAAGCGAAGTGTGTTTGTTTCACTCCACTCGTCCTTCGGCTTTCTTGCTTCCCTCTCTTTTTACCTCCACCATCTCCCATCCCCCCAGTCCTCCCCCCCCCACTCATTTCCCTTCCCCATCCATCCACATCCCAATCCGCTGTCCACCTGCTCCCCAGTGCTGTTCAACGTGTACGTGCCGCGAGTGGCCCCAGGGGATGCCGAGCGCCTGCGCTTCAAAATGCTCTTCCTCACGGCGCTTCAGGTGCTTGGTCGTTGTCAGCTGGTGGCTGGCAGTGCAGTTAAACTTCATCCGTGCAATCCTCCAGTCCTCTCTTGAGGCGCCTCAAAAGTCGTCTAAGTTTACGCGGTTTTTTGAGGCGCCTCAAAAGTCCTCAGCTAGTGGTAGGCAGTTTATCATCCGTGCAATCCTCCAGTCCTCCTCTCTTCCCCCCCTCCTCTCCTCTCCTCCTCCTCTCCTCTCCTCTCCTCTCCTCTCCTCTCCTCTCCTCCTCCTCCGTCGCTCTCCGTCAACCTTCACCCTGTCCTTCACCATCTCCCCTCTCCCGCGCTCTCCCCTCACCCTAACCCCAATCCCCCCTCCACCGCTCCACAAGAGGCACGTGCAGCAAGTTGTTCAGGTGATGCCTAAGCAAATGCCTTGGCACTTATTTATGTGCTTCAGGTGATGTTTCATCCTTCCTCCGCCTCTCCCTCTTTCCTCTTCCTCTACCTCCTTCCTCCTCCTCCTCTTATCCCTTCGTCCTCCTCCTCATCTGGTCGTCTCTCACACACTGTATCCGCCACAACTCTCCCTTCCCATGCTCCGCTCTCTCCCACAATTCCCCCACACCTCTCCTCGCCACCATACCAGCGGCGCACCTCCCCTTCCAAGCAGCGGGAGCTGCACCTGTCCTCCTCTGGCAAGTGCTGCAAGCGCTCCTTTCCACCCTCCTCCCCATCCCCCCTACCCTCTCCACCCTCCCCCCTCCCCCCTCCCACCAACCCCCCCCGCCCCCCCCCCCCCCCCCCCTCAACTCTCCCCCTTCCCCTCTACCAGCGGCGCATGCAGCGGGAGCTGAAGGCGGGAGGCAAGGCAGTGGTGGTGGCGGGGGATTTCAACATCTGCCCTCACCCCATCGACTCCTGCAACCCTTGCACAGACTTTGACAATGACCCGTATGGGGAGATGGGGGACATGGATGGGGTGATGGGGATGGGTGTGGGGTGATGGGGATGGGTGGGTGCGATGTGGATGCATGGGTGGGTTGCTTATTCATGGGTGCGACACTGATGCATAGGTACGATGCTGATGCAAACGGTTTGTGTGGGTTCATAGCTCTCTCATAATACCATGCATCCATCTGATGACACTCACTCCCTCATGGAATTTCCAATCCCCATCCCATTCCCATCCCATCCCATCCCATTCCATCCCATCCCATCCCATCCCATCCCATCCCATCCCATCCCATCCCATCCCATCCCATCCCATCCCATCCCGTCCCATCCCATCCCATCCCATCCCATCCCACCATGTGACTTTGTCAGCTGCCGCCAATGGCTGCACGAGTTGATGGGAGGGCGACCCTGCTCCAACACGACCACCACCACCACAACCACCACCATCACACCCTCACAACTCGCCCCACACTTGGAATCACAGACGTGTTCTGAGGCGCCTCGGAACCCACAATCCCAGTCGGTACTTACGCATGATGCTGCAACCGCGGCATCGCAATCAACAGCCGCAGCAGCAGCAATAGCAACATCACAATCAATAGCAGCAGCGGCGGCAGCGGAAGAAGTAGTAGGGGGAGGAGCAGAAGGAGCAGCAGGAGGAGCAGGTGCAGAGAGGGGCTGTGAGGCATGGCAGGAAGAGCAGCGGCGCTCAACTAGTCATGGCGGGGAGATGGAGGTGCCACAGGGGGGGAGGAAGGAGCAGGAGATACACGGAGAGCAGATGCCAGTTGTAGACACTTTCAGAGCCTTTCATCCCACCAGGTGACCCATGCGTGCCGTGCCTGTCGACTGGGATTTCAAGGGTGGATGACCTTGAATGGTTTGACGGGGTTTTATGGAACTGAAACATGAGATACGCTGGCTTGCTGCGGTCAAAACTCTCTAGACTCTTGGTCAGCACCAGGACCAGGTTACCTGTGCCTGCCTGTTGGTCAGCCATGGCAAAGTGGCAACATGGGCGAGTTCCTGACGGGATTTAACCAGCCGGGCAACATTGGCTTGTTGCAAATGTGGTGCCTCGATGGAGTCTGATATCCGCTGTCCTGCTGCTGCACTGCGTTGCGTACAAGTATCGCCTGTCTACAAGTTGTCATCTATCCCTAAAACCGCTCACCTGGAATCCCTCTCACTCCTGCGTACCAGCAGTTTAGGAAACGAGTGACCAAGCCAAGCAAGCGCTCAGAACACTCCTCCTGCTCCCTTTCTGCTCCTCTCCTCTCTCCCCTTTCTTCCTGGCCATCAGGCGGGAGGCATACACGTGCTGGTCCGCTGCGAGTGGAGCAGAGGAGTTCAACTACGGCGTTCGAATCGACCTCATTCTCGTTGCCGGACCCTGCTTCGCCTGCCGCTGCTCTCCCTTAACGCCCTGCTCCTGCTCCTGCTCCCACCACCCCCTTACCTCCTCATGCTCGCCTGTCGTCGCCTCTTCTTCCCCGTCACCTTCTCAAGGAGCTGCGAATCAGATGCAGCAGCAGCAGCAGCAGCAGCAGCAGCAGCAGCAGCAGCAGCAGCAGCAGCAGCAGCAGCAGCAGCAGCAGCAGCAGCAGCAGCAGCAGCACTCGTTTGCAGCGTGTGATGTGGTGGCAGCAGACATTCTCCTCCACTTCCGCCGCTTCAAGCATGACTCTCTGCCACGGTATCCGCAATGCTGTGTGGTGCTGTGTGGTGTTGTGTGGTGCTGTGATGTGCTGTGATGTGCTGTGATGTGCTGTGATGTGCTGTATTGAGCTGTGCTCTGTGGGCGTATGTTTTGGTTTGTAAGGGTTTGATATGTGAAGAGGGGTGTGATCTCAGATGTTGATAGAGGGGGTTGTTTCCCTTTTTTTTTTGCACATCTCTTGTCCCTTACCGCTTTCTCTTTTGGTTGCGCCCTCTGTTCTCTTCCTGATCTCTCCCCATTCCTCTCTCCTTCCTTCCACCATGCCTCTCTTTCCTCTCCCTGCTCCATGCTCCCTCTCCCATTCTTCATGCCCTACGTTCCTTCTTCCATGCCCCATGCCCCATGCCCCATGCTCCATGCTCCCACCACAGCTGGCATCAGGGCCGATCAGTGCGGCTGCAGGGATCTGACCACGTGCCTGTTGCCATCCAGCTAAGGGACCCCACCGCGCTCCACCACTCCATGCCGCACTGCACTGCATCCACTCATACCGCACCACAATGGATTGCAACTCAGCAAACCATGGTTCACCGCACTGCATCGCAAGGGACTGCAGCGTGCCGCGTGCAGGCAGTGCCAGCACTGGCAGCTCGATTCATGCCAGAGATAAGGGGCAGGCAGGCCACACTAGGGGAGGCGTGGAGGAGAGATTTTCGGGAGGCAGGGAGGGTTGGCGAGGCAGCAAGGGTGGGAGACGCAGGGACAAATGCGAGCAAGAGGATTGGTCAGGGGGCTGTGCTTGGAAACTGGCATGAGAAGGGGGTTGAGGGGTGCCTTGCTAGGTTGGGCTCTTGTGCTGCTGCTGGTTGCTCCAGTGAGGAAGGAGGGTGTGGAAGCCTGGTTGGTTCCGTTGGTATCCCTGCCCCCCCTGCCACGGCCGTAGCAGATGCAGCAGTGGGAGGAGCGGTAGCAGCTACAGCGGCAGCAGCAGCAGCAGCTTGTGGTGGTGATGGTGATGGTGGTGTTAGTGTTGGTGTTGGCATGGGGGCCAGTGGAAGGAGTAGGGGGCAGGGTGTGCGAAATGGAACAAGGGCAAGGGGAGCAGGGGGCGGAGGGAGAGGAGGGAGAGGAAGAGCTGGGCAGCAGATGCGATTGCAGGCATTTTTCAGAGCAGAAAACAAAAGACAAGCAGCGGCAGACGTGCGAGAGGGTGAAGGGTGCATAGCAAGGGAGGGAGAAGGAGGGCGGGGGACTGATAGAAGGTTGGCAGGAGAGAGTGAAAGAGCGGAGAATAGGGCCTTAGGGATGGGTGCTTCTACAGAGGGGGGAACAGAGAGAGCAGAGAGAGCAGAGAGAGGGGTTGTAGCAGGGAGAAGGGAACTAGCAGAGAGAGAAGAGGAACGGGCGCCAGCAGGGATAACACTTGCAATGATTGATCTTCACGGAGGCCAGATGGAAGGCGAGAAGGGTGGAGCAGATGCGGCGCGGTGTGGGAGGATCAGTTCTGGGGATACACAGGCGGCAGCTGCTCAGGACGCTCAGTGCGTGGAAGGTGGTTGGAAGAGGAAACACAGTGGGGAGGCAGGTGCATGGGATGATGCTGATGGGGCGGGTGGAAGTCGCGGTGCCCATGCCCGTGCTCATGCCTATGCGCATGCACATGAGCATACGGGAGCAGCAGCAGCTGGAGCAGCAGACGCATGTGATGGTGATGCGGTGGAAGCAGCAAGGGAGCACGGATGGATTCAGCAGCAGCAGCAGCACCACCACCAACAACGGCGGCAGCAGTGGCATGGGGTGTTAGCGCGCATGCAGGCAGGGCCGCCCCGGTGTGCAGGGCATGGTGAGGCGTGTGTGGTGCGCGTGGTGAAGAGGCCTGGCGCCAACAAGGGCAGAGGCTTCTACGTCTGTGCTCGAGCCAAGGTCAGTTAGTGCCAGCCTGCACTGCAGGTCAGTCGTCTCCTTGCAATGCCTCAAGCGCACCTGTGGTGCTGTGGACACAGTGAACATATCGCACACATGCTCCTCTTGTGCGGACCTAGGGTGCATTCTTGTAACTCCCGTTTCTCTGCTCCATTCCCATCCCCTCTCCTCCTTTGCCCTGCGCTCTGGCATTGAATGTCCCCACGCATCGGAAGCAATGCGTTGCATCTCATTGCCTGTCCCCATGCACCCCGCTCGCCCCCGCTCCTCCTCCCTCTGCAGGGACCCTCGGACAACCCTCAAGCGCGCTGCAACCATTTCGAATGGGTTGCCCGCCCCACACCTACCCGGCGCCTACCATCGTCATCGGTACCCACGTCACCCACGCAATCATCAGTTACCATTCCACTCGGCCACACAGCACGGAAGAAACAGCGGCTCGTGCCATCATAGGCACTGCAGGGTACAATCCCTCTTGGCATGACTTCATAGTTGCAAGTATACGACTTTGTACCATACGCCTTGTTCGGTGTGCTGTTGCATTGAAACTGCAACTGATGTGATTGTCAAAGGATTTCTATCTCAAACCAACACCAAGTAACTGATACTGAAAAAATACTATACTTATTCCAATTCAAAGCTACAGCAGTACATCCTACATAACTACGAACACACACGCACGCACACAAGTATAAAGGGTCCTTCTACCAGATTAAAATCCTTTCCTGCCACTATCTTTTGCGGCCTACCACCACCACATCTCCCTCCCCTCCCCTCCTCCACCCACCCCAACAACCATTACCTCCACCTCAGCCCTCTCGGCTTAAGCCCGCACGCCCCAGCACCATCAAAGACAACGAGCCACTTTCCCCAGGCACACACACTAGCAGCACTCAGTATATGGAACTCTGGTCTCTCTCCCCTTCCGCCATCCATCATCCTTGCTGAAGACTCGCTCTCTCCCGTCCCCTTCTCCCCCCCCTGCCAACTGTTCACTAGTTCACAGAATGCGGGATGAGGCGGTCGGTGCAGACAGCTTCCTGCCTTGTGCTGTGGCACCTGCACACTCACACACACAGCACCAACAGCACCACCCACCCACCCCAGACCACACGACGGAGGCGGCAAAGGAGCAACGCCATCAGGGAAGCGCACAAGTAGCATACACAAGCGCACAAAACAGGCAGAACCAGCAGGAATGCAACGAGTAGAAGAAAACCACACCACCACCACTGCCATCCCAACCATTCCCCAACTCTCACCCCGTCCACCCCAAGTACCCACCCAAACTTCCCCCCCTCTCCTCCCTCCCTTCAACCCCCCGCACCCCACCACCCCTCCCCTTCCCCCCACACTCACCGTTCCTCGGCCCATTATTCGCCGCAGCAGGCCTCCCTCCCCTGGGTCCGCCCCAGGGAGGTCTCTCTGGCGCAGCACCTGGCTTAGGGCTGGGGCTCCTCAGACTGGTAGTCCACTTCTGAAACTGCACCGCCAGCGCATCCCCCCTCTCCTCCGCCCCTGCCAAGTCGTCCAGATCGGCCACACTCCCCGCTGTGCTGCTCGCAGCGGTGTGAGTTCGGTCCACACTGCCCACTGACAGCCTCCTCGCTGCCGCCGCCGCCGCTGCTCCTCCCGCTCCTCCTCCTCCTCCGCCCCGGCCGATGCCGCTGCGGAGAGGGGATACTCCCGGACGGGCATTCATACCTGCTGCTGCGCCGACACCCGCTGCTGCGCTGTTGCTGCCAAACGTGCTCGAGCGCTTCAGGCCGCTCGTGGTGAACCCGCCCTTCACCGTGTTACTGCTCTCCCTCAGTGACGACTCCCACCCGCTCTTCTTCGTCCCTCCTCCTCCACCTCCCCTGCTTGCAGCAGCCGCAGCGGCTGCCGCAGTAGCAGCAGCGTGGTGGTTGCTGCTGTTGATACTCTTGCTGCCGCGCCCGCTGCTCAGCACATCCAGCCGATGCTCTCCTGCAAATGAACCACCGCCGCCAATGCTGCTCCGGTGGTGAGACGCTGACTGACGCAGTGGCTGCATCAGCGTCGACGACGCTCCACCGCCCACCCCTCCTCCTCCTCCGCCCACTCCTGGGGCCTTCACCTTGCTCGCAGCACCCGCACCCGCCAGAGACGCCCACCTTCCCGCCGCAGCAGCCGCCGCCGCTGCAACATCGCTGCCAGCACCAGCACCAGCAGCACCAGCGCTCTGGTTCGCACGGTACCCAAAGCTCGTTCCTCCGCCCACCACCACTTCGTGCCCCTTCATCCCAATCCCCGCCACCGCCGCCGCTTCCGCCGCCACAGACGCCGGCGCAGCAGCCGCCGCCGCCGCCACTGCAGTCACCAGCGCCGCTGCCGCACCGCCCTGCTTCCGCTGCTGCTGCCGCACACCACCACTGGCGCTGCTGCTGCTACCACTCTCCACCACATCCGGTAACCCAAACGCGTCTGTGCCCCTCCCCAGGCCCTTGAGCAGAGACCCCATGCCCTGCGCTGGCACCTCCAGGCCTGACCCACAGCTCCCCTCCTGCTCCTCCGTGTCTCCACTCGCTCCCCTGGTGCTCCTCCCTCCCTTGCCACCACCGCTGCTCCCAGGAGCAGGATCCTGCAGCATAAGCAGCCGCCGGGACCCTGCGCCCAGGGTGTTGCTCGGGTTGCTCGCAGCTGAACCAGCACCGACACCACCAGCAGCACCAGCAGCGCCCTTGCCGATTCCGCCTCCCACCCGGCCGGGTGACGCAGTGCCACGGGCGGGGGAAGGCGAGGGAGCAGCAGCAGCGGCGAGGGAGTGCAGAGGCGAGACGAGACCCGACGTCGACACTGCCAGCGGCGACACAGGAGCGTGACCGCCAGCAGCAGCAGCAGCAGCAGCAGCAGCAGAAGAAGAAGAGGGGCGGTGGGAGGAGCGGTCAGCGCTGACAGACCTGCCCAGAGGGCCTCCCCTCGGCACACCGCTCGCAGCCCGCTCTGCTGCTCCTCCTGCCATTGCTCCAGCAGCAGACACCGCAGCACCACCGCCTCCAGAAAGGCTGGTCCTTCGTCGCGCGCGCGCCGCAGCAGTACCAGCGTTCCCCCCCGCGCCCACACCAGCTGCGCCAGCACCACCAGCAGCGCCGGCAGCGGCGGCAGCGCCAGAGGTAGCGCACACAGCAGGCGCCTTGGTCTTGCTCGCGGTAGACGCCGTGGGCGCAAGGAAACCCGCGGATTCCAGGGGCACGGGGGCCTTAGCCGCCTGCCGAACAGGGGACTTGGCGGGGACCGCCGCGTGAGTCGCAGCAGCAGCTACACCAGTGGCGGCGGTGGCGGCGGTGGCGGCTTTCAGTCGAGCGCTCACCTCGGAAACAGTCTGCACAACCGCGCTCTCACTTTGAGACTCCGCCTGCGCCTCCTCCTGCTTCGCCCTCTCGCTCTCCTCGCGCTCACCGGTCGCAGGAGCAGCACCAGGCGACCTCGCAACGGGCGCCGGCTGCGTATAAGCAGCAGCAGCAGGCGGGGTCACAGGCCTCGTGACAGCCTCCACCGAGACCGCCGCAGCAGAGGCCGGGGCAGAAGGAGCAGAAGGAGCGGTAACCGCAGCAGGGAGCGGGAGCGAGGCAGGAGCAGGAGCAGGAGCAGGAGCAGGAGCAGGAGCAGCAGGGGGTGGGCTGCCGGGCGGGCTGATGGGACCCAACGCGCTCTCCAGCCTCTCCGTCGTCACGTCCCTCTCCCACTCGCCCTCGCTGCTGCCGCTGCTCGCGCTGCTCACGCTGCTGCTCGCTGCCGCCGGCGCTGCTGCTACCGCCGCTGGAGTTGGCACCGCGGCCTTAGCAGGCGCACTCTGCTGCTGCTGGAACTGCTGCTGTTGCTGCAGGAGCAAGGCTTGGCGCGCGGATCCAGCCGTGAAGAGCGACGAGCCGCCGCGCCGGTAGTCGCGCTTGTAGCTGCGCTCGCTCTCCGTCTCGCTCCAGTCGCCCGCCGCGCTCCTGCAGTCCTCCCAGTTCTCCTCCTCATCATCCTCAAACACGTCCTCCTCTTCCTCCTCCTCCTCCTCCTCCTCCTCCTTCTCCGCTTGCGCCGCCGCCTGCGCAGCCGCCTGCGCCTCCGCGAGCCTCTCCGCCTGCACCTCCGCCGGCCGTGCCTCCGCAGCCTGCTCCGCTGCTGTCGGCGCCGGCCCGGGGAACGAGTCCACTACTGGCACGATCTTCTCCCCCTCGTCCTCTTCCTCCTCCTCCTCACTCTCGCTCTCGCTCTCGCTGCTGCTACTGTACGCGTTGCTCCGCTCGATGGATTCTTCCTGCGCCTGTCCGCGCTCCTCTTCCGCCCACGTCTGCTGCTGCAGCCTCCGCGCATTCCCCGCGTCCGACTCCGCCTCAGCCTCCGCCTCTTCCGCGCTAGTGCTCTCGCCCGCGGATAGCGCGATCGTCGCGGAAGCAGGCACAGCGGCGGATGTCGATTCCGCCTGCGCCTGCGCCTGCGCCTGCGCCTCCGCGTGCGCCTGGCTGTACTCTGCGCTCGCCGCCGCGCCATATTCCGGCGCTCGCTTGGCGCGCAGCATCACCACGTCGTCGCCGTCGCTGCCGTAGTTGATCGGCGACTTGAACTCCGCCGCGGCAGCCGCCGCGACAGCCGCCGCCGCCGCGGCCGCCGCAGCCGCGCCGCCCTTGTACGCGTCTTGCGCGGGCGCGGGGGCGGGGGCGGAAGCAGGCAGGCGGAACGCGGGGCTCGCGGAATCCAACGCGGAGTAACGGAAGGCTGTAGCAGGGTGGATGGACGAAGCCACGGAGCCGGGACTGGCGGTTGTAGCATCCAGGTAAGTCGACCCCACTCCCGACGCCGCCGTGTTCGCCGTCTCGAGACTATCGTCGCGCGTCAGCGCCGTCATCTCCGACTGCGACTGCGCCTGCGACATCGCCACGTGCGACTCCTTGAACGACTCCGCGTGCGACTCTTCATCCTTCTCTTCCGACGACGACGAGCAGGACGACGATGCCGACGGCGACGGCGGTGCGGGTGCCGGTGCCGCGGCGTGAGCCTCGCTCGCCTCCTGCTTCTCCTCCCTCGCCTTATCCGCATCCCCATCGCCACCTGCTACCCCAACTGACGTCTCCATGACAGACTCCTCCCGGCCTTCCGACTCCGACTCCGATTCCGATTCCGTCTCCGTCTCCGACTCCGACTCCGTTTCCGCCTCCGTCACCTCCGTCACCTCCGTCACTTCTGTTACTTCCGTGACCGTCGTGGCGCCGTATTGGCCCATTCCCGCGAAGGCGGCAGCGGCAGCGTGAGCCGCGGCGGCTTTCTCGGCAGGCACAGAGCTGCCCGGGCTAGCGGGCACGGGCGACGCCTTGCCGCTCTCGCCGCCCTGCTGATGCTGCTGGCGCTGCTGCGACGACTGCTTGGTCGACGGCTTGAAGCAGCTAGTAGGGGATCTCTGGCGAATCCTGGTGAGCCATCCTCGCTTACCCTCCTCGCTCCCTTCGCCTTCCTCCCACGCTTCTTGTTCCTGCTCCCACTCCTCCTCCTCCGCTTGCCCGCGCTTCCCTTCGTCGCTGCTGTAACCATCCACGTCAGGCACATCCTCGATCTCAATCTCGTCCACGTGGAGCTTCCGCGGCGCCCTGCCGGTTTCCGCCGCGCGCAGGCGCGGCTCCGCGTCCGCGTCCTCTTCTTCGTCCGATAAGTCCGCGTCTTTCTGCGCCTTGGGCGCGAGGCAGCGCAGCGGGGACGAGATGGGCGAGCGGAGTGGGGACCGCGTGGTGGCCGGAGATCGCGCGGGGGAGCGCAGCGGGGAGCGCGGGGGAGTTTTGGCGGACGGCGGAGCAATGCTGTGGCGCTGATTGAACGCCTCCTTCGCTTCGAGAATGGCCTCCACAGGCTGCACACGCAGACCAAATTAAACGAGTGTAAAATTAACATTAGCAAAAACCACTGTAAACACTAACAGGTTCACCAAGAAAACTGCGTCAGAGGAAACAAGTCATTAATTAAAACAGAACTTCAAAACCATTACGGTCAAGAAGAATAAGAAGCGTACCTGCGAACCGCACTCTTGAGCGAGTTCGAAGAGGCGTGTAGCGATGTCGAGCCGGCCTTCCTCTTCCGCCGCCGCAATTTGCCGCAACCACTTGTCCGCGGACCGCAGATTACCGGACCTGCGCACGGGCTGTCCGCTCTCCGCCAGCCTTCCGCTCGAGCCGTCGTGGTCCTCCGCCATGCGCTTGTCGAGCACGTCGCGCAGCCCCTCGAGATTCACGGGCACGGAGCTCCACGTCGCCGCTTCCTGTTGCTGACTCTGCAGCTGCTGCTGCAGCTGATGCAGGCCGCTGCTTGCGGGCTCCTCGCCCTGCTGGTTCTGCTGCTGCTGGTACGCCAGTGGCTGCGCGCTCGGCGGAGTGGGCGCCGAGGCTTGCTGTTGCTGCGGCGGCGCAAAGTGCAGCTTCTGCGGCTGCGGCATCTCTCGGCCGTGCGCATTGCTCGCGTCGGCGGGGTTGGCGTCGGTCGCGCTGTACGGCTCGGGCGCAATCTGGCCTCGTCGCGCTGCGGCAGCGGGCGACGCGTCCTTCCCACCAGGGCTCCTCCTCGAGCGACCCGACAGCGATCGCACGATCGACGCGAGCCCGAAAAACGACTTCTTCTTCTTCGTCTTGCCGCTCCCGGGCGACGACTCAATCGGCACGCCGCAACCGGCGACAACTCCAACCATGCCTCGCCTGCGGGCGCTGGAAGATCGCTCAACGGGGTAAATCTCCTCCTCGTCGACGTGGCCGTCTTCGTCCCAAACCTCCTCTTCCACCTCGTCCTCCTCCTGCCGTTCCTGGATCTGCCGCGCCAGTTGCAGCAGCCCCTCGGGTGCGTCCTCGTCCGTCACGCTCTCGTTGGCTTGTGCCATGCTGGCCCACTTGGCGCCCCATCCGCCCACTATGGCTCCCGCCGACGATTCCGACGTCGCTGGTTCACTGCCACGTACAGAAATGTGGGAGGAGACATGGCATAGGGTACGGAAGAAGAGTGAGAGATTGCTACACATGTACGTTCTTTCCACCAACGTAGCAACAGCGTGATGAAGTGCGATACGTGCGCGTAAGCAACACCGACAGTAAAACACTGATAAACGGTGAAAGTTTGGCGTGCGACTCCGAAACACCAACGAGATTTCCGTAGCACCTTTTATTCCTACAACGCCACTTACTTGCGCTCGTCCTGCCACCCAGCTGCAGGCCGCGCTGCAGGCAAGACCCCCGCCATTGGAAAAAGAAGGTCGTGCCCAATGCTTCAAAAGCAAGTGAAGAATCTCTCACGGCAGCACACGCAATTAATTGAGGAGGTGACCTAATGTCCTAGTGACCTATTGGCTGGGATCGCTTTCGGCAGTGAGGGAACGATTATCTGGCTTGCCTATGTCCAATGATAATAATGCAGCGCTACGAGTTCTCCTTGAGTTTCTCGTTCGCGTGTTCAGTCTGTCCCATAGCACGCATAACTTTTGTGACAAATGGTCGCAAGTCTATCAAAGCAGTTCGTCGGAATGTGGTGATGGCAGGAACGACGAGAAACTTGGGAAAGCCAGGATCTTGAGGGGTGCAAGCAGCAGTAGCGGGGGTCGCTAGTCATGGACGCCCGTTGAAATCGGTCCGCCTTGTCTGAACAAAGCCGTTGGCGGCGGAGCAGAAAGCGGCAGTATCTATTTTATGAGGCTTGTTGAAAGGTCGTGGGATGCCTTGGGCAACAGGCCTGTTTTGTCGCGATAGAAAACGAGATGCGTGATTCTTTTCACGGCTTTCGCTAAAAATCTGGAGAAACAGGTTTGGAAGGCAGCTTTGTGAATTTCAAGCTCAATTTCACCATTTCAGGCGCGCACCGCGATGGCTTTGTGAATGTCTGACCTGACCAAGCCCTGGGAAATCGGATGAGAGCGCCTCGTCTACGAGCCGCCTCGGAAAAGTGTATTTGAGATGCTAGGAAGACGTGGCACGGCGATCACGTTCGGGCAGCCGCGTGTTCGCACCGCGACCTTTTCTGGATGGACCAAGCGCCGCTTTGCACGGAGGCTTCGCGCCAGGGCCCCTGGACCTGTTACCGCCTGCTGTGAAAGGAATGATGCCCGTTTCACGTGGATACCAAACGCGGTCCGGTCTGCATCGTGAGATTTCGCCAGATGCTGACGGTCCCAAGCTCGGTGATGTGACCATAGCAGGGTGCGAAAACAAACGGAAACTTGACTATAGAACTCGCAGTCAGGCGATAACACCAAGCGGTAGCGAAATGGAATCGAGGGAAGTATTGACGAAAACGTGCGTCCCCAGTCGTCAACTTCAATTCCGCTAGACGTTCCGCCATTGAACAACTTTTTAAATACACAAGTGAACTGTGCTGAGGTATACTGAATATCTTCATTGTCTTAACATCCTGAGTTCGTTCTCTCACAATTTTAGTATTCGGCATGTATTTATACTAAACAAATCCTAATCTTAATATAATACGCGGTAAATGTTAAAATTCTAAAAAATGTGTTATTTGAACATCAGAGCAGACGTTTCTTTATTGACTTTGCTAGCAGAGGGCCCTGTGTTTTAAGGGGGTGAGGAATAGGCTTGCTTATATATATTAGTAACTTATATTCTCACTAATCAGCCACAAGCGAATCAAGCGTTACATTCGCAAATTCACTGGGGTTCAGACCAGAACCTTGAACCCTACCTGAAGTACCCAAGGCCTGGTAAACGTGGGCGGCATAGACTTGCTTGAATTCTATACCCTAGAGTCTAGACTAGGCCAACGACCGAGACGAGTTTTCATAGTCCATTCTCCACGAGTTGACCCTTCGAGCTCTGGGAGCGCTTGATTCGAAAGACATTATCGAAACACACGATTGGGGATGGAGCTGATTTCGTCGGCGGAAGGCCGCTTCGTAACAGATGGCGTGGCGCAAAATCTGCGCGCGGATGGGCGCACGCGGGAAGTCTTCCGCCCATTCAGCCTAGACACTGGAGTTATCCCGCAGGTGGGGCCTAGGAGGACCTTTCGCGCTACGACGGCTGACTGCTGACAGCTGACGGACGACTGAGGTCGGGGGAGAGAAACGGCGAGGGGGTTAAAAAGGGGCGAAGGAGGGGAGAGGGGTTGGGGGGTAAGGGGGGGAGTGGAGAAGGGTAAATGAGGGGAAGGTGGATGGAGAGCGTGAGAGCGTGGGAGCGTGGGAGCGTGGGAGCGTGTCAGTGTGTATGGGTGTGGTGAGCTGCACGTGGACTCTCACTCCCGCTCTTGTGACGTCTGTCTCAAACGTCGCTCTTGAACTCAACACGCTTCTTGCCTCCCGCCTCCCCCCGCCTCCCGCCTGCCCCCTTCCCTCCTCCCGCCTGTCATCAACCCAAGAGTACGCGTCGTGTGTACGCTCGAGAGTTCTAACGCATTTGCTGTACTTTGCACCCTCCTACTCCTGCCCCTACACCTGCTCCTACTCCTGCCCCTGCTCCTGCTCCTACTCGTGCCCCTGCTCCTGCTCCTACTCCTGCCCCTGCTCCTGCTCCTACTCCTGCCCCTGCTCCTGCTCCTACTCCTGCCCCTGCTCCTGCCCCTCCTCCTGCTCCTCCTCCTGCCCCTGCTCCCGCTTCCGCTTCCGCTCCTGTTGCAGGCAACCGGGTCGGCGAGGCTGCGGCTGGGCGCCACTCACATACTGGCGTGTGTGAAGGTGCGTGCTGTCACCTTGTCACGGGGGGGGTGGGTGGGATGGAAAAGAGAGGCAGCGAATGAAGGTTGAGGGGATGCGGCTGTCCAGTTTGCCAGCAGTTTGCCAGCAGTTTGCCAGCAGTTTGCCAGCAGTTTGCCAGCAGTTTGCCAGCAGTTTGCCAGCAGTTTGCCAGCAGTTTGCCAGCAGTTTGCCAGCAGTTTGCCAGCAGTTTGCCAGCAGTTTGCCAGCAGTTTGCCAGCAGTTTGTCAGCAGTTTGCCAGCAGTTTGCCAGCAGTTTGCCAGCAGTTTTACAGAAGTCTGAGAGCAGATAGTTCATCCAGAGACACGAAAATGGCTGTGTTGTGACACAGTCTCATAAGTCCAGTTCAGAGCAACAAGAAGCGACAGCCTGAACCGTTGTCTAGACCGCTTCAATCAATGTTCCACGGGATTCGTCGCTTTGTGCCCAGCTCGAAGCAACGAGTCAACTCATGTGCATGCACATCCCTTTCTCCCAGTTCCCCTCCCCCCTTCAACTCCACCCCATTCCCCGTTCTACTCTCCCTCCCCCTGCTCACTGTCCTCCACGTCCCTGTTCAACCCTGCTCGACCCTTCTCGACCCTACTCGACCCCTTGGCCTGTTCCTGTGCCCTGGCGCTGGGTGTGCAGGCGGAGATAGGGTCGCCAGCAGCAGGGCGGCCGTGGGGTGGGCGTATAGAGCTGTCTGTGGACTGCTCGCCCACTGCCACGCCTGCCTTCCGGGTACTGCTGCTTCTGCTGCTGTGATGCTGTGATGCTGTTTCTGCTGCTGCTTCTGCTGCTGCTGCTGCTGCTGCTGCTACGGTGATTGTGATGGTTCTGATGTTTGTTGTGCTCCCTTTCCACCCATGCGCACAAGTTCTCTCGCCAAACGCAGCACCCTCCTTCCCCCTTTCCGTGCCCCGGTTGTGCTGGTGGAATGGCAGGGTAGAGGAGGCGAGGAGCTGTCTCAGGAGCTGACACGTGTGCTAGAGAGATCATTTCTTGGGGGCGCAGATGGCTCAGGTGAGAGATGGAGATGGGAGGGGAGATGGAGGAGTGAGATGGAGGAGAGATGGAGGAGGGAGATGGAGGAGAGATGGAGAAGGGATGATGCAGGGCATAGACTGGAGCCTGGACTAGACTAAAATGGGATTACACCAGCAGAAGTTTCTTCTCCTCCCAAGGTCGATCCACCACCCGCTACAATGCCCCTCCCCCCTCACCCCCCTCCACCCAACCCCCCCACCCTTCCCCCCACTCCCCTTCCTCCCCCTCCCCTTCCCTTATGCCCCCCCTTCATGCCCCCTCCCCTCACGGCCCCCGTTCCCTCGCAATCCCTGCGCGGCCAGGAGCGGCGGTGGAGCTGGCGCAGCTGATGCTGGTGGAGCGCAAGAGCTGCTGGGTGCTGTACCTAGACGCGCTTCTGCCCTGCCCCCTTGTTCCATCGCCTTCACTGTCCCCCTCATGCCCTTCCGCGCTCCCTCTTCATCCCCCTCCTTGCTCCCTCATGAGTCATGTCCTCTCTCCCCGTGCGCCCAATCCCCCCGTCCCCCCTCCATGACCAGGAGCGGCGGTGGAGCTAGGGCAGCTGATGCTGGTGGAGCGCAAGAGCTGCTGGGTGCTGTACCTGGACGCACTCGTGCTCAACATGGACGGCAACCTCGTTGACGCCCTCTCCATCGCCTTCAAGGTCAGCTCCCCCTTATTCCTCCTCCGCATTTGCACACCGTCCTGCTTGCTCAACCAGGTGTGTTATGAATCATCTCAAAACGCACCTGCTGTACTCAACGAGGATGGGCTTGTGCTCGATGTGCATGGCAACCTCGTTGACGCCCTCTCCATCGCCTTCAAGCCCCCCCTTCTCCTCCTCCTGGGCACACTACTCTCCTGATTTCTCTCCGCACCCTGTTACCCCATCTCCGTCCCCCTCAACCCCCCTCCCCCCTCTTTCCCACCGTCCTCATCGGACCCCTCTTTTCCTGTCCCGCCCTCCCCCAACATCATCCCCTTTACCTTGCAGACATTTCTAAGAACATATATGCATCCCCCCCAGTTTCCCTCTCATTCTTCTCCTTCCATACAGCACTGAGCAACAGCATACCGCAAAATGCACGCAAAATGCAGAGGTGAAACGGCCATGTTTGAGGCGCCTCAAAGGCTCCCCTCTCCTCGCATGTCTCTTTCTCCCCGATCTCTCCCCACCAGGCGGCGTTGAGCAACAGTGTGCTGCCCAAGGTGGAGGTGGTGATGGGGGAGGGTGAGGACGGGGAGCCGGAGCTAGAGGTGGTGGATGACCCCGACGAGGGAGTGCCTCTTGACACCTCCTCCACGCCCATCATCGTCACCCTCAATAGAGTACGTCGTGAGGCACTTGTTTTTTGATGTGCTTATTTACTAGGCGCTTACCGTATTATTTAGGTGCTTATGTTTGGGGTGCTGACTCGGTTTAGGTGCCTACTTTTGAGGTGCTGAGCTGTGGTGTGCTGTGTTGTGCTGTGCTGTGTGCAGCTGGGGAAGCATGTGATAGTGGATGCAACGCCAGAGGAGGAGGCAGTGGCAGAGGCATCACTATGTGTGGCAGTGAGGCCGGATGGGAGGATTGTGAGTGCGACCAAGGGGGGCAATGCGGGGGTGCACCCGTCAGTGCTCGCTGAGATGCTTAACACGTCGCACCGGGTAGCCATGTCATTACACCGCCAAGTCGATTCTGCCATGGCTGCTGCTGCAGGGTTGAGAAAAAACTGAAGGGAATGGGGAGGCTGCTGTTACTTGGTGAGAGGCACGGCTGGTATTAGGTTGTATTATTGAGAAAAAAGTGCATCTGCTTCATATGTTCCTCAAAATAAGCAGCCACGTGTTGGTCGTTTGTCTGTGTCAATCCAAGGTCCTCAAACTCTCTGCTGCAATTTCTTGAAAAACGAGAAGGAAGGAATTTCAAGAACGAAAGGTGACGTTTGTACCTCCTGAGAATCACATTATAGTCACAGTGCTCAGATATAGTTATACCAGTTCCCCTCGGGATTTTCCGTTTCCTCCTCGAGTTTCCCTCACCAACAGTACCTCACCAGCTTTCGCCACTGAACAACCTACCAACCCATCCCACCCCACCCCATCCCGCCCCAATTCACCTCACCTCACCTCACCACATTCCACAACAAACTGGCACAACCACCCACCAACCACCCGCTCACCTGACTCCTCGATTTCTCCTTGTTTCCTCGATGTTTCATGGTCATTCATAGTTGGGCGTCTCACCATTGACGCTTGATCTAGGCCGAAGCTAACACGCTCCCGCTAGCACTATTGTCCGCTTCTCTCCAGGCGCATTGCATATCGAACGCAGACTCTTGGGTAGGCTCGAGAATCAAGATCGACTGAAGCAGCAGGACCCCGAGTTCCGTCGTTCGTGAGGTGTCTTTTGGTCAATTTTCTCGCTAAGGAACTTGCTTAGCACTAGTCACTTGTCACTGATTTCTCGCCCTGTACTGAAACGTACTCTTCACGGAGTGTTTCCGCATTGCGATACCTGATCGCGAAACGCCTTGTGATTCTCACCCCCATCCTCCTCCCCGCTAATGTCACCTATCTCCTCCCTTTCAGATTTTTATTAAGCTGGATCTTTCGAGATCTTCTCGCCCAACGGTCAACAACACCGTCGTTTGAATATTCCGAGAGGCAATCTCTCCGCGACTTGTTTCCGAGTCGTCTCGATATACACCTGTCGCGATGTCCAGTATCGAAGTGGAATGGCGTTACTTGGCCAGAGACGCCCCTTTGGCCGCTCGCTATAATCACGCTCTCGCGGTTGTGGAACAAGATCAAGGGGATCCCAAGGTAAAACCTTCATGCAATGTGATGATTTTCTTTCCTTTCCTCTATCCTCCCTACCTCCCTCCGGCACCCCTCCCCACTCCCTAGGTCCATGCTACTTTTTCTTTTTGAATTGCCTCATATTATGCTTCACGCGTTGAGACTATCGTTCCGTGCCAGACATTTGAACCTAGCGTTGTTCGTTCGTCATGTTTTTCTCGTTCTCGCCTCTGTTGTATCGGAGTGAGAAACTGTTGCATCTCTTCGACTGCTGCGTGTCATCACGTCCTGTCGTGCCGGGTTCGTGGCGACTCGTGTTCGTGTCATGTCGCGTCATATAATGCCGTGTCGTTTCATGTCATTTCATTTCATGCCATGCATCGCATGTTCAGGTGTACGCGGTGGGCGGGCAGAGCAAGGCAGCGCTGCCCCCAGATGCCTTCGTGGAGATCTTCCTCCGCGAGGGCGACGGATGGACCGTCGGATCGTCGCCTCCTATCGCCACAGCGGGCAAGAAGCGTGTTGGTCACGCCACAGCAGGTGGGTGGATCAGCGTATAGATAGACATTGTTGATAGATTTGTGAAACGTGACGATCTGCTGAGAGGGAGAAGAGGCTGGGGAAGGGCGATGGGGAGAGGAGCGTGGGAAGGTTGCAGTGAGGTGTGGGAGGACGGTGTGAGAGAGTAGGGGTTTTGGAAGCAGGGGGAGCGGAAAGCTTTGAGATGACATTTCGTGGGCGTGACATGTGGAGTGCGGTTCCTCTGAGTTCGCTGTGCCATGCCATTCACTTCCATGCCCTGCTCATCCTCGTTATTGCCTCCCGTTACAGTGATTGACAACACGATCTTCCTTGTGGGAGGCGAAAAGGAAGGCGTTCCTCAGGTGCGAGCCTGTGAGCCATTACATGCCATGTCATCATGCCCTTCGATATCCCTTTTTCTCCTTGGCTCGCCAACTATGATATGCCTTCCGTTTACTTGCCTCATGCCTTGCACATCTCATGCCTTGCACATCTCATGCCTTGCACATCTCATGCCTTGCACATGCCTAGCACATCTCATGCCCTGCGCATCGCATGCCTCTATTGGAACCCCTGTTTGACATCTCATGTGTGGCACCGTTCTCCTCTCTTCCACTGCTCGCACCCCACCAGAACGACATTCTGGAGTTCCACACAGCGTCTGACACGTGGAAGACGTTTGAGGTGGCGGGCACAGCCCCTCCCCCCTTGGCCTTCCACACTGCCACGCCAGTCAACAAGCGCATTGTAATGCACCCGCCCTCCCTATGCGTCCTGTCCTTGAACCAATGCTTTCTTTCTCCGCTCCTTTCTATCCTGGCCACCACCTGTGCGCTTCTTGTGAAGCTTGTGCATCTGTTTTTACTCGTTCTTCTCATGCGGCCCCCCTCTCGTCCTTGACTTATCTATCTTCCCAAATTCCCTTCTTTCTCTCTCTTGTCGTCCTTCTCCGTTTCCACCGCCCCCCTCGTCTCCTCCCTCCCTCCCTCCCTCCCTCCCTCCCTCCCTCCCTCCCTCCCTCCCTCCCTCCCTCCCTCCCTCCCTCCCTCCCTCCCTCCCTCCCTCCCTTCCTTCTCCACCTGTTCGTGTCTCCATTGCTGCTGCTCCTGTTCAATGGGCGTGCAGTATGTTATTGGAGGCAAGGGGGACAGTGCAGCAACCACCGAAGTCTATGTATACGACCCCAAGTCCCGTGCCTGGTAAGGAATTGATTAACCCCCCAGTGTGCAAAAGGATTAAAACATTTTATTATAGTTTTCATTCTCCCCTGCCGTACACACCCCTTCCTCTGCTTTTTGTCCTTTCTCCCTTGCAGACACATTCTTTGGGCTTCATCCTACACCCGCTTATTCCCTGCCCTCCCCCTTCTCCACCCCCCCCCACCTCTCCTTCCCCACCCCCCCACACGTCTCTCTCTTCCCCGACCCTTCCCCAAGGTCCAAGCCAGAAGTGCGCGGCACGCCCCCCCCCGCCCGCTACGCACACGCAGCCGCACTCGTCGAGCCTCTCCGCATCGCAATCTTCGGAGGCAAGCTCTCCGGCTCATCAGAGAACACACCCGGCCAGAACCAGGACCAGCAGCAGCAGCAACACAAGGCGTGCTCAGACCTCTGGCTTCTCCAAGTGGACGACTCCAAGCCAGATGCCATCACAGTGTCATGGGGCCAGGCGTCCTCTCAGCCGCCAGCCATGCCCGTTGTCATCTGCGGCCCCTCAGGCGTGGGCAAGGGGACTCTGATTAATAAGCTGATGGAGGAGTTCCCTGGCAGGTGCGGGTTTTCCGTGAGCCACACGACGCGGGGGCCGCGGCCGGGGGAGGAGGACGGCGTGCATTATAACTTCACGACGCGCGAGGTGATGGAGAAGGAGATTGCGGAGGGGCGGTTCCTGGAGAAGGCGGACGTGCATGGGAACCTGTATGGAACCAGCGTGGCTGCTGTGAAGAAGGTCACGGATTCTGGCAAGGTGGGTGGTGGTGGGATTGTGGGGTTGAGAGGGGAATGGGGATGAAGTGGGTGAACTGGGATGTCGGGGTGGAGTTCGGGAAGGGAAGGGAGTGGGTAAGAAAGGGTTGAACGAGTTCAGAGTAGATAAAATGGTTGCAGTGCCCATCCTTTCGCCTCTTGTTACCTTGCCAACCCCAACCCAACACCAGCCCCAACCCTTGCTGCTATCTCATGCCATTTCTACAGCCCCAACCCTGAACCTTTTTCCCCTCCCTTGGCACCCTCCTCCTCCTCCTCCCACCCACCAGATGTGCATACTGGACATTGACGTGCAGGGCGCACGGCAGGTGAAGGCGTCACCAGCACTGGATGCTGTGTTCATCTTTGAGTCGACTCAAAACGTGCGTTTCCCCTCCCGCTGCACCCTCCTCCCACCCACCAGATGTGCATACTGGACATTGACGTGCAGGGCGCACGGCAGGTGAAGGCGTCCCCGGCATTGGATGCTGTGTTCATCTTTGTGGCGCCACCCTCCTTTGAGGAGCTCGAGCGACGGCTCAGAGGCAGGTGCGTGCACGGCAGAGCCGGGCGAGAGGGGAGGGAAGGGAGGGAGGAGGGAGAGGAAGGAGGGAGGGGAATGCCGGAGAGGGAATGGGACTGTCAGGTGGAAGCGGGAGGAGGGACAGAATGACAGATGTTGATGTCGTGCAATGCGTTTCCTGCATAGCCATGCATGCATGCACTTGTCTGATGCTTGCTGGGTGATGATATGGTAATCTTCACATGCTGGACTGTGCTGCTTTATGGCAGCTTGATAGGAGAGTGCCTTGGTTGCTGTGTTAAATCGCCTATGCGTATGTGTGTGTGTGCACCTGTGCTGTATGGGGGTCTGTGCTGTTGAGTGCCTGTGGGTGGGTGTGAGCATCTGTGTGCATGTGCGCATGCGTCCATGGGTGCATGTGTGTGCGTGTGTGTGTGCGTGTGTGTGTGCGTGTGTGTGTGTGTGTGTGTGTGTGTGTGCGCGCGCGCGCGCGCGTATGTGTGTCCATGTGTGCATGTGTGGGTGAGCAGGGGCACGGAGACGGAGGAGCAGGTGGAGAAGAGGCTAGGCAACGCGCGCAAGGAGATGGAGGCGGGCAAGGACGCCACGCTCTTCAACCACACCATCATCAACGACAACCTCGATGCTGCCTACGCCAAACTCAAGGTCTGCCTCTGTCCTCCAAACCAACCCACCCCAACCCACCCCACCCCCACTACCCCTCCACACCCCCCCCTTCTTTCCCCACCCCACTCCCCCTCTCCCCTGTTGATTTTCAAGTGAGCCCTTGAACCGCACCATCATCAACGAGAGCTGCGATGCCGCGTGTGCCAAACCCAAGGTCTGCTTCGCTTCGCTTTGCACCCCCAAACCCCTGCCTATGGTTCTGAATCTTGTGGAGATGTATCCTGTTTGGTGTGGTGTGATGTGTCTCGTGTCTCTTGGAGTTGATGCAAGCGTCAGCCCTGCCTGCACTTCTTATCTCCCTTCTGTGCAGCGTTTTTCCTTAAGCTGGTGCTCGCAACCCCCCACCCCCTCTCCGCACCTCTTCAACCTCCCACCGTCCCTTTCTCTCTCCCTCTCCCCATCCCGTCCATGCACACCCACCCTTGCACACATTCCTTCTCCATCACACACATCAAAACACACACATACACGCCTACACACACCCATCAACTCACCCACACGTGCACCAACCACAGGCACTACTTGGGCTGGGAGCCGCAGCAGAGACGGTGACAGGGGGTGCGGCCTGGCCAGCCCCTCGCTCCCATGCAGCAGCAGCAGCCGTGGCCTCGCGCATCATTCTCCATGGGGGTCTCTCGTCCCGTGGGGCTCCTCTCTCAGATCTGTACGCGCCCTACCCTGCCTTGCTGCCCCTCTCCCTCCCACACTTCCTGTCCTACCTTAGTCGCGCCACTAGAACACACTATGGGTATGCTCCGTGCCCTGCTTCTCCTCTCCTCTCCCCATTCTACCTGTCCCTATCCCGATCCTTCTTCACTGTCTTCCCTCTCTGCTGTCTTAGCGATTGTTCGCTTTCATGCATCGTGCACCATGCAGCAGGAATAGTCCCTCCCTGCTTGCAACCTAGCACATCCTTTCCCCACCCTTCCCATCCCAGCCTGTTACCACTCGTCCCAGCTCCTCCACGCCCCTTGCCCCTTCCCCTCCCCACCTTCTACCCCTCCTCCGGCCTCCCCCGCTCTTTACAGTCACATCCTCGATCTGACAAGCCTGTCCGGCGAGCCCCCAGCAGCAGCAACAGGGGTGCGTTGTGTGCCCACACACTCCATCCCCACTCCTGCCTCTCCCTCCCTCATCACCAACATCCTCACCACACTCGGTCTCTCCGAGCCTCCCAACACGGCCGAGAGAATCTCGGCCAGGTTCGGGCACCGAGCCGTTGTGGTAGGCCCGGGAGAAGTGCTGTTTGTTGGCGGAGCTGCTTCGGAGGAAGGCTCGGCAACGGCCGGCCTGGCTGAGACGGCGTTGCTCTCACTGAAGGGATTGTCTGCTGTGCATTAAGGCGCGTGTCTTTAGGATCCTTGGAGGTTTCAAAGTTTTGACAGTGCCTGCCTGTCAGACAACCCTGGGGAGAACTGATTGCAGAGTTGTGGGTGGATGAAAGTGCTGTGGGGTGGGCCGTTGACTGACTGGACCAGTATTTAGAGGTCTATAAATACATACCGTACTATTCAGGTTGAAAAGGTGACGTGGGTGGGTGTAGGAACCGACGTGTAGTGTTGTCGCTAGGTGGGAGGCTCTCTGTAATCTGTGTAGGGACTGGAGAGGGGGTGATTATTATGCTGGCGTGCAAGTGCCACAACCAAAATTTATACTCAACCAAACCTTTGTACAACCTCATTTCGAACAGGAAATCGGTTTACTAGATTGACCATCTCGCCACTGCATTGATGATAATAATCGCCAGATCGGTATGTAAAGATTATTACATTGCTTGCTTATAAATAGCTACTTATGTATGCAGTATGTATAAATATACATTGCTTATAGATAGCTACTTATATTATATGTATAGAAAAACCATTCTCCTATTGGCCTCCAGGCTAAAGGGACCCTGCTAGAGCTACAATATACACACAAAAACCACACAACACACCTCTGCACTTATATTGTGCAGATTCCTTGGCGAATCTTGGTTTGGTCTGGCAGACAGATTTTGGCGCCTGAGGGTATCTTATCGACGCACTCGTATCCATTGATGCGCTTGTAGCATCCTCGAATGCCCCTGAAGTATTTTATCTGGATGAAGCTGCAGCGGTCGCTCCCGCTTGCTGTGAGCCCCTTGCTCTTTGGGCAGATCCCCACCGTGTACTCACCCGCCACCTGTATGCACGCCTGCGATGGGATGGGATGGATGGCAGGCACATAACCAAAATGAGGGTGCGTGAGGGGAAAGCATCAGTCGGGGATGTGTTGTGCTGTGCTGTGTTGCGCTGTGCTGCGCTGCGCTGCGCTCCGCTGCGCTGTGCTGTGCTGTGCTGTGCTGTGCTGTGCTGTGCTGTGCTGTGCTGTGCTGTGCTGTGGTGTGCTGTGCATGCATGATGCAAGGCCACGCAGCACCGCATGCAGGCCTTGTTGCAACCCAGTAAGGTCATACATGAGTGGAGCACTTTTGAGGCGCCTGTGCATGCATGCATGCATCACGCAGGGCCTCCTATTGTACCTCCTCATATTAACAAGTCTTCTTTGAGACGAATCAAAATGAGCCCTCGTGATCGTACCTCAAAGCGTGTGTGCAAGTCCAGGCCAGCAGCAGTCTTATTTGGGAAATTTGCCTGTTATACCAAGCCTCTCTTACCTCAAAGCCCGTGTGCAGGTCCAGGTCTGCAGTACTCGGCACGAGGCGGTTGCACTTGATGCCGGGGTTGAGGCGGAAGAAGTCGAGCGGGGAGAGAGGCGGGGAGGGCACGGAGCGAATGGCATCGCAGGTCTCGGCGGTCTGCACCAGGTAGTACTGCGAGCACACCGGTATCACCTGCCCCCCCTTCCCTGCCGCCCCTGCCCACCGCTCCACACACACCGCCAGGTTCGGCTGCACCTCCATGCCGCCGAAGCAGGTGAGGCCCGGGTTGAGATCCTGCATGACCGTGGCGCAGGAGGGGTCCTTGCTGCGACAGTCGTTGAGGTTGAAGTACTCTCCTATGGACTGGCACGTGTCGCCCTGGTGAGATGGGGGTTTGATTTGGGGGGACGGGGTGACGGTGGTGGTGGTGGTGGTGGTGGTGGCGGTGGTGGTGGTGGTGGTGTTGGCGGTGGTGGTGGTGGTGGTGGTGGTGGTGGTGGCGGCGGCGGCGGCGGCGGCGGTGGTGGTGGTGGTGGTGGTGGATGGGATGGGAGAGGGGGGGTGGGAGAGGACAGGCCGGGGGGAGAGACAGAGAGACATGCCTTTTGGGAATTCTCAGAAACCGACCAAATAGAGGTGCGGGGGTTTGGGGATTAGCATGGGCGGTATGTACTGGCCTTGTTGAAAATGGACCTCGTTCAGCTGCATCATTGGATTGGATAACACGCAAGGTGTGGGAGGACGTGCATCATTGGATTGGATAACACACAGGGTGTGGGAGGACGGATGGAATCCAAGAGGACGGTTCCACATGAAAGGACCCACAGTAAGAAGGGAGACAAGGGTTCAGAGTGTTTCACGAAGAGCAGCCACACATACACAACCACACACCCTCCAACAGCGTTGCCTGGGGCGCCGGGAAAACCATCAACACACCTCTTCAAGAGTCAACTCAAATGGCGCTTGGAAACCCGTTTTCACACCTGCGCGGTAAAAGGCCCAACAAGCGCTGCCTACCGGGCCAGTGGTGTAGTAGACGGTGCAGGGGTCGAGTCCGGACTTGGGCACGACATTGAGCACCAGGCCTACTGGCAGGGGCTCGATGCAGCTCACAGTGGGCTGCACCGGCACAGGGGGAACGGTGGGGGTGGGGGGTAAGAGTTTTTGACGTGTCAGAGATTGAGCAGAAGGAGATTGAGCAGATGGAGATTGAGCAGATGGATTATACAAACTCAAGGGGTTAACCAAGTGACGCATCACATGAAGTACTTCACAAGGAGAAGATGGATCCTGAGACGACTCAAGGATAAACCAGGGTACATACAATGCCTGTGGCACAAGCAGCAGTAGCAGCAGCAGCAGCGGCGGCGGCGGCGGCGGCGGCGGCGGCAGCAGCAGCAGCAGCAGCATCAACAGGCACCGTGCCTGCCGTTGACTCACATTGAGCTTGGTGAAGTCGTCACGGGTGAGGCCGTAGACGGGGTAGATGTCTGAGCAGAAGACGTTGGGCGCCATCACCGTGTACTGCGACCGCGTGTCTCCTGCAGGGAGCGAGTGTTACAGAGCAGAGCAAACACGTGGCACAGGGCAATGAGCACAGAGAAGTTGTTTGGGGTGAGGCCTTAGAGCAGATAAATGTCTGAGCAGAAGATTTTGGGCGCCAGGACTGTGTACTGCGAGCGCGTGTCACCTGCATGGGTGTTACACAGCACGTTGGTTACACAGCACGTTGGTTACACAGCACGTTGGTTACACAGCACGTTGGTTGCAGACCAGCAACAAGACAGATACAGAGCAGCAATCACACCAAACACAACAAGGTACCTGGAGCACAGGAGAAGGTACCTGGAGCACAGGAGAAGGTACCTGGAGCACAGGAGAAGGTACCTGGAGCACAGGAGAAGGTGCCATCGACGGTGGTGCCCTGCCTGAAGCCCGGTGGACACACACACGAGTACGACCCCGCCCCGTCATTAACACACGTGCCCACCGCACACGGGTTGCGAGCCAACGCCCCACACATGTCCACTGCAGCGCGTGCGGATGAGTCAGGGGCAGAATGGATCAGGGGCAGAATGGATTGAAGCACAACGAGCAGGTGAATGATGAGCAACAACCTTCAAAGTCAACCTAAATCCAGTTTTGAGATGTCTCAAATCCCAGCAAGCACTTCTGTCACATCTACACAATTGTGTCGTGGCGAGCGAGGCAATGAGACATGGGAAGGGAGATGAGAGATGAGAAAAGAGAGATTGGAATATAGGGAAGGAGATGGGAGACAGACGTGACACACGCACCATAGGCGTAGGTGCGGGAGGCGTGTGCACTGGTGGCTTCAATGAATGAACCTGGAGGGCACTTCCGAGAAAACTTATAGACACCCTGCAATGTATGGGAGACATAAATGAAGACACGTGCATACCATAGGCACAGGTACGGGAGACATCATACCATAGGCGCAGGTGCGGGAGCCGTCAGCATTGGTGGCTTCAATGAAGCGGGGGTCGGTGCAGTCGCAGCGGTTGGTGGTGCCCTCCACAGAACAGCTGAAGCTGCCGCACGGGTTGAACAGCGACCCTGACGCGTCGCTCCTGGCTTTTTTATAGCATGGATCCATTGGTGCTGTGCACGGGAGGAGGAGATGGAGGAGAAGTGCAACAGCAGAGGGAACAGGAAGAAGGATGATGATGATGAAAGGTGAGCAAAAGATGAAGTGTGATTGTATCAGTGGTGTGTGTGTGTGTGTGTGTGTGTGTGACTTCTGGCTTTGCTTTTTGCTTTGCAAAAATCTCCCCCCCCCCCCCCCCCCCCCCCCCTCCCCCCCTCTCTTGCAAACGAACAAGGAAACGAATGTATGCACGCACGCATGCAGTCACGCACGCACATCTGTAGTACAAACTGACCTCTAATGATTGGGTAGATTCCCGGCAGTGTGTTGATGCCGCAGACGCCATCCCCCCCCTGGATGTCCATGCGCATGTGGCCCCCATCGCCCCAGTCAGGTCCCCATGAGTTGCGGATGATCCAATAAGGCGGTGCCATGTTGGGGAAGCGCGAGTCCTTGCCCACCAGGCGGTACCCCACCAGCAGCACCACGTGGTTCAGGTTGTACGTGAAGCACGCTGGGTCCTGGTACTTGGACAGCTGAGGGGAGTAGGGTTATTCGGGACGAACATTTATGCTTGTACATTTTAACCTAGAAACAATCCTTCACAGACAACAAGGTAAGGAGGCGCTTGTTGTGCAGCAAGTATGTCCCAGTGGGTATATTCTCACCTTTGGGTTTAGAGATTGTGGGTTTAACTCTCAGCAGTTGCACTTTCCATTCTCATTATGCTCACCATGACCTAAAAGTTGGCATTTCCATTTGTCCACTCATCCCATGCTCTCCTTGCTGACCCCTTATGGTGTGTCATATGCTGTCATGTCGGCTGTTGTTCCAGCCTGGCCCACATGTGCAACATGTGGCCTCAATTGCTAGCTTGACAAGGTTGGCTATATAGCCTAGCAGTCAGCTTTGAGGTGCCGCAGCTAGCCTCAGGAGTTCAGCCATATATATGTGGCTACCTACTTCACTAGAACCTATCCTTGGACAAGAACATTGCTCTAGTCTCTTAAGGCTTGTAACATTGTCCTACCAAGGATTTCTCCTATTTATTGTGCCCCGAAGTTCACCGATCCGTTCTCTTCAACGCTTACTCTACTGGCATGTAATTTACCAACAAAAAGAGAGAGAGGCGCTGAGGATAGTGGCAAGTTGGACAAGATTGAAGGGCATATAAAATAACCATAGCGAATTAACTCAACTCAGCTGGAAACACTCACCCCATCGTAAGCTCTAAAAGAGGTCGCCGTTGCCTCTATGTGCACCACCACCGGCTGCCGCTGCACGGCCAGCACGAGGCCAAACCAGCCGTAGAACGCCGTGGACTCGAATCCCCTGATGTAGAAGTCGCCTGTCAGTGCCTGCTGCTGCTATTTTCGGGATGGTTTGACAATGACATGCAGCAAGGGAATGGACGATCAGTAGTAGCAGATGGACAGATGGACTGAGGATTTGCAGAAAGCAAACGGTGCTGGTAGCTTTAGCCAGTTTTGAGTATTAGGGACAGGAAGAGAACACAGGAGAGAGAATGGAATGAAAAGGGCGGTGTAGAACAAAGGTGGGCGAAGGGCGTATGGAGGAAAGAGGAGAGGCAGGGGGAGGGTGGTTTGGGAAGAGGGAAGAGGGAGTGAGCAAGAGAGGCAGATAGGCAACGAGGCAACGAGGCAGGCATACCATAACGACATCCTTCCCATCGCAGCTGATACCAAGCAGCTTGGAGAGGGGTGCGAACGGAGACAAGCACAGACGGCTCTTCTCTTGCTTCTTCGCATTCGCATTAATCCCCCTCCATGCCAGCGCCTTGCTGCTGCTGCGCCCCCCACCTCCTTTGAGCCGCCTCCACAAAAGGCGCCTCTTCTGTTGCCCCCTCCAGGCCACCGCCGCCTTGCTGCTGTTGCTGCGGGCCCCACCCCCACGGCTCCGTGATGCAGGCCGTGCCTTCCCTGAGCGGGAGGCTTTGAGGAGGAAGGCGAAGGCCTGGGAGGGCGAGCCGCCGCGGCAGTTGGAGCGCATGGAGGAGCGCAGCTGCAGCGCTGACAGCTGCGGCGCCACCGAGAGGTTCGCCATGATGCTGTAGGCCGCCTCTATGCTGCCCACCACCGCGTACGCCCAGCAGTCGCCTGGGGGTGGATGGAGAGCAGGAGAGATGGGGAGAGGGAGAGAGGCAGAGAGGCAGAGGGGCGTTAGAAAGGCACATGAAGGCAGAGAACATGTGGAAAAGATCAGCGTTTGAAACGCAATCAGCGAGAATGATGGGTTAATGAAAACCAGAGAATATTTAGCCCACACAAACTATCCATACTCACGAGGTCTTGCATTGCAATTCAACGAGCAAATAAAACAGAAGCAAAAAACAAAGAGCGAGGACTTGCATTGCAATTCAACGAGCAAATAAAACTGAAGCAGGAACCAAAAAAAAAAGAAAAAAACAAAAAAAAGAAGAAAAAAAAAGCCAAAAAAAAAAACAACCAAAAAAACCAAAAAAACCAACCTGTTTGTGCCTTAAAGATGGGCCGGAAAAGGTCATTGCCAAACCACGTGGAGTGGAATTTTAAGGCTGTTGAAGAGAAAGGCCCCGGCCTCGCTGGGGCGCAGACATCCTCGACGCCGGCATGGTGAATTCGACGAAGTCGTCGTCGAATTCGCTCTCAGGTTTAGATGACAGATATCATTGACTAGCCCATCCTTTGATCAACGGGTGGTATTTGACGAGCCTGTACTCTGATCAGCTAGCCCATTGACGAGCTAGGATCGGCAGGGTGTTTTTTGAGGAGCCCATCTTCTGTTCGACGAGCCCTATTCGGCGAGCCTCATCCTTTGATCGAGGGGCGATGTTCGGCGAGCCTAGTCTCGGCGAACTGGTCGGCCGAATTCGCTCGACTACGAAACCTTGCGGGGTTGTGCGAATTTCGCCAAAGAGGTTTTAGCGAAAGTCGACCTGCGGAACGACATCACGTGCTCGATGGTGGACATTTGGTGAAACCGTCGACACGTTTTCTACCTGGCACATGCGCAATGTGCCTAACGGTGCAACTGTCGACATGCACCTACTAGCAGGTGCACACATGTGCGCACATGTTCACCTGCGACTGCAGTGCTGACAGACCGCTTCCGATGCAACGCTGGCAGCCCGCCTGTTGTAGCGTTGGCAAGCCGCTCTTTTTTGTGCGCTGGCAATTCGCCTTGCAAAATGCTTGCTAGGTGTTACAATGCCTTCTTCACTATATCGATTTATTAGTTTTCTCAATTTCCTAGTGCAATCCATGCCATTTTTTTTTGTGAACACAGCAAATAGCGAGGACGCTAGTAGAACGCTACGCTCACCCGCACAACCAAGTGCCCTCCTCCATAGTCCACTCCCGTTGTATAATGATTCTCTGCAAAGGCGCCTCAAAACGAAACTCACCACAGGCAGTCTGCGTCTTAACGGGCCAGAAGAGGTCTTGGAGGAGCCACGTGGAGGTGAGGCGCACGTTGTACTGGTTCCTATTGTCACCATTCTCCCGCGGTTGGATGCCGGAGCTGGCGTAGCGGAAGAGCAGGTTCATGCCCGACGCTGCTGGGCTGATGGCCGCCGCGCTCACCTGCAGCCCCAGTGACACCGCTGCCATGTTTCGGTGCGGTGGTGGTGCCAGAGGGAGGGAGTGGGGAAGGGGCGAAGGCAGGGAGAGAAGTGTGTGGGGGGGAGTGGCCGGAGAGAAGCAGGTGGTGGGGAGAAGCAGGTGGGGAGGGGCGCAGACACGGGCAAGCAGGGGGGGATAAGGTAGGCCAGGGAGTGTGTGGGATGGGACGTTGGGAGGATTATCCATAGTGAATGTGGTTCTTGCAGTGACTGAACGGACCATGTCTGTGCACTCAGTCTCGATAAAAAGCAAACAGTGTGGGTGTGAGGAGGGGAGAATTTCTAGCTCCAGATAGAGGATGCTGAGACCTGACTTGAGAGATGGAAGGAGGGCGCAGACGAGAGAGAGAGAGGGTGTAAGAGAAAGAGAGAGATAGAGGGCGCAGTCTCTGCCTTGCCCAGACCTATGTCCGTAAACGGCCACATCATTAGGGCAAATATCGTTGAACGTGAGAGAGTGTAATGTGACACTACTGGGTGTGAGAAAGGCAAGGAGGGATGCATGAGTGTGCGTGAGTGCGGGGAAGGAAACTCACCACCACGCTTGGCGGGTGCTTGGGGGAAGCCTGCAAGACGTGTAGGTTAAGGAAGAAGGAGAGGGGGTGGGCGGGATCGACTTTATAAGAAAAGCGCATGGGAAGAGGAGAGATGCATAGTGGATGAATGATGCCAAAGCAGCAAAGAGCAATGTAAGCTATGAATTAGTAAAACGGCAGACGCAGGACCAATGACTAGATGGAGACAAGAGGGAGGAAAGCAGCATGAGTTGCACAGGGCAGCAAGAGAGGCTATAGCAGATGCCCCGACCGATGACAGCCACATTCGCACAAATGGCACCGGACTAGCCTTTTCAATGTGTGCAAGATCGACTCATCTGCCAACCCCACCAACATCTTCACCAAGGCCCTCCATCGCTCTATTCATTCGGCGCTGTTGCGCCTCCTAGGACTTGCTCCCCGCGGTGGTTAATCCAGGGGTGGTTGTCTTCTCTTTTCCAGGCTTATAACATCTATGCATGTTAAGGGGGTGTGTCAGATTATCATCCGCGATTGTAGCCTGCATCTATATTATAAGCCTTGAGTAGAGATAGACACCCAAACATAGTTTGCCTATACCACTAGGGTTAACCCTAGTTGGAGGTTGGATTGGAACCCAGCCTTGCCTTCATTTTTTGGCCCCAAAGGTTGGGTTGGGAGATGATTGAACCCCCAATAATGTTGCCCACTTTGACCAACATTATCCGACGCCCCAATAATCCATCAACCCAACTTATTGGTGGGGGGCCAATAATGATGGATAAGTTCCCAACCCCCCCGCCCCCCGTCTAGAACAACTATATAAACCCTCTTCTTGCATAATCTAATAATCAGTTCACCTTCTCGATTTCTCAAACATTTGACTTTAAAGAATTCTTAAAACTGAGCCAGGCATGCCTCTGCGCATATGATATCGACACACACTCACTTGTGGTGAAGTTCCATGCCGAGACGGCGTGCCTCTGCGCCTGGCTGCCCGATGCCGCAGTGAAGCCCACCGCAAACGTGCTCTCTAGGCGGGAGGGCTGGAGAACGTCGCACAGGGAGATGCGCGCCGACAGGACGGGCTTGGCCGGGCGCGGAGAGCGGGTGGAGGAGAGGAAGACGCGCAGGGTGCCAGCAGCTGCACCGGCAGCAGTAGCTGCAGGAGCAGCTGCAGGAGCAGCAGCAGTGGAGGGGTCATAGTCGATCCAGGCGTACTTTGGAGTGCCGTCGTTGAGCGGCATGGGGGTGGCAGCCGTGGCTATGGACACCATGCTGCCGTTAACGTTCACTCCCACGTGGTTCCCACCAGGTTTGCCGCCGCTGCTGCCTCTGCTGTTGCTGTTCCTGCTCCTGCTGCTGCCTCTGCTGCCGCCGCTGCTGCTCCCCCCATCCTGCCACGTGTCAAACTCCACTGCCACGCTGCGCGCAGCCATCCCAGCGTACCCCATGCCGCCTGCAACCACCACTGCCGGGGGGGAGGAGTCAAACGCCACCACAAAGGCAAACCCTTCGGTCCCGTTCGCAGCGGCGGCAGCACGGGTGAGAGTGAAGGAGAAGGAGGAGGAGAAGGCGAGCTCACGGCCGCACCCGTCTGCAATGAGCTGGTAGGAGAACAGCGGGACCTTCTCTGACAGAAACACGGCCCCACTAGCACCCGCCTGCAGGGGCGTGAGAGTGAAGGACTTGGTTGCACCGTCCACACTCGCACTCCCAGACGCAGTAAGAGCAGACGACACCTCCACAGGCTGAAGCGCGATGAGTGCCGATCCACCTACCACCGGCACACAGCTGCCCCTGTACTCCCCGACCTGAAACCCCTCGTCGCACCGGCACACTGGGACTTTGTTCGGGCCCTCTAAGAAACAACTCCCGTGGCCGTTGCAGGGCGGGTCTGAGGCCGATAGGCCGCAGAAGGACGAGCAGACCTCTGGGTGCCTCTGCTTGTCTCCCGGGCAGGAGAGAGAGGGGTCAGACTGGGGGACACAGTTTCCGAGGACGGATATGACAGAGCAGTTGGGTGGGGAGGAGAAGCCCTGAGTGAAGAAGTTCTTGTCGAGCTGGTACTGCACGATGTTGGGTGGCGGATCGGGCAAACTCCCTGTGAGCTGGTTGTCCCGCAGGTTGCTGGCAGCAGGGCGGGGAGTTGGGGAGACAAGGGGGATTGGAGAAAAGGGGGATCATAGAAATGGGGGATGAAAGAAGAAGGGTATCATAGAGCGCAGGGGGATTACTGCACGGATGAGGGGAAGAGAGGGGACGCGAGTTGCGGGTGGAAAAAGGGGTGGCTATGAGAAGAAGGAAGCAAGGCAGAAGAGAGACTGGAAGAAAGTCAAGGACTTCTACGTAGGGTGCAGAAGGGGAGGAAGTGCACCATGCGGTGTTAAAACTTCAGATTATGATTGAGTAATGATTCAAGAGGTTCTATAATATAAGCATGGAGAAAAAAGAGAGTGTAAGAGGAGCTAACCATATTGGCAACTAAGCTGGCCAATCGGTGAGGTGCCTTGTATGCTAAGCAACCACAAATTGTAGGCTGGTTGGGATTGGTTGGGCTAAGGACCAAAGGTTGGCAAGTGCCAACCAAGGACCACGGACCAATTCCAATTTCGACTGACCATAAATAGTTGTTGGAGGGTACACCCAACAACCCCCGAATAACATAAATGACTACACATTCTATTGTAGCCTATGGATGTTGTAAGGTATACAAATACAATATGAGGTGCAGACAGAGTGCGGTAGGGTACAGGTATTAGAAGCGCAGAGCGAGTACGAAAGGAGGGTGGGATGGATGGCATACAGGACTGTGAGCTTGACAAGGCCTGTGAAGGTCTCTGGAATCTCTCCGCTGAGGCGGTTGCCACTCAGGTCCCTGGCAGGCAGCAGCAGCGGCAGCAGCAGCGGCAGCAGCAGTAATAGCAGTG